CAAGAAAACGATTTGTTTCTGTGAGTTCAGGCCTCTTCTCCGTTGATATGAGGGAGAATTCTCTTGCAGGGTAAACAAAAAGACTGTGGGGTAATTGGCTGCCAGTTTGCCACGTGAAAGTTCACCAGATTGCCCGTGTGATCGACCACAGACTCCTTCAAAAAGGCCTAAATACTGCAAACGCTGTCACTCGCATGCAGCGGTTACTGCAGGTGCTGAACAGAGAGATTCTCACACGATTTCGTGATGTAGTAAACATCTCTACGTCAGCACGAGATTCGGGGAAACTTTGCGCTGGGCCTCGCTTTGCTCTGGGGACGGCAGGGTAAATAAAATTAGCTCTGATAAATAAATGTAGGGCTCGTGTGTTTAAAGGCCTCTGGATGAGATTATTAGCGGCTCACACAGTGGTTAAAGCCAATTTGAGACGTCGCCGGCGGGCCGGTTTTCTCGCGGCCTAATTGAAACCGCTCCTTATTTCCCCATCTCGACCGAGGGGATCAGAGAGCAGACAGAGGCCGTTCAATTCACACTTTCTGGATGGCGTCCCTGGGGGGTGGGGGGGGACAGGCCGCTGAGGTCCCGCGGTCCAGAGGACGGGGACCGAGAGGCGGGGGGAAAAAAATGAAATAAATAAACCACAGAGGGATTAATTCCATTTCTAAAGGAGAGCCAGCAGTGAGAGAAAGGAAAGGGGGAGCAGCAGTCGGGGGAGACGGGGGGGGGGGTTGCCATGGCGTCCTATTTATTGCTGTTAATTCCTCTTTGCCTTTTAACTTCTGAGGCTCCCGCATTGTGACGCAGTAGGAAAGAGTGTGATTGAGAAATTCAGAGGACTATTTTTAGCCAAAGCACTGGCTTTCCCTGAGGGGACAGCGTATTACTTTTTTTTTTCTCCCCTCACCCCCCCCTTTCTTCCTCCCTCTCCCTCTTCCTCCTCTGCCTCTTCTTTCCTGGTTTTACAATGAACCTCCGAATTTGTGCCCGGGAGCGAGAGGTGGGATCCGAACCCAATCAGCTGCCTCTACCTGCATCACAGGAGCTGCCTGCTGATTGGTGCAACCGGGCTCGTTGCCGAAATTCCTCCCCCGCCCCCTCCCCCCATATTCCAGTCCCGTGAACGCAGTGTGGCGCGACGAAGGCACGCCACAGCATCATTTGTCTGCCAGAGGACGCGTGGTTCGTTTATATGTTGAATTCAATGTGAGACTTTTTTTTTTAAACTGAAAGACGTCTGAAAGAGGAAAACCAGACTGTTCTAGATTTAGTTGTTTACACCTCTCTTCATTCACACCGATGTGTTGGTGTTTAGTCACCACACAGACATGTGACTCAAGTCATTTGATGTATTATTGAGTTCATTAACGAGTAAAGTAACGTCCTGTTAAGGCAAGTCAAGTCCCAGTCAGCTCATGAAGACTCTCTAGGCTCTTGACCCTGTTTGGTAGAGCATCCCACCACACGGCATCCGACCAAAAGGGACGAGGAGCCTCCCTCACACGATGCAGTCAGCGGTGGCGTTTTCCTCACATATGAGGGCATATCGAGCTCGTTTTGAAGGCCCGGTTTTGGCATTCGGGCTCGCCGTCATGGACCGTTCTCATTTCTGGGGGAGGCTTTTGCAACCAGAGAATGGAAGTTACCACATTAGGATTGCAGAGGAGCGACGCACTGCTCTGACCTGTCAATCGCAGCAGGCCCGCCCCCAAAGCATACTGACTCTAAATAGACCGTAATTTACCATTTGAATGTGGTCCAGATAGTTATACCATAAACTGATGTTTACTGAGTGAGAAGTAGTATTCTCTCATAGACTCAAGTGACTCAGAGAGAATTTCACTTCTTCATTGTCTTCACTTCAGAAGCAGAGGTCGCCCTCCTGGTGACGGGTCTCCCTGAGGGGCTCCGGGAGTAATTAAGTGTTGGATTACTGAAATGTACCTCAAGCTGAAACATTTCTGCCTCGCATGCGTGCATCGATGGCCAGAGTCTTGCATTGCTTGGAAATGCATCCATGCTTTAAACACTCACAATGCGTGAAGTTATTATAAAACACTTGATATTAAAGATGTTTATTTACACTAGAATTCATTATAAACACACATTTTTCAAAGAATGCCTACGTGTAAATGATGATGCTTAGAAGGATGTCATCGATGAGGAGCAGCAAGCGTTCAGAGAACGCGTATTCGTATCATAGCTGAGATCCAAGTGGTTTTCATTACCTCACCGGGGATGTAGGGATTTTCAGAGGGGCCCTCGGTAAATCAGAATGGAGGCGTACCAGGTTCCAAGTTGTACGAAACAACACCTCCTTTTGAACTACAAAATGGACGGTTATAATAAATCAAACACCAGCACGTTTAACCAGTGAGAGGCCACTGCGCCTCTGTTGGCGGACCAGCTGCCGGTGGACTGCTGAGGCCTGTGTGGTCCTCGATTCGGGAAATATACTGTATCAGAACTGTTTTTTATTGAAACAGTTTTTTTGTATTTTTTTCGCCTCGGATTCTTCTTCAAGTCTACCCAAAGAATTTTTCAACGCAGCACAACACATGTGCGCATAGACTTTATAATCATTCCGCCTCTGATATTTTCTTTTGTCGTTGAAAGCATTGGACAAAAATGGCATCTAAGACATCATGTACCTTGATATACTGGACAGAACTGGAGTCAATGGGAATGCAATGTTCTCTTTTTGAAGTTGGCTTCCAGCAGCCTCCAAGTGATGTGCACAGAATTACGCTTCCAAGACGGAAAATTCAAATTCATTTTGCACATCCACGTACCAAGTGCACGTCCAATAAAACTCTCCCATGGCTTCTTTGATAAATAATGCATGACATTGTACTGTGAATTTAAAGACGTGCAGAACAATCAACAACGGGAAAGCGTGACGAATTACGCACAAGGAGCCCGTTCAATAAATCACTCACTGGGACATTGAGACCAACAGATCCACTTGTTACCGCGTCAGCTTTGTTTTTTCGCCGGCCAGAGGCAATAAACGCCGCAGATGCTGCGCGGAGATGCTTCACGCATTAACAAGACCTTAACCTCAGACAGGCAACACCGCTCGGCACGTGTGAGAGCGCGCCGTCCGATGTCAGGAGTTTAAATGCACGATGACCCACTGACCTCCTCCCGCACCCCAGACGCCGGTCGTGTTTGCACGGAGGGGAAGAGCTTCCCCAGCTCATTGTTATGTTTATTCAAAGTAATGTTAGGGATTACATTCCCAATTGGAGGACGAAAAAGGGAGTCCTGACTATTCGTAAATCGGGATTTGCAGCCTTTTGGAGGCACGCAGAGAATCCGAAACGGATACTCCTAATAGCGTTACGGACTCGGGCTGCCTTGGTCTCCCCCGTCCCTCTCTCTGACCTCCCATTCAACTCATGTACTGTGACTTTTCCCATGGCTCTGAACGCTTCCTTCTCTATGGTCTCATTGACTCTAATTAGCCGTACCGGCATTTCCCACATCTTGTGACAGCTTGTACAGACGACCAGACCTCCCCTCGCCCTCCCTCCCTCCCGTCCCTCCCTCCCTCCTCTCCCCGGTTTCTCTTTGTGTTGGCGCTCGCCCACGCGCCCCAGCTGTTTGGCCCTCGGTAAATGTCGCCTCGTGCGGTGGACCGCTGGGATCCCAGCCGCCGTGCGTCCGGGGGGGGCCGTCTCGATCGCACTCTGTCAAACTCTCCCCCCTTGTATCCTTTCCAAATGATATTGACCCCCGCGTTTCTGCATGTTTCCAGTCCAGCCACCTCGTCTTCTCCTAATCAAACTCTCCATTTTCAAGCCTAATCGCTTCCATTCCTGAACCCCGAACCGCTCTTCCTTCCCGCACTAATTCCCACTCGTCCTTGGCTGTTGTTGCAGAAGTTGGCTTGTGTGGCTTCTTCTAAGTCAGCGCGGTTGCTCATCAGCGGCCGTCTGCTGCATCATCCCGAAGGGGGGTTGTGGCTCGGAGGAAATAACACCGATGAAGAGCTCCGCGCAGCAGCAGCTCCGCCTTTTACTTTTGTTAAAAACAGTTGGCCCCTCGCTGATTGCAGATGTTTAGCGCCGGGCTTCTATCTGCTGTTCTAAGAAAGTTGAGTTCAGCTAAGAGGGAATCAAGGAAAGTGTTTGAATGTATAAAGTATTTTTTAATGCAGAGCCTAAGAGAAGCAATCAGCGCTGATTGGACTCCTACTAACTCCAAGATCGAGGGGATGGAGCAAAAAGCGTGATACTAATTGCCCAAACAGAGATTGGCTCTAAAAATCAGTGTTGGGATGAATTGAAAATCTTTACGTGGTGAGTTTTTGTTCCTTCAGCTCGGTTTTGCTGTTGGGCACAATGTCCCTCCGTACCAGAACTTTCTGCAATACCAAAATCTCAAAAAGAGGCTAACTGCTGTGAAAAATGACTGTCATTTACATAATTTGCATAGTGTGACAGAAATAGTCCAGATACACAAGAATTGTAGGGGAGCAATTATTTTTTCTTTGTGTGACTTCCTTTGATCACTTTTCTTTGGTGACCTGAAACTGTGCTTGCTCGATATTTCTCGCTGAGCTGACTGGAACAACAACTAAATCGATGCTAATTCATTCTCACCAACATTTTTTCATAAAGGTCAACATGAAAGAAAACATTAATTCAGACGCTGTATTGAAGGGCTTAAGGATATTTATATGCAATAAGGTCAGTTGTGCAGGTAGAAGAAGAGCGGGATCAGGTGATTGGTAAATAGGGAAAGTCTGAGGGAATCTGATGGAAGGTGAAAGGTCCACGTGAAGGACGGGGTAGAAGGTTGATTAATCATTGTAGCCTATTCTGAACAGCGGTGACAGTTTGGCTCAACAATAAAACTCAAACAGAAGAAGTCCAGGCTCTGCTTTCTGTAAGCAGGAAACATTCTCCAGAAGGGCCCGCCAGCAAAAATGTACTTGTGTCATTCCGCTCACGAATCGCTTTGTCTGACGCGTTGTCCCCCTCTTTGGTGTGGCGTAGGCGGGACGTCCACGCTGCGTCTCTCGTCGGTGCGCGAGCTGCCCGGCCAGCTGCAGGAGCTCTACCAGCAGGGCTTCGTCCTGGCGTCCGTTCACCCCTTCATCCACCCGAGTGGTCCAGAGTCCAACAGCCCGCAGCACCAGCTCTACCGGGCCATCCTGATCCGACTCAACGACGGGTAAGAGCCACCTGATCGCTCATGTGTTTTCCACACAGCTCCAGCTAGTGGAGACGTATGGAAATACTGTATGCATTTAGTCTATTTTCCATACAGCTGTTTATGCTGGCTCTCCACCGTCCCATCAGTGGGGTGAGAGGGCGAGTCGATTTAAAGGACGAGTAGTGTCGTGCCCTCTAGTGGCGCGGTTGCAGATTGCAGCCAACTCAATAACCCTCCGCTCATCCTTCACCTTACCGAGCATGTCGGAACCTTCCGTGGCCTTCAGGTACCGCAAATATGTGAAAAGCTCCCTGTGGAGCGCTTTAGCTTGTCTGCTCCGGGGGAACATATCACACTCTGTGTAGATTTAACCAGCACATTCTAAGCTCACAATGACTTTCAAGTGATTATACACAAATAAAAACAGATGAGTACTTTATTCCATTTCTGCCAAATATTCTAAATATTCCATTCTACACACAAGACCTTTAAATTACATGTTGTTTTACTAAATAATGGCAGGAAGTCAACTCTGAGGGGCCTCAAACTTGTCCTGACCTCTTTCATTACACAACAATGCAATGATTACAGTCACTTAAGAAAACATCTTGAGAATGCTAATGCCCCTAAATTGGAGTCATTATGCAGAAAAAACACTTGATGGGGTTCAGATTTTGCTTTATTATCATGCATTGTTGTCATACACAGTGTTACATGGTACTATAATAGAATGCTTGCCAGTGGGGGGCATTAGGGTTCCTATAATGTTTATTGCTTTTTTTTCATGTTCACAGAGATATTATCCATGATAGTAATGTGCCAATGGGAGGTCGGTGGTGACATTTTTCTCAGACATTCAACCTTTCAGCGACTCTTCAGGATTGACATCAGAGCATCACAACATCTGTTTGTGGCTCAGCAAGCTGTCCTGTGGGCAGCTACTTGGACTTGAGTCAGCAATCATCTCAGTCCTCTACCCTTCGGCCCTTTCCATACTCCGGCCAAAACCGGCTGCTTGGCCCAAAGTCACCCCCGCCCCCTACACATGCCCTTCGGCCCTGTGCCCGAGCCCCTCGGGGAGCGGCGCCAATGGTGGCTGAAGGGCATGTAGGAGGAGAGATGGACGGCACAAAGCGCTTTCATTCTTTCTGGTCAGAATCCGTCTAAAAATTGCCTGAGGATGAAAACCTGCTGAAGCTGAAATACCCCGATGCTTTGAATGGGTCCGACAGCCCCAGGTGTCTCGGAACCCCATGATCTCACCCGGGACCACGGACTGTAAAGCCTGCTCAAGTAAAAACATGACAATCAAAAAGATTGAAGCTGTGAGGGGAGAAGTTTGTCTTCCTGTATTTTGTTTTTCCTTCCTTGGCAGCCGTGACATGCAGACGGGCAGCTGAAGCCCCGGTGGCTTTTAAGTCTGGCTCTCGACTCCAAAAAAACATCCTGGTCGGTTTACCAAAACACTGTTCCCTGCAGGGCATGTGTGTGTGTGTGTGTGTGTGTGTGTGTGTGTGTGTGTGTGTGTGTGTGTGTGTGTGTGTGTGTGTGTGTGTGTGTGTGTGTGTGTGTATGTATCTTGCCCCTGTCTGAAGAGGCTTGAGACTCAGCACTTGAACCTTCTTCTTTCAGTATCATATACAAGCTTCTTACAGTTGCACACGGCTTGAATCTTTTTGTGAATAAACAAAAAGGGTTCAGCGTAAATCTCATCGGTCTCCATGTTGATCTCCATCAAAATCCGCCGCAGACTCCTCGCGGGCCAAAACGCATCGCACAGCGATGACAAACCATTGCTTTAATATCCTCACCGCTGAGCATAAACACGACACCTCTGCTACTGATCTACATTGACGTTTTAGTCATTTAGCTAACGCTCTCACCCGCAGCGACGGCACAATAACTGCAGAAAACCAATACCCCGATATCACAACAACCAAGAGTGAGGAGTGTAATAATCCGAGCCGCTGTGCGCCGACAGTCCTGCTGCAACCACGGACTGATCACGGCGGAAAAAAACACACGACATCAAGAAAAAACTAAAGAGACTTACCGTGCAAAGCTTTCATTATTGTTTTTTTGAAAAGTTAATAAATAAAGGATCATGAATGTTATTCAAAAGGCTGAAGGACTGCAGGGAATTTGGTGAAAAAGATGGATTTTAAAATATGATATGAATTTATTTAATCCTTGTGGGAGACTTAAATTGCAAAAGGATCCAAGCATTCAATGAAGTGGGAGAAAACTATGATTAAAGTAGGCAATATTCATTAAAGAATATATGTACGTAGTAAATAAAAGCAATACATTGGAAAAGGAAGCAATGACTTTGTGTAAAAGAATGGTTATGATTATTTAAATGTTTTAGATACTCAAAAATAATCATTTAAAAAATTAAAAAACATTGTTTTATTACAAGGTGAAGTAGGTACATTAAAAGAGCGTCACTAATTAGCCATGTGTCCGTTACATCAAGTCCTTTTATCTAAACAACAGAGCAATTCATTTTTGTCTGATCTGCCACTTTAAAGGTTAAGATTTGGACGGTAAAATTGCTGTGAAAAGATAAGATCCACAGTCAGCATTGTCATAGTTGGGCAAAATGTGATGCAACAATCTCTGCAATAATCCCAAATTGACCCAGAATATGAAGCATAATGGAATTAAACTGCTAAATGTTTTACCAGCTTAGTGGCGCATGTAACAGAATTTTGCTCTCAGTAATTGGATGTTTCCTGCCGAAACACTTGTCCTTACTTTTAATCATATAAATACACATTTTATAAATCTGTTTTCATCATTTACACTTACGATTCAATCAGGAGACTTTTAATCCCACCCAAGCCTTGGAACTGCCACTAACATCCCATCGGCAATGCAGAAAATGCTACTTTTGGTGCCTTGAATAACCAAAGGAAGCTTTAAGGAACTTATTGTGGGCACAGACACGGCACCCAGACACCTTTTAGAAGGTCATTCTGTTAGAATTCATGGCAGCCTATCTGCCCTTCCTGCAGATTGTGGCTATTAGTAATCATCTCCCATGCTGTTGTATAGAACACACCAGGTTTACCTTCGGCATGTACACACATTCAGTGCAGCAGCTGAGAAACAGGACGACGAGAATATCGAGTGCGTACGAAAAGGCTACAACAGAAAGGACCGAATCTCTCTTCTACAAAAAAGGAAGAAGGAAGTCACACACGGTAAAAAAAAAAAGGAGAGAGTTGTAGAGTGAAAAGGGACGAGGAGTCTACCATCCACCGGTGGCCTGGTACCAAAGCGGGCCCGAGCTTCATCTCCGGCGTCTGTCTCCGTGGAGACGGCTCATCAAATCAGCAGCGGCCCTGAGGAACCCGAACCTTCAACGGGGAAAGCGACGGCGGAGGAGGAACAAGAGACACCCCCCCCCCCCAAACAAATCTGAGCATCTCTTCTCCTGTTCCCTTTTGCTGTCAGGCAGGGATGACAGGGGGGTGTAGTGAATGGGGTTGAAACAGCATGACAGCGAGCAGCCGTTCATCCTTCTCTCAGAGAGACGTACGGCGTTTTTTAGCGACTAGACGGCAGATGAAGCGAAAGTCGAGGCGGAGGAGCCGACTGGTGTGCAGCAGCTGTGTGAGGGTCTTTATTTAGAATGCACAGTCTGTCTGGGAACACAATCCCAGTCAGGACTCGACAGTATTAGCCCCTAGTGTGAAAGGCTCGGGCAACAATGCACTTTACATGGAGGAGGTGACGCTGCAGGAACGCACAGAGGTTGTGGGTGTGCAGCGCTGTGCCGTCTCAGGGATGTTACACACTGTCACCTGGATGACACGTCCGGTTAAGTGGCTTATAACTTCAGGAACCTCACGAGGCAATTTTGTCACCGCACAGCAGCCCCCCCCCTCCGAAACAACCTACTGCGGGGAAATAAGGAGAAAAGAAAACCTTCAATGCGCACAGAATGGATTGCACCGTTTGGAAATTTAAAATGTCAACTGTCAAATTTCCCAGTGTTCAATTTGATTGCGGTGGAATAGGGTTACAGTTCAGCAGGCAACGTCTGATGGGATGTATTCATCATTATTGGGTAATTGCAAGGAGCTCAGGTGTGCAGAGTGAGGGAGAGAGAGAGAGAGAGAGGGGGGGGGCTGGGGGGCGCGTGAGATGGAGGAGGCAAAAAAAGAGCCACCCACAAAAAAAACAACATTGGAGGGTGAAGTATGCTGCGGTGGAATTATTCACGAATGTGTGACGATGTGACATTAGGAGAAGTAGGCTGTACGATTAAAGCCCCCACATCGGCAGAGTGCTAAACATGCAGTCGCTCCCTGACTGAGTCGTCACGGCGATAGATGGAGGTCGGGTACGGCTCGGTCCCTGATGCAGAAAGAAGTGAATTCATTCAACTCCTCTCAAGTGTTTTTTATCTCAAACATGTGGCATTTAACTACAAATCAAGGCATCTACGTAGAGAAGTTGTACTGGGGGCCATAAGGTATGTGTGATTAATAAGCTTAAAACGTATTAAATAAACAATGACCAATCTTCTTGAAAACGCATTTATGATTCATGTCAAATCAACATGTGCAATCCTGATTGCTGTGTGAAATGTATTCTGAAGTTGTCCAACGATAAATGTCCATTTGAACCATCAACATCAAGTATACCTTTTAAAACAAAGCGGTAAGCAAAGAGCGGCCTTCCTTAATAGAATGCATCTCTAACTAGCATCTCTCAAGAACCTTTCATCGATCTGCTTTACACTTGGACCAGAAGTAGTGTGGGGACCAGTGAGACGGGCAGTCTCTAAGTCAATTTGGACGCATGCCGCGTTCAATTGAATGCGTTTTGAGTAAACGCGCGTGCAGCGGAGACCTGAGAGTCATCCGCAGAACTTTGCAAGCTACTCAAGCCTCACAACTGTGCTTAGTGCGCTCAAGCTACATTAGCTGGCTCGTGGTTTCCAGAGGATACACCCTGCTGACTTATCTTATCATGACGCTAACAGTTTTTGATTTGGGATCGCCGATAAATTTCTTCACAGGTAGGATGAATCTAGAGGCAGGAGCAGCAGTTTACTTGTTTGGTGAAATTGACAATTTCCCAGGCGATGTATTCAATTAACTTTATCAAACAAATATGTAGGCAGGTATATAGAGTGCTTATCTTTGGGGCTTGAGTCTAACTCTAATGAGGTGACTGAGTGCACAAATAAAGGAGAGAAAACTCAATTCTCGCAAAACACCAGAGGAATGAGCACTCATTGCAGCGAATGGAGCCGATTAATTAAAAGAACAAAAGGAAATCTAGTTCAGTGCAGGTTTTTTCTGAGAAAGTTTAAATTTCTACAACTGAACTGGTTGTTGATGGGGTTTTTTTTACAGCTTGACTTCCTCTTAAAAAAAAAAAAAGTATGTCCCTTTTTTCATACCCCAGTGATCGGCGCGTATTTACAAATGGTGTGGCCACTGCACTGCTAAAAACCAACCCCAACGCGCCACATTATCAGGTAATTCACAGTTAACCGCCGTGTAACCGTGTTCGGCCCCGTTGGGGGTCATCAGCCCCCACACGAGATGTTGTGTGGCGAAACCGAGGGCGTGACCCATCCGCAGGGCCGACCAGGGAGAGGGAGAAGGGGGGGGTGGGGGGGGTCTACGGGGCGGGCGGGCGGTCATTTTGACACCCGTCTAACCGCACGAGGCCCTCCGAGGTCTGACAGCAGAGGTGCCGCACGCCGCATGAAAAAGTCACGGCCTCACACAGAGAAGATGGACTGCAGGTGATGCAGCTGCTATTTTTAACCCGAGGCTCCCCCGCCCCCCCTCTCCAGGACCGAGTGCACAGTTTGAATTGTTGTTCCCACATCTCTCTCTCTCTCTCTCTCTCCCCTCCTTCTCCCCCCTCCTGCCTGCAGAAGTCTCCTTCCCATGCAGAGCTGTGTTCCAAAATGAGTCATTCCCCGCTTGAAAAGAAGTGACATCTTCTCGCCGCAGCGCATTTTCGGAAGCACTGAATCATTTTTTCTTTATTTTCCGTGATAGGTTCTGAAACGATGAAACAACGTGTTCTTTCTACTCTAAAATGAATTTGCATCAGCGTGCAAAAAAGAAAAAAAGGGGGCTTTTCATATCGTTCCTTAAAGCTGCTTGTGAACTCCTGTCCCGTACTGTACACTGTGCGTGATGATTTGATATGCAGGAAAGAGAAAACTCTTGACGACCCCACCGGGCTTCTGCGAGCGCCTCTCGTCTCGCCGTAATGAACGTTTGCAGGCCGGCGTTTAGACACTGTGATTGTTAAACCGTGTGGCGGATTCGTGCGGGAAAATCACGAGAGTGCTTTTGCTCCAACGAGCGAGACGTTGGCCACGTGGGTTTCCGACGGGCTGAGTGAAGCGTGGGCGCGTTTCTGACGGGCTGCAAGAGAGGAGCAGGCGAACGGGTGGAGAATATAAAGAAGCTCCCGGGTTCCATGAGAATATAGACTCAAAGGAAATTCACCCGGCACAGGTAGTATTTTGCAGTCTGAAAGGGGTCCAAAGTCTTCTGGAGCTGTGGAAGAATCTTTGTCAACTCATCTCGCGCTTGGAGACGACAGGAAGCCTCTTTGGCAAACAAAACCAGAGGCTATCAAGCTGTAGCCTTTGACTACAATTTATTCGGTGTTGTTTTTTATTTTTAATATTTCGTTTTGACTTACTTTAGCATTTGATGTGCTTGAAAGCTGCAACAAAATCTTATTTGTTTAAAAATGCACAATAACCAAGTTATGCGTTCAACTCTTTGACAGTTACATGCAAAAAGGCATTAACCATTGATTGGCTACTAATTTCCCAAATGGTATTCATAATTGATTCATTAAACAGGTCAATAGGGAGCGAGGCTGACAGAACAATCACCGTGAGACACACACACACACACACACAGTGACATGCATGCGTGCTCAGAGGGAGTCTGCATGGACCAGGAGGCTCTAGCACGCTAAACAGCATGCACACATGCATCTTTTACTCATCAGGCGTCTGTCTAAAGAGAGCGCACACACTCACACTCACACACGTACGATACATGTATAAAAGATGCCGAGGTTAAAGGGCGTGTGGGGCTTCCTCCCCTTTGTCAACAGGATGAGAGGCAGGGAGGTGCAGGCCGGGCTCCGGGACTTCCTCCACAGCACATAAATAGATCTACATGGCTCACATATACGACCTCGACAGTGGGGGGCGAATAAGAACGTTAACAAAGCCTCTTGGCTCGGCTTAATCCACTGATGGGGGGGTATTTTTGCATTATGGATTTGATGCTGTGCCTGTAGCTTCCTGTCTGAAGTTGTGTAATTCTCCTCATTTTAAATCTCGCTTTCTTTGTTGGTTTGCATTTGAGTGAAGGATACGCGTGCCCTCATTGACCCCCCCCCCCGCCTCCTCTCTGTGGTCCCTGCAGGGTGGAAAGGAGCCAGTGTGTCGGCCCATCGTACAAGCTGCAGCTGGAAGAGTGTCTGTCCGCCGAGCAGGTGCCCACCCCCGAGCTCATCCAGGGCTACGTCAAGAAGGTAGGCGGGGGTTCTGTCAGCCTGTGCCTAGCTGCACGGAAGCAAGGAAGGAAGTAAGGAAGGGAGGAAGGGAGGGAGCGAGAGATATTTGGGTTTCCTCACCGCAGAGGAATTGTTGTGACTTTTATTCCCAGAAATTTCTTCCAGCCAACTGAAGGCTGGATGAAATTTCTGCCTTCAAATACTGAGTCGGGGATCCGAAGCAGAAAAATGAACCCGGTCTGCAGCCAAAAGTCAAACCAACTTCGACCCTGCACGTGTCTGCCGCCTGAGCGCCATGTCGACGCGTTCGCCGATGTACTGAAGACTCAACCAGACTCAACGGCGCGCTGTCAGGCAGGAGGCTTTTAACTGCAGCCTGTCACAAAATGCTCGGAGGCATGTGCCAGTGAATTACACGACGTTAGAGGAGCAACCATACAACCGTTTTGGTTTTTCTCCTTTTTTTCTGCGTAATTGCTGCTTTGAAAGATAAAAAAAGAAAAAACACGAGGGTGGCGGCGACACGCGTGTGTTTCGGGAGTTGTCAGGTATGAATTAGTGGAAACTTTACTACTTTGATTGTTGTGCAACTCAATTAAATGATGAGCCATTTCGACAGGCGTCTGTAGCACGGTTGCCTAAAAACGTTGATAGATATTTTGTCCGTGCTGCAGTTTAACGCTCGTCAAATTCCAACAGCATGTAAGTAAAATACTAAAAGCTGTGTTTCCTTAATGCTTCAAGGCTAATGCTCATATGCACACCAGAAACGTTTTCAACCTCATCCTGTTCACCGATCTGATGATGAATCGTGAACGCGCCACTTGTTTGAAATAGCACTTTAGATGATCTATACTGTATAAACATACATACATGTGAACACACCCTCCTCTGCTCCTAGCAGATGATGCCGCGTCATCGTGGTCCAACCCCCCCCCCTCCCCCCTCCTCCCTCCTCTGCTTAGTCTGCGAGCGTCACGTCGGCCTTTGAAGCTTCGCTCCTGGACCTTCCTGTACATGTTGCCCTTCGATTAGTCATGCAACCGCAGTCCTGTAGGACCTCATTACCGTTGCTTATCATTTTAATCTTCTGAGCTGCCACGGGTCCGCTGGAGGAGAAGGCGGCCTTGCTAGAAATCTATTAAAAAAGGGAAGTGGACATGGATGAACGGTGGAGTCCATTCCCTTCAGACTCTCTCGGGTTTCCGTCGGTTTCTCTCCCTCTTTGTCTCTCTTTTTTCCCCTCTGCTCTCATTTGCTTTCTCTTTCTCGCCGTCTTGATCTCCGTCGTCATCCCCTCGCCGCTGTCTCCGTCATCTCTCCGCTCAATCTCTCTGTCCGCGGGTTTTTTCATCTTGACCTTCAGACACCTGCTCCTGGTTCCACTTTAATAACTTACGGGGGAAATAGGAAATGTGGTCTCCAGTCAAAATTGAAATGAGTTTTTCCTCGGCAGGCTGTTGATATTCCGGTGGCAGAATACGGGAAGCTGCTTCTAGACTACTTCTCATCAACTTTGTGCTCGGCATCATTTCGGTTAATGAAGAGAAATGATGCGATGCAAAGGTTCCTTTGTGACCTCAAAATCTCATTTTCTTGACCTGGGGGAGTTCCATCTAAGACAGTGCTGTCTGTTCATTTAAATGAAGTTAAGAAGAATGATCACTTTGTATTTTTCCCCTCATTTGTTTTCTGTTTTAGTACCGTAGGTCCCAAAAGGGATCATCAGACATTTGAACGGCTGTGACAATTTTCTTCTCGTTCAGTTAACCGCACAGCCTCCAGTTCTCCCGTCGTGTCATTTAGCCAGCGGCTTTATGTTTATTTAAATTGTATTCCGTCCCGTCAAACAGTCTGATTTATTCTGGATTATCTTGTTCCATCCGACCTGGAGGAAAAAGCATCGGCTGTGTATGAAAAGTAAACGTACCGTGACGTCCTGGAAGCTACAAGACAAAAAGACACCCAAACTTCCGTGGCAACGTCCTGTCAATCAAACCAGCCCGCCCTAAAATATTCTCTGCTTTATGGACTATTTGACTCAAAATAGACAATGTTTATTAAAGTTACTTTACTTTGTATCGAGGAAGACTTGAAACTAGAGATTTAGACCATAAACTCAGTGAGTTGAGTGATTTTTAAGGCATTTCCTCATCGACTTCACTTAAACACGCATGCATCATTACAACAAATATCCACATTATGTCCTTTGAATTGTTTCAGAGGCTGATTATCAATTATCAAAATGATCGTCCATTCATTTTCTATTGGCCGGGCTAATCAATTAATATTCATCCAATTAGTTATTGTATAAATAAAAATCTTTTTATTCCTTTTAGTCAGTTATTTGACTTTAACTACCTTTTCTGTAATGTGTTCTCATTCAGGCACCCGTGTAGTTTTTTATGGTATTGAACTGTCGGCAAGACGTCTCTGGAGCAGCAAATCTAATCTCAACGGTTCCACTTTGTCAAACACAACATTTGATCAAATTAAAATGATAATGGTGCTAAAAATAAATGCAATCATTAAAGCACACAATTCAAATGTACTCAGTTCTCTCTTTCTCTCTCTGCATCAACATTTAACATTAAATGAGATTCAACGGTTCACTTTTATCTCAGCAATTCCATTTCAATATATCCGGGAGAAAATAATATGGACGGACCCAGAGAGCGTTCACAGATATTAAACAATACGGCTGGAAACAATGCGACTGTTTTCCAATTTAATTTCATAGTGAATAACCTGCGATTTGATTTGATTTCTATTCTCTCCTCACTGTGGCTCCAAATGGAGACGGGCTCTGCCTTTGCTGAGAGAGAGGGGGGGGGGGGCAGGCTTGATGGAGGGTTGCAGAAATGGAGAATGGCATCATTAACGTTCTCTGACAGTTAAAGTTTCCATTTCGCTTCGTGGCAGAATCCCAATATTGACATAAAATAAAGGACGGGGGAGCGCTGGATTCGTGATGCGGCCCGAGCCCGACCAGCTCCAATCTAATCAACCACTGAGTGATTGGACAAGCTGCCGGGACGAAGAGAGAAAGGCGGGTGGAGAACCAACTAGCAGATGCTGGGGACTCCATGCAGACTGTTGTGGGGGAAAACAATTCAGTTTCAAGATAATTAATCTCAAAGTAACTCTGAAAGTTTGGTGTCAGTTTAGTTTTGGATCTCCTGGGAAATAATTTGTGTATGTTCTGCTTGATAGGTTGGTTTGATTTTGCCTCCCGAATAATGCACATCACACCCATCACATTTGATTTTTTCATTGTTTTCCTCCCGACAGCAGATCCAGGATGCTGCTGACCAGGGGGTGATGTTCGTGGGGTTCGTCCAGGAACCATACGGGGCCCCGTGCACCAGGATCCGTCAGCCGGACACGCCCTCCCTTTCCCTGCACTCCAGCCCCAGCTCCGTGCTCGGCTCCCTGGGCAGCCGCAGCCCCTCCAGCCCGTCCAGCCCCGGAAACCACCACGCTCCTGCTCCCGCGGCTCGGGATGACGCGGCGGGCCGAGCCGGGAACGAGGAGGCCTCCCGCGAGGCCGGCGCCGGGGAGAAGAGTCAGGGCGGGAGTCCCGGGAAGCGTCCGGGGAGCGGAGGGGAGGGCAGTCAGGTGGCGGCCTCTCCCGTGGCGTCTCCAACGCCGGAAGGAGATCCGGAGCGCGGCGGCGAGGAGGCGACGGAGGACGAGACGCCGAGCCGCGACAACGACAGAGGCAGCGGCAGAGACGCCACGGAGAGGCCCAGATATCGCCCGCGGAGGGGCGACGGTGAGTGGTCATATGAGCCGTTGAATGAGGACACATTGACCTTTGCTCCTTTACCAAACAAATTCTGTAAACATTATTCCCAAAGCTATTTTCCTCAATGCTAAATACCTTTTTGCGTCGTTCTGGGGGGCAGATTCCAAGATGTTTGAATGACTACTGGGAGTAAATATGCCATCTTGTTATTTGGGTGAACAGAGCTTTTAAAAGGAAATAGCGCTAATTGGCCGGATGGGGACTCTACACGTAAATGTCAACATTTTACAAACTTAACAAAGCTTAAAAGCGACCCGCCGCACAGCCGCCCTCGTGATGTACACCAGCATCCGACAGAACTAAGTGAGAAATGGCAATTAAGATAATTAAAAAGGTCAACCGGAAGGCGCAGCGTCTCTCTGGAGGACGCCAGCGTGAACTGCTGGTCCCGGAGCAGCTGAGGCCTCCAGGGGTTAAATCCGACACTCGTAGCTTCTTGTCGCACAGTAAGTTATTCAAACCGGCAGCTTCAAACCCCGAGCCGATGTCGCTGTGGATATCTCTGCAAATGTGTGTTTTGGGTTTCGTACCTTTTGGCTGTTTAAGCGAGGAACAGCGCGGCGCCCCAGATCCCTCTTGAAACACTTGGCAGCCGTGGCGAGGTGTCATTTCTTGGTGTTGCCTCGATGTTACACAACAATGTGCTGCCTTGGGAAATAATCCTCTCCCCGCGCTGCACAAAGGGAATCGTCTGGCGGCATGTGGTGCATACAAATTCACGCTCGCGCTTAGCCTGACGGAGCCAAGCGCGTGAAATTCACCCACCAGGAAAGACGCGCCTTTCACGGCCTCTCGGTGTCTTTCCGGGACGCCGAGTTGTTGGCGGCGGGGCCCCACCTCTTTCTCGCGCGGGAGCCGCCGTTAAAATTACAACAGACATTTATGATCGTCTTTATTTGAGCAGTTTTGTGTGGACAGATGGAGACACCCACCACTGTCACCGCCCCCCCCCCCGCCACCGAACCTATTTTTGTGTCGGCGCTATGTGCGAACTGCGCATTGGACACGCGTCCCGGTGGGAGTGTTAACGCCGGTGTGCTCGTGTAAATACCGCGTACTTGTGTGTAAAAGAGATTACGGTTTAAAGGCAGTGTGTTGCATAATTAATGCGCACACACTTTGTGCCTTTAGTTGTGCGTGTGTCAATATGTGTGTGTGTGTGTGTGTGTGTGTGTGTGTGTGCGCGGTGAAAACAAAACTGGCATCACAGCAGCGCACAGCCCACTGGTCCATCTGGGCCTCCCCACAGTGCATTTTGCTGTGAGATAATCCCCCACTGCCTCGTGCTCTTCTCAGCTCTCCCCCCCCCCCACACTGAGTCCCTGCCTTAGCAGCCAGCAGGGGTGGCACGGCAGAGCGTGCCAAGCTCCCATGTCCCTGTCTCTACTAATGCCCGGTCTGACCGAGGAGGCCCGAGAGTCTCGGCCGCACCGCCGGCTTGTCCGCGCTGATCCTCGGCTCTGGAGGTGAACGTGGGAGTGTTGGCCGTGGAGTCTGTGGCTTTAAAACTGATCCCCCCCCCCCCATCCCCGAGACCGGAGCTCCGGGTAGAAAAACGGAGCCCGTAAGTTTGGAGAATCAACCGGATTCTGATTTCAGGACACGCGGTGGGGGGGCGTAACACGGTAGCGACAGCTGTACAATTATGTTGGGAGAAGACAGACCTGCGTTTGCTTTCAGATGCAACTGATTTGCACGAGCGAAAAACCTTTTGTAGGGAATTAAACGCCACCTGGGTTGTTTTCTTTTCAAGAATACTGAGGGAACGTTTCAATTTTACAGCATTTCATCTTCTTCTTCAGTCTTATCTCTCTGCCCAAGATCCTCTTCCAAAAACACGAGCCACTATGCAGATCAGCAATTTATTTATTTAATTCACGTGTTTTGTGGGCAGAGCTGGGATAAGAAGTGTTTAACTGATTCCTCTGATGCATTTATTACATTTCTTGTCAGTTTGGGGGGGGCGCTTTCCGATAAGCCTTTGACCGACAAGCTTTCGGCATCCCGACGCGAATCAAGCTCCCGTTTTCTCGTTAGTCCGGTTAGCTGCACCGACCTTTTTCCTGCCGATGTCATTAATTCGCTCGATTAGGCACAAAAGGATTCTTTGAGTCATAAGCTCCGGTCTGTCCGCGCATGTAGCCACTGTAGCTCTAAATACCCCCGCATCAGGGCATTGGGTGAGATTTCACTGCCCTGTAGCACGCTAATGAGCATAATCATTCTATAAAAACAGCAATAAAGTTATTGATCGGAACAAAAAGCACCCGGACGCTGCACCGCTTCATCCTCTCCGTCGCATCTCGGCTCTTTCTATTATTTATAGATAAATGCGTGTAATACTGTTTGCTCGTGTCATTTAAAGGCCGAGGTGGAAGAAGGAGACGCGGGGAGCGCTGAGCCCGGCAACACACTCGTTTTAGAGATTTATGTCGGCCGCTAATGGAGTTTGTAAAGATCAAAGTACCTTAACCTCGTGCTCTCACAGTGAAGTATCTGTTCTTTTCACAGGAATTAAGAGATGTCGCTGTAGCTGGAGGTTCACTGGTTTGAGTCATGGCTGGTAAAATCCCACGGCTGACTGTTATTCACATCGTCTGTCACTAAAAGGCTTCCAAGACACTTTTAGGAATCCTCAGGCATCGTTTTGTTCAATGAATTTATGCCAAAATAGCAAACATTAATATAGACATTTAATACATTGCAGCAAATCAAAAGCATTAAATCCTTTAGATGCAGGTTGAACTTGCCAAGATCAGCCACATTAACATTTGCATTGCAGCTGCAGCTGGAAAATAGAAACATTGGCTTTTTTTCTACATTTTGCATCAATGCATCTCAAGAGCATCGTGATTCTAGAGATTGTAGCTGAAGATGAATTGTGATTCAGCTGACAGAATGGCAGTTGATTCAGACTCCATTTTGAATTATTATTATTATTATTAAACTGGAGTCCACAGTCGGCCTACGTATAGATATGAGATATTTCCCATATCTTTTGGTACAAACCCCCCGCTGAAGTTCTCTCGCCTGTAAACACAGCAGGGAAGTTAGGGATGTTTACGGACCCGAAGAGTTTTCAATGAGTACATCCGGTTTACTAAATTAGGTGCCCACCCCTCCATCTGAATCGCAGTCCCCCCGGTGACACAATCAATGCTTCTTTAGAGCGTAATGGAACGTAATGAATGGAAAACTCTCTCGCTACGAGAAAGAAACATCTAATAACGTTGGAGAACCGCAGTCTGAGCAGCATGTTTCTGGCCGGTGGCTGTTATTTCGTGTCGGGCTGCTGTAAATGGTCAGTCCCTTCAGTAGCGAATGACTGCTCTGTTTCCAATGTGGCTCAGTGCGGCTTCCTGTCTAATTGCAAACACAATCTCAGAGAAATAAGAGCCGTGACCCAATTTGTGACCCAATTTTAAAAAAAGCAGTTTTCTCCCTGACTCAGCACTAAGTACGTGGAACCAGAGAGCGGCTCCTGTGAGGCAGAGTTCCACCGAACCGCTCGCACCCACCCAACCGCTCGCACCCACCGAGCCGCTCGCATCCACCGAACCGCCGCTCACATCCACCGAAACGCCACTCACATCCACCGAACCGCCGCTTGCACCCACCGAACCGCTCGTCTCCACCGAACCGCTCGCACCCACCGAACCGCTCGCATCCGCCGAACCGCCGCTCGCATCCACCGAACCGTCGCTCGCATCCACCGAACCGCCGCTCGCACCCACCGAACCGCTCGCACCCTCCGAACCGACAGCGCGTCGCTCCGGCAGGTCGGACGCGTGTCATCCAAGATTTCATTTGCCATATTGTCCCCGTCGTAACGCGGGGCAACACAGGGGAGGGAGGGTCGACGGGGAGACGGTCAACGTTCCGCCGTGATTCAACTTTTCAGTGAGTGACAAATGGCTAAAAATATTTAGGGAATTTGGTGGCCAGCTGTCAGATCAGTCAGACGCGCCACACAAAGAAACGGTTATAAATGATTCATACTTCCTGGGTGTCGGCGCCATGACTCCCCCAGCCACCCCCCCTCCCATGTCAAAGTGTGTGTCAGTGTGTGTGTGTGTGTGTGTGTGGGTGGCAGTTCCGCACATTCTGCTCATCCATCTGGTTCACTTGTGAATTGACAGTCGGACATTTGCATTCAAAAGAAAGGGGGGAAAATGTGACCAAACTCTATTTGAATTGAGCCGCGCTCTCATCTCAACAATTGTGTTTTCCCCAAATAGCCAATATTTCACTCCCTCGCATCACAACAAATAAAAGTCTCTCCATATTGATTTAGTATGATATGAGCGAGGAGCAGCGACATACGAACTATGTGCATATTTCCAAGACTGTTTATACCTCCTGAGGCCCGCTGGACTAATATGTGTATATATATATATATATATATATATATATATATATATATATATATATATATATATATATATATATATGTATATACACTGTAGATATATATACACAGTATATTATATTTCATGTAAACAACAGCTAGTTGGAGAGCTTTTAGTTCATATTATAACCTTGAATAATGCACTAACTCAATGAAATGGTCCCTTTTAAAGTTGCCTCAGTAAAAAATCACTTCTGGAAAACATTAAACGAAAACTTGTTGCACGAACGTAATCAAATTGCTTTTGATTCACTTCACATTTGTTATTAAGGCAGCAGCCTTGAAAAGTTTTTTCAGCGTATTGATGAGTCCAGCTTGGGGCAACGCATTTTTTTTTATTTTTGCTCCTTTTCTATTTTGCTCCTTCCAGATGGAGTTTTTGCTCATGATATAATAGTGATGCTGAGGTTTGTATTAAAGTATCTTGCACGGCCTTTGAAAAAAAGATTCTGGTTGCAGCTTTAAATCCTTGATATGATACAAAAAGTCCTTTAACCAAAGAACACAAGCTTCGCCAGCGCCGCCTAATTTCTTGAGCTATGCTTTAGTGTCCGTTTCCAAGACTAGAAGCAGTGGCACGTTTTTAACAGAACAAGTCATTATTTTCTGTTGACGGTCGGACGCGGTGGCCAAGCCTTTTCTTAGCCAAGAAGAGTCCTTCCAATGGGTCCTTGCCACATTGCTCCCGTTGGGTTTGCGTGGTCAGGGACAGTCACAGGAAAGTCTTCCAAAATAACAAAGTAGGAGTAAAGAAATGGTTCGTGACTAATTACTGAAGATAGTCTTTAGCGTTGCAACTAAAGTTGTGCATCTCAAACCGAAGCCCCGCTGTCTGTGCGCCAACCGTTTATCGGGTAATTTCCTAAAACCTCAGACGGCCGAGGAGCAAAAATGCTCCTTCGGGCGGTGCCAAAATGCACTTTGGAGCGCGGCCAATGAACAGCAGTAGTTTAATGATCAGCAGCACGACGGCGCGGGACTTCCACGGAGGCTACATCTGTACGGCCATGACCCCTGAGGAGTTTAAGGCGTTTGTTTTCCCCACAGGCGCGGAGCTGCTGGCTTTGTACAACCACCCGCCGGTGCGAGAGGGACAGATGAAGTACTACACCGTCAAGGTGCCGCTGCGGGTTCAGAACTGCGACGAGGGGGTCAAAGGAGTGGAGGCCAACTGGCTGGATCACATGACCCAGCACTTCAACAGCGGAGCCTCGCTGGTCGACGGGTACTTCCACCTGGGCAACGGGAACGGTGAGCCAAACAGATCAGATGAAATGTCTGCATTTTACTCCTCACACGTGACGCTGTCGGGTCACACCTCCAAAAACAGGAGGTGCGAGTTCAAGAGAAGCCGTTACTTTTGGTCCTGGCTTCGCACATTCTGATGAGTCGTTCCTCTCCGGGTTTTCTCAAAGCTACGACCGTTACTGTTAACAAAACCTCCAAAGGTCTGCAGGTGCAAGTTAAATGTGAGTTTAACCTTTGGCGTCAAACTCCAGCAGGAGAATATCCACAGCCAACAATAATCCTTCTGCCAATATTTAGTCTAATGTGTGATCAGGACATCGGCATTTTTCTGATAAGGTTTCATTGAAAAACACTCAATGCGCGTTTAAATTGACATTAGAACAAATTATTCCCTCAGGTTTTCATGATGACGCATTAAGGCTATTACATCATTAAAAACCACTACTCATAAAATCAACATGAAACCCTGGAAGAAAACTCCCAGCAGCAGGAAATGTAAACATTGCACTTTGCTGTTGCTCGGTGTGTTTCAGGCCTAAGAGGTTGCCTCCGATATACTTGAGAAAGTCTTTCTCGGCGCGCAGGCTCAAAGGCTGTGACACGTTCTTTGCCGGCTTAATGTGATCTTTGATATCTGCATTTCCACTGTGCGAAACCAAAGGTCTGCTCCTGCAGCGCGTCAAGCGTCTCTGCCCACTGGAGGTTTTGAGTTGAGACACTCCGATGGTTTCTAACAAATGACGAAGGGACGGAGTTCGCATCCACCAGTGGAAGACGGCGCTTTCTAGCATCCTCTTTTGAACCATTTGCCGTGTGGGTCTTCCTCCTCCATCACACCCCGGCGGCTCTGCGCTCCACTGTGTCACTGGAGAAATCAGCCAGCCAGAGTAAATAAGAGTCATAATTCATTAATCTGGAAAAGTGAACGCCTCAGCAACTCTGAAACATAGATAATTAACCTGATAACAAATTAGTGCCTCCATGCATATTTCATGTCCTGCGAATGGAGTAATGAAGTGTGTTATTATGATTCCATTTTTTTTTTTTTTTGCTCTCTGCTTATAAGGTCCTCTAACATATTTTCGCATTTTGCACTGATAAGATACGCATCTTTTGTGAAATTACTGGGTAGGGTTTGAAAGCACATTTTGAGACCGGTCTTTCGGCGACTGACAGGAGCGAACTCAGCCCCCAAAAAGATCGGGCTCAGCCACTTTAGAAGAACAGACAAACGTCGCCGGAGGTGAGCGCCGCACTTTGAGGATTCTGGTCCCTTGAGAGCAGCTCGCGGTACGACATCAAAAGCGCCCCCCCCGTTTGTTGTTGGCAGCTAATTGCATGAAAGAGCCGCGCCGCTCGGCTACAGGAGCAGAATCCCTCCCTGCCGCTTCCACATTTAGCGACCGCGTTCCTGAATCCGCGCCGTCTCGGCGCGGGAGACCGTCTCAACCCGCCCATGAACACTTCAAGGACGCGCGCGTGACAGCGAAGGCAGCACTCCAAAGGACGCGAACCGACATGCGGAGACGCTCGCTGTCGGGCGGGCTGATCGCAGCGACAGTGACGGCCTTGTTTTTGAGACGCCGCGTGCTTCGGCTTTCATGTGCTGACAGACGCACACGCAGCCTAATGAGGGCAATGGTGTGTTTTGTTTTTTCAAAGGCCGACCTTCCTGGGGCCTTTTTTTTTTCCCGCTCTTATCCTGTTGGACTAATATTGATTTTACACTATTGCTTCAAAAGAGAGATGTGTGGCAGAGCTCGCCTGATTCATATCATGGACGCCAGTGGCTTGTAGGTTGCTGAACGCCAGTTTGGTCCACACTGAAATATGTAATGGGGAACAACAGCGGTGGGGAGCCATCGACATTGAGTTTGGTGCAGATATTAATGGTGCCAAGAAGGTGACTCTTAATCACGTTGTTCATCCCCAGAGATTTCCCGGTGCAAACCCCAGAGGTTGACATTTGCGTTTTTGATTGAAATTTCTCCACATCTGTTGAAAGGACGAAATCCATGTTGAACTCGAGAGGAATTGTAATTTCCGCGGTAATCCCTCCCCTTTGATCTCGTCCCACTATCAGATGAACAAGGTAAAATGATCTGCAAAACTCGACGACGCTCCTAAGAGCTGCAGTTGAACGCTACTTGGAACATGTACAACGTGCTACGCTAGGATGCATGTTAGCTCAAACAGCTGCTAGCACTGCGGTAGATTCTTATTACTGTTTGGGGCACTTCGATACGTGTTGTTCTGAAGTTCCTTTGGCCAGGACAAAGTGCTCAGAACAAAATAGCCTGATGGACGAGAGCGATCAGAGAAATGCTGAACCAGAGCCAAATTCCTCATCGACCACGACTCATCCACCCAAATATTATACATATATCTTTCATTGAAGACACTGTTTTACTGAATGTCAACTCAAACCATTAAAAGTAAACCATAAATTAACATGAATACATTATTGCAAAGCAAAGGCCATTACTCAGTAACTGATTGGAATAAATGACCCATGCAGCTCTGTGCTTCTGATGCCTAAATTCCAAAGAGTAACATGATTTATAGTCATTTTGAAAGCACGTAATGAGCTGTACACTTTAATCATGGAGGAGGGGGGGGAGAAAGGACAAGGTGAATGAATTGACAATATTAAATATTTATAAATCATACAAAGTGTGACGCTCAAATAACATTTACTCTCGCTTTATTTGGAAAACCTTCTTAACCTAAAGTATTTTAGTTTAGCTTTAGTTGCAAACTAAGCCCGGAGTTGCCGTTGCTGCCGAGCGGGTTACTTATGTGGGTCATATAGAGGCATCCGTATTAAACTCATTGCCATTCAAAAGTTCCTCACAAGTAGGAAATGACGTTCCTCTGAAAAGTTTCTTGTTGTCGTTGTTGACCCAGAGCTCATAGAGGACCTGCCCTTTGTTCCTGCAGTCGGTCTCTTTTTTTTAAATCTAAAAACTGTGCTTCTTTTCTATATTCTCTGTCAATCTGCTGTGCTGCGGTCCAGAGGGATGCACATTTACACAGGAAAAAACGCACCGCGTTGGTCCCTGCGCGCCTTCCAAAGATGTGTTTCCATGGTGAAGCTGGATAAGAAAGCATTTGAGTGGCTTTGTTTCACGTGTGTACTTGTGTGTGGGTCGCTCACAGGGTGTGAGTCCTGTCTGCTGTGACAGGATTGTGTGCAGTGAGAGGAGACCTCGCCCGAGCCTCAGGGTGGGATATTACAGCAATATTGGATTTGCAAATGTCATAAGACACGTATTAAAGATGCACACAAACTGGGGCACTGCCTGCAGACCCACGTAGGCAGCGAGCCCCCCGTGCACCCACAATATGCCACAAGAGACACCCACCAGGAGAAAGAGAGAGAGAGCAGCGATACACAGAATATAAATACAAAATAAATAACGGTAAACCATGTGCAACGTTTCTCTACAGTACAAAAGTTGACCGCAGGAGGAATTACAACTGCATTGTTTGTGCATCTGTGTGTACACGCGTGCGTACGCAGACAGTGCTCATGAACTAGAACTCCGACCGAGCAGGTCGGTGTATTTGGCCGCGTGATGAAACGGCAGATGCACTCAGGTGGTTAAAGTTAAAACTCGCAAGCTGGGAACGTTTTGTTCAGAGTAAGAACGAAAGCCAAATCGGCTGCAGGGAATCGTTGTGTGCGCATTAGCAACACCGCTCATCTGCCGGTGGGTCTGTGATTCACGGTTTCCCCCGCGTCGACATCCGCCCGTTCACGTTGCACGGGCCTTTTATGAACAAACTCACGCACAGGAAGCAACTTGGTTAGCTGTAGAAAAAAAGATTGGGTGTGTGGTTAAAATCTAATCACGGAAGTGAGTAGTGGTAACTTTACGTAACTTAAAATACTTCGACTCTCGGTTTCAGGACACAGACGTTGGTCTGGTTGGAGCTTTATCGCCTTACACAATCGCGGGGGCAGCAGGTCAAACCAACAGCGCTATATATATATATATATATATATATATATATATATATATAATGTTCAATTAGCGCTGGAATTTAAACAAAGTTTCAGTTCCGTTTTGCAATAAACTAGAATTTCCAAGAGAACACCTGGTCTCAAATCCTCTGTTCTCTCTCCCATCTAAAGTCTGCCTGGTAACACACAGGTGCCAGTCCATCCAATCCCCACACACACACACACACACACACACACACACACACACACACACACACACACACACACACAGGAGACCATGGTCCCTTTTTCTTTTCCCTCATGTCCACTCATCCTGTTTGAAAAATAGATAAGCTGTCAGCAGCCCGTCTCCAGCTCTCTTAGGCGGCGGCTGGCACACATGTTTAAATCATGTCGTGTCAGACGTGACCTTGGGCAGCGGGACTTGATCTACAGTACACACACACTCCGATGTGTGAAACGTCGGGCGCGTTAGCACCGGCCTCAGGGCCGTGTGACAGGCTCAGGTGAGTTTTCGAGGGCAAGGACACAAGAAGAATCCCCTCGCCAGTCGGCGCTCAGTTTCTGCCCGTAGAAAGGCATTTTCTATAAAAACAAAAATAACAAATATTACCGAAGAGTTTAACATTTGAAACTTCATCAAAGTATTTGATGATTCATTGAGTAAATTCCAGTTAGCTCGGCGGCTCCGAGGCCGGCGTGTGGGAGCGACTTCCTCTGCACTCGCTCAGGTCGGATATAAGGAACAAGACCTCCCGTCTACCATCAAACACCCGCGCACACAAACCTTAAGTCCCGCCTCCCAACCCATCCGTCATGTGGGTGCTGGTTTCAGCTGCTGTGTGTCTCTCTCGGTCCCAACGCTGTCACTACTCGTTTTTTAACGCAACTGTATTTGCTGTCCTCGCCCCCCCCCCCCCCGACCTTGGAGTTTTTTTTATGCAAGTGTAAACAACTGTTCCTCAATCGGGGCCTCCGGGGGCTTCGCTCGGGTCTCAGTCAATAAGGGCGAGATGATGTTTATTCGTGCACGCAACCGGTGCATTTCCCCAGACGGGACTCCACGCCCGCAGCGACTGACTCCTTCTCATCCACTTCTCCTCTTTCTCTCCCCCCCCTCCCCCCTCCCTCCTCTGCACAGCCTCTATCCGCATGCTCACCTGAGACGGAGCGACAGGGAGAGACTGTGCCCGAGCCTCCCTTGTCGGGCCTCGGCCTCTCACGTTTGCAAGGGGCTTCTTTCCGATTACAAGCCGGGGGGCCCGAGGAATGAGATGGAGAGGTGTAGGACGAGGGGGGTTGGGGGGCATAGAGGTAGTGGAGGAAGAGAGAAAGGCCAACGAGGGGACGAGCTAAACAGCCACAATGTCTGCATTTGAGAAAGTGGACGTCTGAGAGATGTCTTCAATTGAGCGCGGCTCCTAAATAGATTTACAGGGAGGGGGAGTACTGAGGGGGGGGTAATAAAAGAGCCTGTCATCCCTCCGCCCCATCTCTTCAGTCTTTTCCTGCTCCCTCCTTCTCCCCTTTCCTGCAGCAGCCTCTCATCCCCCCGCTATTAGGGCCCGGTAATGAAATGTGGAGAGTCTCGTGTTGGTGCCCGGGCCCCTGCAAACTGCATTAATGTGTAAATGGTGTGGGAGTAATGAGAAAGCACTCAGGCCAGCCGGGAAGACTGGACCATGGTATTGTGTTTGTGTGTATAGGTGTGTGTGTGTGTGTGTGTCTGTCAAATGAATAACAGGAGACTTTGGCTGGGGAGGGGCCCCAGCTCTCGGGGTGCCAATCCTGTGATTGTTAGCGTCCAACAGGACAGAAGCTTAGAAAATCTATTCGGTCAGCGGCGGCGGCACAATGACACCCGCCGCCCGAAGCGCCAACGTCTTTATGCGGCTCGCTTAATTCAAGTCTTTGTAAAGGTGAATTATTCAGGCTTAGCAAAAGGATTTGTGCTTTAATGCCTCACAGGCTGACTTCATTCAATCAGTGGATACATTTTGCCGTCGCTAAAACCTGTCCGTCTTCCTTTCTTTTTCTTGCAAGTCGCGGCTTTGATCTGATCCTGTGAATCCGATCAGCTGGTGCATCCTCGCCTGCAATTAGTCTTTGTTTGGTCCCTGAAAACCACCGGCGCATAATGTCTGCTCTACTTTTTAAAACATCCCAGAAGGGGGAATACCTGCCCCTTCCTTCTGCATATTGTATAAGTGCACGTTCTCATACACGCCGCTGGCTGTGTATTAAAGGGCTGTGTGTGAACGTGGCCGAGTGACACCGTTCCATTTCCTCTGACCCCCCCGAGGGCCTAAAAGAAGCCGCGCAGACAAGACGGACGCGCTCCGTCCGGTGAACGCTCTCTTCACGCCGCAATTTATTTTCTTCTTTCTCTTCTTCGTCTCTGCAGATTTGCTACCCAAGTCAGTAGAAAGCGTCTTCGTCTTCCAGGAGGCGTGCGAGGTTGAGCCGAACGCGGCGCCGCCGACCTACGACGCCATCGTGGTGGAGCAGTGGACCGTCATCAACGTGAGTGGACAGATTTGTCTTTTGTTCGGAGCGTCGCGGGTTCTGCGTCTTTCTCCAGAAGGTCGTACGAAATGATTTTGCTCTCCAAACGAATGAGTCCAGGCTATTTGCAATTACCGTGCGAGGCTTTACACGTCGAAATGACATGTTGTACGCCTCAATTATACACCTCAGGATTTACTTCAAAATGCCAACGTTCATGGTGGTAAAATAGGAGTGCAAATGACCGGAGGTTGTGTCCAACCAAATCGTCTAACTCTGGCGCTCTAGTCTACAAAGATAAGTTCAAATCAATCAATAAAGGCAAAGTATTCACATAGATGCCGTCTTTTTCAACAATATATTTAAGCCACATCGCCCAGGCTTGTTTAGAGCACAAATCCCCTCAAAGCGTCTGGACCTCTAGTATCGTAATCAGTTGTCACTAAGTTATCGCGCCCTTCCAGTCCCTCCTCACACCCCCCCCGGACGCAACAACTCCAAAGGCAAATCTGTAAAATCTCAATCTATGTGACGTGTGGTGGTCGCTTGTCTTATCATGAGGAAACAAGCTCTTATCGGCCCCCGAAGAAGATAACCGTCTCGCATCGGCACAAGTTCCGAGTTGGAAATGGATTTCTGTCTATACAGTTGAAGGGTTTGCAGACATTTTACCGCCTTTCAACCGCGTGTTTGCCTCCGAGTGTGCATGTTTGTGCACGTGTGTGTGTGTGTGGTTCCAGGTGTTTGCCGATGCTATCGCCGTAATTGAATTTAGGCTTTTTTTTTTGTGCCCCCCCCGTGGCTGTCCAAGTGTGAAAAGAGACTTTTGTCCCGTAAAAATGAGGCCCCCGGGATCGTCCAGCCCAGAGCTGACGGCCTCATGTCCCAATAAAAAGCCGACAGCCGCAAAGTCCCTCCTCCTCCTCCTCCTCCTCCTCCTCCTCCCCCTCCTCCTCCTCCTCCTCCTCCTCCTCGGAGACGAATAGCAGGACTGTTACAGCCTGATGGACCTCAAAGCTTCGTCACAAGCGGCAACAGTGAACGACGGCAAAACATCAGCCAGTGTTCCAAGAGAGACAATCAGCCCTTCCACCGGCATTTTATGGAAGAGGTTTTAGGTTTACGCCCTGGCGCCGGGACATTTGCAGCCCGCCCCATTCGATTTGCAGCACCTCCTTCACAAAGGGGGGGTTCAGGCGTTTCATTTCGGCCCCAATCCTGTGATCCCCGCCCGGACGTTGATAGCCAAGGTATCCTCGCGCTCGTTATGTTCCAGGCCGGGGATGATCCATGGAAAATTAGGGCGGCAATATTGATGCGGGTGGTTTCTCCCCCCCCCCCCCCTTATCTTCCTTAATATATGCCATCTCGTTTCCCACCCCCCCCCCTTAGGAGCTTACCAGTTTTATTCATCCAGAAGTCTGAAATGTGTTGGGATGAATGAAGCTCAGCGAAGAAGAAGAAGAGGAAGCCGATTCCCTCTAGGGAGGCGTTCATTTATAGTGTGGTCTAGCGAGGGGGGGGGGGGGGCGCGTATCAAGGATGAGGTCTGTTCATTACTGATGGGAAAAGAAAGTTGGTTAAAGTTGTCCCATTTATAAAAGGAACTATTGTGGGAGGAAAATAAACTACACGATCCGACGTCTCCATGTTTTTGTAAACGTTCCTCCGACCTAGCAACGGTATCTAGGGGGGGTGAGACTTAGCAATCAAGTCAATTACAGTTACAATGAGTACAACAGCTGTGAAAGGTTACAGGTATTAGAACCCAAAAGCACAACTCTGAGACAGAAATCCAATCAAAGTTCTTTACTAACTCAATCAGGGTCAAAACCGTGATATCAGTCAAACAGACAAATCCAGAGGGTCAGGCAGGGAATCAGAACCAGGATGGCAATCAGACAGGTGAACAAATCCTAAAAGGGGCAGGCGGGGAGTTGGTGGACAAAAGAGCAGGACGGGATATCAGGTTAATCGAGACCCGTGGGGAAACTTGGCGTACACACAAGACAATCTGGCAGAGGGCAAGTGGACGTGTGGGGACCTAAATAGTGAGGGACTAATGAGGGACTGGGCTGCAGGTGGGAAGGGCACGAGGACCAGGTGAAGAGAGTGAGATGATTTCTTGTTGATGACAAGATCTGGAACGACAGTAGAGTTAATTGACAAGCAGGCAGGCAGGAGAACTGACAATGACACTAAAACACACGATGACAAAAAAACATCCTGCAGCATAGTAGTCAAAGGTTTGGACACCTCATTCGGTTGGATGAGAAGGTGAAACTTTTTTTATATTGGAGTTTGATCAGTTGTGCTGCAATAATGCGTCAAAATGAAGTACAAAGACGAAAAGCCGAGGAATGTGAAATATAAGATTAAAAATAAAATCACAGACAAATGATTTTGACACCAAAACAAATCAGAGAGGAATTGAGGAAAACCGAAACGATCTGACAAACTGAGATCTAAGTGCAGCCTGAAAGAAAGAAAAAACAGCACTAAAACAACAAAACGCATAAATGAACAGGGACAGACGTCTTCAGTAAAACTGCTGAGGAGCTGATAGACATTTCTTATCGCTTTATCGTGTAAACAAAGACACAGATTTGTGGCGCTGTGGAAACATGTGAAGACGCAGCGGTTGCCTGAACGACCTCAATAGGATCCACATGGATGGATCAGACCTCATGCAGGGTTGGTCCTAATATACAAGTAATTTGTCTTGGCGGTTGGTGCATAACATCAGACAGTAAGATAATGGACGACAAGACAGATCAGACAACATGGTGCAAGAGGAATTGTTAGAGGAATTGCTGCATCCTTCAACAAAAACAAACATTTTGTTTGTGTGTTTTTTTGTTTGTAGATTTTCGCTTTCACGTCCACGAGGGGTCTTATGGGTCTCATTCCGTCTTTTAATGGCTTCCCAGTATATCGTTTAAAGCACCTCCGTCTCCTTCAACTATACGAGCAGTATTTTAAATCCTCAAGATCATAATAAAAGAAATATACTATATGTCACGTAAGGGCATAAATGTGGTGCAGCCTTAAAAACACATCTCATCTCCGGTTGGACGATTTCACTCAGTGTACATCATATATACGTGTATATATATATATTTATATATATATATATATATATATGTTCTCACCCTTTTATTTCCAATGATGCTTCTTCGTCTCTCCTGAGATCCTCTCTGCCGCTTCAGGATCATGTTTTTCCTCAAATGCACCTTTTGTAAAATAAATAAATGTAGCCCATAATAACGTAACTCAAGTGTGTTCAGACTCGACAGAGATCCCCCAAGGCTGCAGGGGACATTATACAACATTTGGACAGGTTGTGTTTTGCTCCCTACAACTAGTAAATCCACTTTGACGCGCAGTCCTGGTGAAGTCACAAATCAATGCACGGCCACTATCATGAGCATGCATGCGCGTCACAACCAGCTATCATGCAGAGGGTCCGTACAGCAACAGCTTTTAAAAAAAGCCAAAGCCACACTTTACACTTCCGCCTCTAAATCTTTTTGTGCCACCAGCCCAAAATATTGAGCAGCACAAACAAACAAAAAATTAATTCTCCTCCATTTCAGGGGCGACATAAATCTCCCAACAGCAGCACGTAATACAGAAACGATCCTGCGAGTTAAATCAGTAAATCAGTTTGTTTTCTTGGTCATTTTTATTCCCAACCCCAATTCCAGGGGAATAAAACTGGCATTGGTGTTTATTATACTAATTAGGTACAGCACAGAGCAGTGTGGTTATTATTACTGTAGCTAGAAGAAGAATAACTGTTTTTTTCATGACTTTGGTGCTCGTGAAATAATTTACAGCTGAAATGACGGGGTTTTGGGATGCAAAGAGGATCAAAAGGTCAATTTGATGAGAAGCGCTGTGTGCTTTTCCGTCTGCGCGTACTTTTTAGATATCGCAGCCAGATTGTCGGGAGGTAAAATGTTCTCTCAACCGGTTGAGGCGCTGCAGTGTGACGGCGTTGGCGGGCTTCCTCACCCTTGATCTCAACAACTCGTAAACCCAAAAGACAAACCCGAAAAACTACAAGGAGAGTTTAAAGTGACTGTGTGTGTTTCTACTCCGTTCAAAAAGACGCCCTAAAAGTTAATATCAGTGGATTTTGAATTGAATAGATGGCAGCGCAAAGTCACAGCAAGCGAAAGGAGCTTAACAGCGCCGAACGTTGTTGTCACTCATTTCCAGAATTCACTTGCATCCGCGGCTTAACGAGCTGCTCTTCACACTCTCAGGAAACGGAAGAAAAGGGATTAAGGCCCCACAGGACGCTTTGAAGAAACACTTCAGGCACAACACGAAGACACCTCGGTCATGCAGACACATACATGAACGTGTGTGTGTGCTTTGTCGGTCCGATTTGTTTAAAATCAGGTCAAAATGAGTCTTCAATGTGGGTTCAAAGCAAAGAACTCAGGATGCAGATGAGTCTCGGGAAGAAAAGCCATCTATACAATAGACTTTATTTCATTATTACACGTGGGTCCTGGGCTACTGGAGTAAAGACACTTGAGAAAGAGGTTCATCTTTGGAGTTTATTCTCTACGTCGTAGTGCAACGCAGGAAGAGGAGGTTTTACTTTATCATACGATGTATTAAAAACAACATGAAAGAATAGAGGCAGCGGAGACACGTTACTGAACTTCTACTCCTCTGCATTTCAGAGGCAAATACCCTACAATAAAAGACCCATATTGATTTAAAGATTAAGTAAAAAATCTGATTAGATCATCTCATACTGTGCAACGTGATGTGCACGAAAATGTTTCATTTAAATAACTGTATGGGGCCCAAAGTTCTCAAATGAATCTAAATGTGGAGGTTGGTAACCGAGCCGGTCTGCACATTGAGTGGTTCAACCAGTTACAGAAGTATGACACTGCTTAACCTTCAGTAACCGAATAATAACGCAATGTAATTGAGGGGGGGGGGGGGGCTTATGAGCAAAAGGGTCTAAAGAGGTTTATTTGATTATAAACTGAGGTTTACGTGACCCTGAAACAGGAGTGTCTTCATCTCTTGTTCCTTTCTTCACCGAAACTGTGTTAAAGGTCATAATAATCAGATCAGTTAAACAAAAAGGAAAAGTCGGATTTCTTACCTGATCCATCAGAGCAGTACACACAAACACAGACATCGGATACTAATATTTTCCTCCCCCCTGCAAAATTGCACAATAAAAGCTTCCCCTGGGAGCAGAAGGGGGGGCTTCTAGTTATCAGGCTGCATTAACGGTGGTCTAATCCCACAAAGATAATTCAGGTGTTCATTGAGTCGTATTACTTTTGCAGTGCTGCCATTTCAAATTCTAAAGATGACCTGATGAGGAATATTTTTGATTCTGGGCACCGTTGGACGTCCAAATTTCCACCAAGCATTTATTGAGACATTTCACTGGGACCCTTGAATGTCCATGAGTGTCCACGTGATGGCGGCGACATTCACCCTGTTAAAACGCGGTGGGTGCTGGATGTTCATCGGCCATCGGGAACACTGTCCCAATACCCCAGTGTTATCTTTACTGGGTTACTGGGAAGTCACAGCTACATTCTGGGCTGCTGCCAAACAGAATGGTGGTTTGTTTCGTCTGGCCTGCCGAGTCGGGGGACGGCAACACACTGGTGTTATTAGTTTGGCCTCCAGTTGACCTCCATCCCCCCCCTCAACCCCCCCCCCCCTCCCCTGTGTGTAACGCCGTCAGCTGGGAGCACTGGGACCCTGGAAGCCGCCGACATATTTGTCTCTTTGAGCCGCGAACGCGTTTGTCTGGGAGACGAGAGGATCTCAGGAAGAAAAAAAAAAGCCACCACCTGGATTTAATTTAAAGTAGCTTTAACTGCGGGTTGATGACCCACGGCTCGCCTCCCCTCTCTCCGTCCTCCTTTACAGCCGCACAGATAACATCGGGGACAAAGATGGCGCCGTGATTGCTTTTGTTCTTTTTTAGGGCTCGGAGGTGCCGGAGTGCTGATGCATTAACTCTCGCCTACTGCAACAGAACAGCAAGTCCTTACAGAGAAGTTATTTCTCAATTTACTTTCCGGGCAAAGCCTTTAAAGGGAGCCCATTTCTGGGAGCGGTTCCAAGGTAAACCTTCCGGAAAAAAAAAAAATGTCGATGCGCCGCTTTCTGCAGGAACTCGGAAAACTAATGCTGGTGTAAATAATGTCTTGTGCTCCAACGATTAGCTCTGCGCAGCACACAACTTGCTCTGGGTGATCAATAAGAACCCGGGGGGGGGCAGTGGAGTGGGGTTTAAGTGTTTTGACTTGAGGCCCGTAAACGACAGACAACGAGCGCTGCATCCTGATCAGTCGCTCCCTTCATGACAGCGATCCTATCGGGCAGAGAAGGGGTGGAGGACAGCAGCGTGTAGTAGGGGTGTAACGATTCAACGATTCGATTCGAATCGCGATTCATGGTTGCCGATTCGATTCATGGACGATCTGAGTTCATTTAGAACGATTCGATTCGATTCAGTGACTTGAAATCGATTCAGTAACTTTACTGGACAGTGCAGGCAAAGTTTCTGAGATCGCTGTTGTTTCTTGTAAGGAAATCAGGTTTAAATTAATTATGGATATTATAAACAAGCAAACAACAATTAATAGCAAATTTATTAACCTTTTATTTGAATCAATTACACAATGTTTGGATCAATTCACAGAACCCCGGATTTTCAACCACATTGTAGGGTCGCACGTCTTTACAGATAAACTTGGCAATTGTTGCTGTGATGTTGAGTTTGGTGCTGGCGAGGCCTGAGGAGTCTGCAGAGCTGGAGTTACCTGCTGCTGCTGCAGCGCAGATCGATTCAGTTGGATCGCAGGAATATTAATCGATTAATCGATTCAGTGGATGAATCGTTACACCCCTAGTGTGTAGCTGTACTACTCGTGTGCATCACTAGGATGCCACTCACAATGGTAGTCTTAGTTATTGATACACTCCGAATGTGTACCCCTCCATCAGAAGAACGTGTCGGACATTGTGTTTGCCAGAGCATGAAGGAGTTTGTTAAGACATTATATCAATAACGTGTAAGCGCTGAAAACCCGACCACATTAAATCTCATTAAAAGCTTTTCTAACAAAAAGACAGCGAGGAAAGGAAATTACAGGTCCCGCTTTGCTTTTGTGTTTCCACCTCTGAAGTTCTTAATGTGTCAGCACATTTATTTTATTATTATTGCATTAATGTGTGGTGCTTCGTCTTCGGAGGCCAAGAGGGACACGTTTTCCACTGCAGCCTCCTCGTGCTTCTCGCTGATGAAGGTGGTCGTGTATTCACACGGAAAGCTTTCATTTTAAAGGGGACTTTCACAGGCCGCTGTGGCGGCTGCAGGTGTGGAGCGTTCTGGTATCTGATCGCGAATACACCGTGACTTCCTGACTCTGTAACACTGAGCATTTTAAATTATTTACTTTGATTTTGAACAGTCCATAACTTCAGGCACCCATTTAGAGAATATGGATCCATCCAGGTCTGTGTGCGGGTACGTGTGTGTTCATGTGTGTGCGTGCGAATGTTGTTGTTGGTTTCGATCGCAATCTCAACCGACACGAGCTGCGGTATTTTTTCGGCAGGTTGCAAACCACACGCGTGCTTCCTCTCCGACCAGGCCGCGTGTGTGTGTGTGTGTGTGTGTGTTCTGAAACAAGGCCTACGTGTAGTAATCTGTGTGCTTTTCAGTTTGAATCACTAACGAGCTCATTCTCTCTTAAGTCTAAACAATCATAGAAATGTTTGTGTTTCCGTCCGTTGAGACAACAGCTCATTTCTATTGATTATTCTAATGGCGCGAGCAGAGTTTAGATGTTTACCACGGAGTAAGCAGTTTGAGCGGTCTGTTTGCTCGAGGACTCCCTGTGCTGACAAAGCTTGTCATGAATAGAGATGCTTTCCATGTTGACTCAATGCAACCAGGCAGTGTGCGCAGCAGTTTACGTCTCGGTTTCTTTTTGTAATTCTTTGCTGTGCACATCGCTCTGAAAACAAGCTCAAAAGGCTGCACACTATCGGTGCATCAAAGCCATTAAGTGAGAGGGGAAGGGCAGTTTTGTTGATTGGAAGCGAGCGCGCTCTGCTCCATAACGTGCACGCTCGCTGTGTGCAGCTCTCGGGTTGTTTATGCTGATTGCACGTTGTTTTCTCCGCAGGGTTTGCAGGTGAAGGCCGATTATGTTCCCCTGCTGCAGTCGCTGGCCACGTACGGATGGAGGCTCACGTGTGTGCTGCCAACTCCTGTAATCAAGACCAACAGGTAACGATCCCCATCCGACTATCAAAGGGTGCAGTGAGTTGTCTACGACCCCTGATGGCGACCCCGAGGAATTGAAACCGCGGCGACTACTTTTTAATTTCTTGCCAACTGAAGCTATTCAGAAGAACAGCTGATTCATGGTATTTATTAAACCAATTAGCTGCCCCGCTGATGATGTATTGTCTGCTATGACCCAAGGGGTGAACACTTAGGTACACATCTACTTTGCATTTTATAATTTAGAAGATTACTTTATACAGAACCAAGAATTAAAAAAGGAACACGTACACAGGATTTTAAAATAACGAAAATAAAACTGGAGATAGAAATGTGCTGGAATGGAAAAGAAATGCAGAATGCAGCGAGGCTTGTGAATAAACTACCTCAAGGTTTTTACTTGAGTAGTTCATTCACTTTATTATGTTTCCACCTTCTAAATCATTCAAAAAAGCACATTATTCCAAAAGCACATGGAGGTTGAGGGTTGAAGCAAAGCTTTTTTTCTCAGTTCATGAAAAACAAAACTTTAGGGGGATTTCTCAAGATTTTAACGTGGTAGCTTTTCATCAGTGACAGCGCCGTGTCACTGCAGTGGTATTGCACTACTGTGAAAGTGTGCATACACAAACTTTGAATTATTCTGGAGGGGGGGGGGGTTGTTCTTTGAATAAAAATGGAAAATGTCACTGGTGCCATCTTTTGGTTTTGCTGCTCGGAGGCAAATCTCATCAAAGTTCTTCTTAAGAAATGTGAAGCTGAGAAAAAGTTATCGTGCGACATCACAAACTTGCATCAGGCAGTGAAAGTTGTAGCACGCGCACCTTGTCTGGTGAAGCTGTTGTTCCAAGAAATAAGAGGGCTTTAGAAGAAACTGACCTAAATCTTTCTCCAATTCATGCTGAGCCGCACGCTGAGAAGCAGCATGTGAAAGTGTAAAAGCAGCGGCGGCTGCGCCGGCCGGCGGAAAGTCTCGCGGACGCCTGCGACGGTTCCTCGGCCTGTGCTGACTCATCACACGGGGCTTCTATAAGAGTGCACATCCGCTTCACGGGCAAACCGCCTCGCCGGCTTTTTATCTCCGATTCCAGGCACAATTTGTCCCTCTAACATGCTGAGCGTGAGTCCCTTCGGTCCGGCCTTCAGAAACCACTCCCGCCGTTATGTTTAAGAAAATAGCGCACAGAAAGAAAGCCCTCACTTGGAATGTCGCCATTATTCTGAAGTAAAAGATGTACGTATGTACTTTGAAAGGAGGGGAAATTCGTCACTGTAATGGCTCCCGATTTCCATAATGGACACAAAGTACAGCAAAAGCAATTTCGGTGCACCGTGATGGAAGACAACAGGCGCCGTCCTTGATGTGTGGGGAAAATGGCCGCTAAAGTTCAGCCGGTTCGGTGCCCTCAGCTACTTTCAAGCCGCTCTGCTGCAGAGAGGAAACCGTGCCGGGAAAAGCACGAGGCGCAAGAACATACGAGATTGATTTCTCAACCTGATTTCTTCAAACTCGGACCGAGAACTTGCAAAGAACGAGAACTGGGAAACATCAGTTTAAGACGGGCTTGAAAAATGCAGAACTGTCCTTTAACACAACGCTCAGTATTTCCATCAGTACGCCGAGCGATTGTTCGCTCCGCCCTCAACTCCGCTCGTCATGTTTGCTGCTCTTTCACAGCAGAGCTGATTAATTACCTCGCTTTTTTTCATCCTTTGTCCTCCCCTCCTCCCCTCTCCCTCCCTCCCCTTCTCTCCCTTCTATCAAAATGCCACAGCACAACAGCACAACATGGCTAATTAATCAGAGTCGGCCTAGATACAGTACAAGGAGCTCATTTCTCTCCCTGCCTTGAAAACATTTTGCGGGGCGAAATAATGGTTGATGATCTATTTCAGATTAGCAATACTCATTACGCTTGTTTTTGCGCTGTTGATTCCATTTTTTGTAAAACGGCAAATTTGCAAAGGCGCGCTCTGCGGCGTCTGAGGGTTTCCAGACTGCACTTCATCTGGAGGGGTCGGATACGTGTCAGCGATCTCAGCCGCGTCTGAAATGAATGCTAACTGGTGCTCAGCGGCTTCTCCACACAACATTAATTCGTGTAGTTGTCTCCGAGCACGCATTCTTGTTGGCCCGCATTCAATTAATGTAGATGGTAATTATGTTTTAGAGCCATTAACTACAGTAAATGGGAATTTCTCCACATCAACTGTGGAAAAAGAGAACAGACAACAAGGGAACGATAGGTGCAGACAGATGAGTTCATTACAGCAGGTATCTAAATATGCTGCAGACTAAATGGTGATCAACGTAGATATTGCGTCTCTTTTAAATATAACTCTGTATTTTTTGTTCAGTGCAGCATTTTGTTTGGCAGCTGTAAACTATTTCCCCTAAAGAGGAAGCCGGCCATCAGGTACATTCACCCAGAAATAGACGCAGGTCATCGCTGTTCTACGTGGAGTCCTAATGGCCAACGACTGACAGGCGAGAGACGCTCCGGTAAAGGCCTGTCATTTTCTGAGCCGTCCTCTCCTGGCTGGCTTAATGGACCGGGCCTTTTACTGGGAACTCCGGTTAGTCTTCGCCTTCGATTCGCCGGGAAGCCGTCCAGCGTTCTGGACAGGGTAGATAATAACCTGGGGATAAATAGTCGAAGGTAATGGAAGAAGAAGAAGTTGTGGTGGGCTTGGGATGGTTCAGAGAGTCTCAAGTCCATTTTAACGTTGAGAAGGGGAGATTTGCGACGGGCTTTAAGGGTTCTGCAGCCATCGTTCCTCATGTGCGAGGTGGAGCTGGCAGCTTGACTGTAGACAACAAACCAACCTTTGCGTGAACTCGCGTCAGATAGCGGCGCAGGGCAACATGTCTGCTTCTTAAGCCGCGTCCAATAATAGCGTGAGATAAAAGGAATAATGCAAAAACAAACAATAAAACTGCCAAAAACGAGTGGTGGGAGATAAAAAACAGAGTGGTAAAAGAAAGCAAGGAGAGAGGGAGGTGAATTAACAAAGGCGAGCAGACCGAGGAGTGAAAGGAGAAAGGAATGTGTATTTCCTGCCCCGATTAATCTGTCAGCGCGTGTACTTGTTTGCGGATTATCCTCCTCGAGAGGATCGTCTTCAAGAGAAGCAACGTGCGCTCTGAGGCGTCGAAGGCCGACTTTAAAAACACGCTTTGCTAAAATATCGATTTCCTCGAGAGACTGGGACGCGAGGGAGGAAAAATGGCGACGGCCAATGACAGCGGCGAAGAGGCCGTGAGCCTTTATAGCTGTAAAACCGAGCGGCCGATTTATTATGTTAACGGAAGGTCAGAAAGACGGCATCAATCTGCCGCGTCTCAGGAGTTAACTCAAATGATCCTGCTGCAACTCTTCAAGCAAATAAAGCGTCATTGTTGACGCAAGTGGGGAAAGTTCGATCCAATCCAACATAACTCCGCGTTTAATCATTGGGAAATAAATTGGCGCCAAAAAAGGTTTAGAGAAATGAGCTTATTATTAACAGCTGTTCCTCTTTTTCTCTGTTTCCCTCCTTTTAGTGATGGAAGTCTGTCGACCAAACAGATTGTTTTCCTGCAGAGACCCATCTTGGGCCGAAAGAAGAGGGAATCCAAGGTACGCAAACCTCACATTCCGCCCTGTGCTTCTTGGCTGCTGTGGTTGCTCCACATTTATCCAGACCAAACATCCCCTTTGGGCAAACACACAGAGCGCCGGACATGAGTGACACACGGACGAGGTGACCCCCCCAACCCCCCTCACCGAGGGAGTCCCTCATCAACAAGCACTCGTCTTGTTTGGAGGAGCAATAATTCTTTAATTCTTCCTCGGCGACCCTGAGTACCGGCGTTAACCTCTAAATCTAACCTCCGTCGGCAGCGGAATGAATCCACGTTGGCCACTTTGTGTGACCCGAATTTAAACTGCCGTCACAACAGCAGATATAAGGCTCAGGGAATCGCTGGCGTCAACAACATTTTCTTGGCTGTTTTTTTTGCAGTTTATCTCAGTTCTCTACATCCCTGCAGGGATGTTGAACCCTGCACAAATGGTTCAGGTAATTGACAACATATTGCGTTGAACCTTTGGTTGTTTGTTTGGTCAGACTGCAGACCTGGAGGACACCTACGTCCCCTCTAAGTGGCCTCAATTTCCCGCTCGGCATCAATGAGACTCATTTGAATCAGCTCATTATCCCAGTCGCTGTGATTCATTCCTAATTAAGTGTGCGCGCACTGCTTTGTGCCCAAAAGCGTATTTAAAGAGTCACAATGCCTTCCACTAACACGCTTATGTAAACTTTCAATGTTTCAGAAATTGATCTTCAAGCCCCGCGGCAAGTCCAACAAGAACTGCGTCAAAGACTCGGCAAAGAACAAGAACAAGAAGAAGAAAGCAAAAACCGACGGTGATGCAGAAGATCCCAAGATTACTGACCGCAGTGAGAAGGTCGAGAGGGATGAAGAGAAAAGTAAGGAGGAGGGGGTCAACGCAACCGATAGAGAGGCATCCAAAGAAAGGCAGCTGAGGTCCGAGGAAGATGGAATGATGAATGCCGGGATTGAAATAAGCATTGAAAAGAAAGACGGAGGAGCAGAGACGGAGAACAAAGGAGCAGAAACCGGCACAGCGGAGGAGGGAGAAGAAAAGGCAGCAGTGGAAGAAGTGGGAACGAAGGAAAACGGAGATCCTCCGGAAACCGAGGAGGTCCAGGAAGTGACGGAAATCACTGCGACCGTTGAAACGCGCAGCGACACCAAAGAAGAAGAAGAAGGAGGAGGCGAGGGCGCGGCAGAGGCCGTGATGGAAAACGGGGTGAAGACGGACGAGGAGGACGAGGGCGAAGAGGTCGCGATCAACCGCGGGACAGAAGGGCCATCGGGGGAGGAGGCGACCGCCAAGGAGATGTCGGCGGCGGCCTCGCGGGCCGGGGCGGCTGTCGAAAGCCGAGCGGAGGAAGAGTAGCCCCGAGCAGTCCAACCTCAAGCTTTTCTTTCCCACCCTACCTCTCAAATTCCCCATCGCAAGAACCGCCCCGCAGTCGTCGTCCCTGATCCGGATCAAATGGGCCTTCGATCCCAAGCGCTGCAGCATTTTCCAAAACCCACCGACTCTCGTAGACGACTCCCCCCCCCCGCAACCTGCAGTAGTGTAGCTACACAGATGTGTCATCCTTAATCATGCTTAACATACCGAATGTATATATCTAAATCACATCTGTAATGTGGAGACACTGGATCGGAACGATGCCTCGATCAGAATGGGCGCCTTTTTGGCGAATGTGAAACAGCTTAGCGGGATTTGGTCACACACGCATACAAAATGTATTTCCTTTCATTGAATTGCAGAGATGATTAGGTTTGTTCGTCAGTAAATCTTTTAGTAAGTCGTCTCCCAACTCTTCAACGGAGGAAGCTACCGTAGCTTAGCTTAGGTTGTTGCGCCGGACACTTTTAATTCGCCTCCTGCGTCCGAATATGAACCGCCGCACAGGAGGGATATTTCAGAGGAGTCAATTAATTGTTTGATGAACATATTGTTCCAGCAGCAACCCGAGATAGGAAGCTCGCTAACTGACGGTTAGCAATTGATAATCAAATAAAAAGGCGAGACAAACCTCGAGAACAAAATGTGAGAGCGCAGCAATCAGACCCTCGATAAGTCAAAATGTTTATGTCATTCATTTAATTATTTTTTACCAACTAGCCTTTTGAATTGTCGCTACGTCCTAATTTACACTGGGCCCCTTTGTGGCGTGAACAGGCCTTTCATGGGGTAAACTTTACATGTGTAAAGTGTTGCTTCGCTGCGTGCACCAGTCAGTCGTGATGCGGTGGGGGGAGCGCGGGGGGGGGGGGGTGGGAGGGAAAGGGCGTTCGTTGCGACAGGCAATCCAAAGTAGGGTGAAGAGATAATTGTTTACGCCGAGCTCTGAGCCGCCGAGTGCTTCAAAGAGAGCCGATAATCACTCTTTGCTGGGGGGGGGGGGTGCTGAGCTCACCTTGCATACAGAAGGTTGCATATTCATCGGGGCAGTGGTTAGGTAAGCAATGCTCAATGTAACGGCAGGGAGAGAGGATCTCAGCTCTCCGATTAGCTCTCACATGCAGGAGTGACGCTTCATTTCTGCTTGACGGTTGGGGTTTTAAACACATTATGAAGGGCGAGGTGGAGCCGTGGGGGGGGGGGGGACCGAACCGAGCTGTTTACGGGGGACCAGGCGAACGTGGAGATGGAGGTGACAGGAATCGGTGGGCATAGAAAGAAAGAGAGCGAGCTAGAAAGACCGCAGAGGATAAGGGATTCTATTATAAGAAATGAATAGGCTCATTTAAAAGTAACGGCCTCCCCCCCCGTTGAGATTTCCCGTCGTTATTTTACCTCCAGCTCTTTAAGCACCTCGTCTCCGACACCATTTCTGACAATAACCGCGTGGTAATGCGCGGCCTCGTGGCATCTCGCGGCTTTCCATTTTAGCAAAGAGCGGGTTTTGGGGGGAGGGAGGCGACGTTCGCCCCTGTTAGCTCACTAATGGGTTTTGTCAGTGGGGTATCTGTCAGAAATAATGCATTTATAATGCAGGTCACTTATTGGGGGGGGGGCGGCTGTCGATAGCGACCCCCACCCCCCTCGCCCCCCCCCTCGACGAGTCATGCAAATAGCCCTCGGATTTGATGTTCAGACGTCAGCTTCCCGTTGACCAAGAAGGTGAACTTTGAGCTTTTCTTCGCTCAAGGAAAAAGAAAACGTCTCCTTTTCTTCATTTATCGGTTACGCTGAGGAAGTGCTCTCCTTTAGGAATCCACCCGCCGCTGAGATTTTTCAACGTGAAATGGCAAGTGATTTTGTGTAGAGTAGAATATAAAAACTGTGACCAGCTTCGCCTTATTACGAATACTGTAAATGCCCCACGATCCGCTTTTTAGAACGTTCCGTCAGAGGCGCAAGTGGTTTAAGTGTTACACGTCTGTTATAGTCAAACAGGGCAGGTCTGCCTGAGTCCGTGTCGGTATTTTTGAAGCTGTTGTCCTCAGTTTTATTTCTGCGATTGTGCGGATCCGCAGGAAACTTTTCAGAAAGTTTTGAATTTCTATCCTTTTTTTATGATTACCGTTATTGTGAATGTTGCGTTTTGGAGTCCAGCGATTCTTTTCATCGTGGCCTCTGTGTTGCTAAAGCTTGCTAAAGTTGTACTTCTGACTGACTCTTCGAGCTACCTCCCCCCCTCCCTCTCACTATGACGGAGTCCAGAGCCGTGGGCGACCCCAACGAGGTCAAGGGTCGTATTTGGGGCCGAAAATGGATTTCCCACGTGTGTCCGCAGGAGTGTGAATGAGCACGTGACGAAGGAGCACTCTGGTAACGTGGAATTAAGATATGAAGTCACATCACAATATTCTCTCTCTGGCGTTTGCTCTCATTCATTCGTAGAAACTCCTCTCAGCTGCTTTTAGCTTCCAGCTGTTTTGGCTTTAATAAGCGCTTATTGTATTCAAGGAATATGTAAAGCTCCCTCTTGCATCAGAGCCGCTGGGGGGGGGGGGTAAATAACGCTCAGCTGTCACTTTCTCACGTCCGTCAGGAGGCGATAAAGATGAATTAGGAAAGGCAAACACCAAAAGACGCCTTCTGAAAGCTGACGAGCTCATTGTGAATATTTTTGACAAACGTCCCCAAAAGGATCCAGATCAACTTATTTCGTCCGATTTAATCAATTTCTTCATTTTCCCCTTCGTCGGGACAAAGGTTCGAACTGTCATCTACTGTATCTGCTTCATGCATCGGCTTCAGTATTCCTTGCTGTTGTTTTTTTTTAGTCGGAAACTGTGAGGTTTATTCCCGCTTGGCGTCCTGTGGAAGCCGACCGATCGTGATCCACAACATGAAGCAAAGAGTTTGGTGAAAAAAAAAAAAAAGAAATCAGTCAAGCTTGAAGGCCGATCTGACCGCGGGTTCGACTCCCACTTTCGGTCCGGTCGGGCCTCCACAGGCACAGACGAAAGTTACGGCCGGCCTCTGACGTGAGCACACTTCAGGGGCCGTGGGTAATTGAGATATTTTTCTTTTTCTTTCCCGGCAGAAGGAAATCACAGAGAGGGAGAGAAACGCGAGGCCGGATCTCACACTTCATCAGTTAAATGATGCTGAACCATGTTTAGTGAAAAGGAGGAGACCTCTGACTGATGTTAGACTTAAATATACATTTTGCAGCTCTCTGCCCATTTGCGTGAAACACATTAAATAAAAAAATAAAAAAGATAGTATGCAGTTTCCTGTCTTCTATCAGCATAATTGTCTCTGAACTCAGTCGTGGCGCTGGTGCAATCGTTCTTGGTGACGCTGTAAAAAAATAAAACGCAAATGATTCATTTCCTGTGAGCTACTATGATGTGAAATGGGCAGAGTAGAAGCAGAACATGATACAATAAGATGCCGTCATTTCCTCTCTTTTTTTTTCTTCTGCGTTGTCACTTTACCTTGATCCCAGCCTCTGGATTTTTTTTTCTTAATGTTTTTTTCTCGCTGATGTTTTTTCGCCTCGGCCGCCATCTTGAATGTTGAGTATTTCTGATCGTGTGCTGTTGTCACTTGCAAAGCAGTGTTCGCTATCAAGGAGGGAAAAGTACTCTTTATGTTTGCTATCCTGAGTACGTCCACATTCCTATTGTTCATGACATCTGTACAATTTGTATATTATAAAATGATTTATATTTAATGTGTACACGTGTTGTTGCTTCTTTTGTGTCCGAGGAAAAGCAGCTGCTATTAAAAGCAACGCAGGGGCTCAAATACAAAGCTATGCAGGAATTATAGTCATTTGACACAAACTCATGAATACAGTTTCCTTTGTTTCCAGTTGCAGCCATTAGAAATACATGTAGATGCCTCCTGCAAGTAAAAACAAGTCCATTTTATATATTAATATCGCTTTACTGTCTCAGTTGTACAAATATTCTTGCAGTTACAATATATATCCCACACGCACATAACACTACACCGCTTAAATAAGATTGCTACGTGGCAAAGTGCAGAGACGCTCACAAGACGGGAATTATAGAGGGAATAAAACGATTTAGAGGAGAGGAGAGCGTTTGCACCTAAAGCCTCTGAGAGTCAGCAGACACAGTGACGAGAGCTCCAGCGGCCTCTGTGCCGTTAAGCAGCAAAGCAAGTTCAGAGGAATGTTGTGTCCTGCAGTGCCACACGAGGGACTGTCCTTGGACGAGATTTAAAAAAAAAAAAAACTGAAGTCATGACAAATAGCAACGCCAGTCCAGTGAAGAAAGGAATCAGACTGAGAAAACGTGTCGGTCGCTTTTTGGGGCTTTATTTTTTTTTAAATCTGCTCCATCTGGTTATTGCCTTTGTGACTGTGGAGACCCCAGAATAGATCAACTTTACAGTTATTACACCCTCAACCCCAACAGCAGAACACAGCAAGACCATTTGTCACGCCCTTACATCCAAACAACGCCATTCCGCCCCAAAACTGTCCCCCTTGAGTCAATATTTCACATAATGGCCGAGGCCGCGGATAATAACCCTGCAGTGCTTTATGAACAGAGTATATTTACAGTGGAGTCGACACAGCCGGCCTGATCTATAAGTCATGAGCCGCGCCCCCGGGGGAGCTTAAGGTCATTAAGAGTCGGGCTTTGCCTTCCACTAAAACCACATCCATTCTGTTCACCGCAGCAGGTCTTAATTGCTCCGGAGGCAGATTGGGGGCCACCGGACATTAGACGCGTGACGGCGCATTGTTGTGACCCCAGAGGTAACGCCACGCAAAATAAACCAGCCACAGCCGCGGCAGCGTGTTTTTCAGGCGGGTAATTGTTTTGGGGGATTGTAGGATGTCAAATAGCATCGGGGCGATAGCGGGTTCCATGTTTGTGCCTCGGTGCTCAGAAGGTCCCTGAGGTTCACTGAGAGGTGGAGCTATGCGACGTTGGTTCCAGGTGTTCAACACCGAATTGATTTACCCAGAATTCACTACACCCGAGAAATTAATCTAAAATGCTTGTATTGGATGTGTCATAAAAGGGTTTTTTTTTTGTTCCCAGGTGAGATGTAGGTTCAAGTTCCCTTTGACGCTGCACTGCCATCTAGTGACCGTGGACTCATATTTGTGTCTCATCTTTCATTTATCAGCTTTCCAGTGAGACGATTTGCAACGTTTATCAATCACTTTGGGTTTTTAAAAGGCTTCAGATTAAATTCACGCTTTTATTCCCTCAGCTCAAGCTCAGAAGACAGTAAAGGCAAGGGTGTCAAATCTACTGGAATATTATACACAAGTGAAAGTACAATTCACACATTTAGTGAAGATCAATTCGTCTAAAAGTACATTAAAAATACTCTAAACTCAGTTGGCTAAAATACCGTTATGTTCAAACAAATTCCATTTCAATACAACTGATTGTGTAAATATATTGTAAATATAAGCAGGCACCTCTCTTGGTGCAGCCTTGAAATTAAGCTCCTAACCCCAACAAAGATATAAAACACATTAGACGAAATAGTGCATAAATCCAGCTGCCCCTTCTTATTGAATCAACAGCAGAATAAAACATCACCAAAGCAAACACAGAGCTCTCGAAACAACATTTACTCCACAGCCGCAGCAGCTAAACCCACATTACCTCACAGGAGCACGCACACTTTTTGCTCATTGTGACAGAAACACACAACGCCAACGCTGCAGATGCAAATATTTTCCCCTGTGCAGTTGCAACATGAGTTTGTTGTTTGAAAGTCATTCTGCGAGTCAACCTCTCAAAATGCTTCAGCTCTTCTTTTTTTAAACTATGAACAATAAGGTTGACCAGAAATGACTTAATACTTTATATTAATCTATTGTTCCACTGTCACGCAGTTTGGGTTGTAGACCTACTCTGGATGTGACAGTAGGCTGCAAACCCCTGATGATGTCATAGTGATGTCATCCTGAGTTTGGCTTGAGACTGATCTGAAACCAAAAGGTGATGTAAAGTAAACGCGGAGACGACACGCTGGGCTCTCGGCACTTCGCTAGGAACGTTTTAAACTAAAGCAAATGATCGATACGACTGGAGATGCACTCACTCCTCGCGCACCCTTTTCCCTTTTCGCCCACTTGAGCGTTCCACTCCGACGAGCACACTTCGGACATGAGGTCAGTTTGAGCGTGTTCATCACCGTACCAGAGAAGCACTCTGTGGTGTGTTTAATAAGACTATAATCACTTTGCCTCGACTTGCAGAATCTTGTGAAAACCATCAGGCCGGTGTTCGATAACGTCCCCCAGTTCCCTCCCCCACCCTCATTGTAGCGGATTAACTACCCGCCGATTAATTAACACAATTACCTCTGTGTGTCTTATCAACCTTTGTCAGGCCGCAAACTGTAAATGAATTAATATCCCCCCTCTTGTCGTTTCTTAATTACCTCCGTGGCGGTACAGGAGTTCTGGGACAGCCCGGGCTTTGTGCTGGTCGACCCTTCTGACGGCGCTGTGAGCTCATTGGTCCGCGAGGCAGGAAATGAGAAAACGCCGCCGAGAGGCGAGGAGGGGACGGCGCCACGTGGAGGGAGGCTCTTCAGACTTTGAATCCCTCCGTAATCTTTCTGGCTTTTCACCGCTGAAGGTGACACTCTGACAAATAACGGCCTTCAAAAGGAAGCAAATGATCGAATACACAGTGAGACCTTCAAGTTCTGGCTAATTATGAAAGAGACAGAAGCAGTTGAAAGGAGCTTTTTATTGTTTGTCTACTTGGAGGCCCGTGGAGACCAGATGGATGTTCACCAGCCGATTACTGTCAACAAAACAATTAAAACAAGTTCATAAACCGCCATGAAGTGCACATCCTATGTATATTACACATGTTACACCAAGTCAGAACATATCTCCCCTCAAAGACCATTTACTCACAAGTTTTTACTGAGTCATTTCCATGACTTTAAGTAAATGTTCATGACTAAAGAGTCTCCCAAACGTATGTGTTTACATGAAAAATGAGAATAAAAGACGCAGTTCAGAAATTACGCAAAGAACAACCTAAATTAAAATGCCGTTACTGACTAAATCGTTCTTAACTGAGCAACCTACTACCTATTATTCAGGTGTCTGTGACTTCCATGACCCCCCCCCCCCCCCCCCCCCTTCCCCCTCTGCCTCACCTGCTGGGGCCTGGCACAGCAATGGAAGCGCACGTCATTGAGGCTGGAGTCGTCCACGCCGTACTGGTACTCCTCCATCTTGGTCTCGATGCCGCAGATTCCTCCGTCGCTGCACTCCTGGCTCCAGAAGCCGTACTCCCCCCAGTCGGCGGCGTGCCCCTCCAGCGTCGGGTTGCTGCTGCAGCGGAACTTGATGTTGTTGGCGGCCGTGTCGTCCCCGAGCAGACCCTGGTGGGGCTCCACGCGCAGCTGGAAGGAGGTGAGCACGCCGCTGGGGCAGTACTGAGGCTGGGACCAATCACCGAAGCTGGACAGGAGAGGAAGAAGGAGAGGGGGGGGGGGGTCCCATGAGGGCTCTTGTGCACCTCTCATTCTTTATTCAATTCTTATTTAAGCTTCACAGAGCTGCCAGGTTTGTCCCACTGGGACATTACATGACATTACATGTCATTTAGCGGACGCTTTTATCCAAAGCGACGTACAATAAGTGCATTCAACCATAGGGTACAAACTCAGGAGAACAAGAAACAAGAAAGTGCAATTTCCTCAAATAGGCCAATTTACAATTTGCTATAGATGAGTGACGTTACAAGTACAATTTAAGTGCTACAATTTGTTAGTCTTTAGTCGAGGTAGAGTCTGAGGAGGTGTGTCTTTAGTTTGCGGCGGAAGATGTGAAGGCTCTCTGCGGTCCTGGTGTCTTCAGAGAGCTCGTTCCACCATTTCGGAGCAAGGACAGCGAAGAGTCGAGACCTAGTCGAGTGTTTTGCTCTCAGCGGGATCATTGGGATCAACAGCTGTTTATGGTCATCTACGTCTCAGCAGGTGGCAGATGAGCAGATGAGGGCAAAGCAAAGTACATTTCTATCGATGTGTTGAGTGCTGCCATTGCTGCTGTCATATTTCTTTTTTTTTCATTCTGTGGTTTCATTTGGAACATCTGCATAAATAACTGTATAATTTGATGACTTGATTGCCTATTGAGCTACTCACTAGCCCGCGTGGGATTCAACCGAGTACAGGAAGCTCCGGTCCTCTTGTTTGGCACAGATGAGGCGGATCCCGTTCAGAGCGGTGTCGTCCGCCCCGTACTGGTTCGACTCCACCTGAGGAAACAGAGAGCGGTTCACAGACCAGCGCTGCTCAAATCACCCGCTTATCTCGTTCGTCTTAAACGACGGGTCTACTCAGGTCTATCTAATCTAACTCTGCATTTCCCTCCCTCGTCTCCTTTGAAACACTTTACCCTGAGACTGAAGCCAACAGCAAAGAAGCGGTCGGGACACATCTCGGGCCAGGTCCAGGTACCGAACTGCTCCCCGTTGCTCACGGTGAGCAGAGATCTGTACTCTCTGCCGCTGAATGAGGCGCCGGCTCGCTGCAGAAACACCTTCTCCTCCTCACACAGCCCACCGGACAACGCAGCCAGCACGGCCGAGAAGAAGAAGAGGAGGCTCGCCATGTTCACAGCAGAGACTCTGGGGACGCAGGTAGCGAGGGGTTGGGCCCTCAACGCTCTTATAGCCTCCCGGGGAAAACGACCACCCGGGTATCAGGTTGAATCATTTACAGAGCGGCGTGGGACTGAACAGATGGCGTTGTATAATGCCGAGTTGTTGTTCATCTTTATTAATGAAGTTCATATAGATGTTGTTCTATTAGTAATTGCATTTATCTTTTGCCTCACAGCAAACAGTAAACCTAATAATAAGGATTCAACATTTCTACCCCCTAAAAAAACAAATGGAAGCCACAGAATTAAATTGAACGGAAACAGAACCTCCTGCAGTTGTAGTCGACAAGTTCTCTGACATTATACACACAATTATTAGGGTGGTAATATAAAACACTTGCACAGACCGGATGGATTTCAGTGTGAGTTTTAGCAGTTTTCACAGTACAGCTGTATATTTCTCTGCAGATACATCAACATGCAGTAAAGCAACATCACAGCTGCCACTGAGTGCACGTCCTCGTGTGGGGGTTTCACAACGGGGTCGATGTGATGCACCTGTTGGCAAAAGGCAAAGGTTTTCTCAACGAGTAGATCCAGGAACGCGTGCAGCTTTGAAAAGACAGGACGACTGTGCAGAAATCCTCACAGCTCATTTTAAAAGGCCGCTTGTGAATACACGCCGTGTGTCTTTCTCCACCGTTTAGTGTTTTGAGATTTTCCCACCATCCTTTTGACCTGTTTTATAATAAATGAAAAATCAACGTGTTATAATAATTTCCCTTTAGATACCTGCCCTGTCAAGTTTCTTTTGAATGTAGGTTGAGTTTTCATTTAATTAATTTCTTATGGGATTACTTAAAATTCATATAAACCCCACATGAGTCTTATTGCAAAGTGAACAGGAAAAACTAAGCGCATGCCATCTTCCCACAATGCCGTTCTGCTCCTTCCACTGCAGCTCGTGCTTGTTCAGAGGGGCTGGTTTGTGTTTTCTGATGAATACTTTACAGCTGAGCTTCACTATGTTTTATTCTGTTAGAAAATCAGTCATTCTGGGCGATGACGTGGAAAGGAGTTAATGGACTGAAGTCAAAGCCAGAACACGAAAGGAAACTATTATAAAACTGGACGTCTTGATTCACTGCAGGTTTTTGACAGTCTAACAATAAAAAGAATAAAGGGAGCCGTTTCACAGCGGCGACACTGAGGTCAACCCCCCTTTGTCTCCAGCAGCAGCTGATGAAGAAGAAGACCATCCGCACGGTCGTCTTCGGTGTCTATCTGGTCCGATCTCTGATGAGAATAATGCTGCATGATGAATCTCCTCCAAAGGAAGAGCAGAAATCACAAACATACAAAATCTGTCTTGCATCTGCAGAGTGTCCACTTGTCTTCTTCCTCCTTCTATTTTCCACATCTAAAGGGCCACTTTCTTTATTTTCAATGACGTAGTTGAATGGCAAACACTGGTTGGGACACTTATACCAGCTTATTATTATTACAGTTTAACTCTGACTAAACTGCAGCAACTCAGGATGGACTAAATAAAAGGAACACCTTCTAGTGAAATGCAGCTCTGCTGGATTCATTTCTGAAGCTGTTTTGAAGCTGAATGTTGACAAACCGACCGCAGAAATGTTGCTTAAACCACTAACTTCTTGTCTGAATAAGTCCTAAAATGACATTTTGTTGTCTTAAATATGGTAGTATTTATAAACTTGGACCTAATATAAAGACGGGCGAGTCCGGACTTAAAAGCATATTAAGGAAGGGCGGAAGATTGGCGCTTTTCACTGTTCTAAACCCGCCTTCTTGGCGTCCGCCTTCCGGTGTGACTGAGACTAAATTCATGCACCAATAGCACTGCGAGAGCAGTTTGTGGTTCAAGTCCACTTTTCATATTTCCAATGAGTTTGGAAGATTTTGATACACATTCAGGTAGTGACACATACAAAACTAAACCACCATTAGCAACTATAGAACACTTTATCATGACATTATAATCTATTTAACGTAAATGATTACAAAAACGCAGAAAACAGCAACATAAAGCTCTTCACGTGCTGCACGGAAAAGCCTTCAGATTCAATCCTGCTCCTAAAATATCCCGAGCTCAATAATTAAACAGCATCCTGATGAGAATAAATTATCGTGCTAACATGAGGACTCTCTGGTTTTGTGGAGGGTGTAATCCTCCTGTGCAATGCCGTGTTTATTATCGTATGTAGTGCTTATGACAGAACAGATCTCCTTTTTATGGCAAAATCAAAGCAGTGTTTTTTTTGTTTTTGTTTGTTTGAGGTCTCAAATCCGTCGGTCAGAACCTCCACACACACTTTCATATGTAGCGGTGAGGCTGCTGCCTTATCGATCACTGTGAAATTAATTAGATTTCAGGCCGCGCCAAATAAATGCAGCCTCAGAGAAAAAGAACGGAGGCAGTTGGGAGCATTTCCACTCTGTCCGTATTCACACACAAGCGAGCAGACGTGTAGAAAAACATTATGGGCTGATTATTCGTGTCAGGGAGGCGCCGCAGGTGCAGCAACACACCGCAGAGTCGGTCTGACGATGATTGTTGGCGACTTTGTGAGCGTGCCGCGGGTTGATAAGCACACGAGCGAGCGACCCTGCGAGGGAGGTGTTCCCTTTCATTGCAATGCGTGACCTTTGACCTGACATGTAATGACATGCAGAGCATTACGCTGAAACAGGTGCCGAGTTTGTGCGTGACAAAAATAAGACACCATGTATTTTAATTTACACATTTTACGTGGTAGCCAGAGCCAAAACGAAAGGTTCTTCCACCTGTTAGCAGCCTTTGTGTTGTGCTAATCTAAGCTAACCACACCATTGCATGAGCTTTACATATATATATATATATATATATATATATATATATATATATATATATATATATATATATATATATACACACACACATGTATTATCCATATTCTATTTCAAAGTGTCAAAAAAGAATAAATGTCACTTCACCTTAATCCTCAGGGGGAAAAAAAAACACATTTGATAAGAGAGATTTTTAGGCGATCCCGCCTGACATCGAGCTTCGGGTGTTTGCCTCGGGTGTTTCTGACGTCCTGCAGGACTTTGGTGATGAAGCGGTCCCGAGAAGACTTCCAAGACTACGACTAAGACAAAAAGCCAAAAGGATCCGGCCAATATCAGTTGCTGATATTTTATATCCGACAAGTGATGCCGTCCGTCACCTGAAACTCTTTCTTCTACAAAAACATGCAAAATAATTGCCCAAACATGTTTAACAGGCCCAATAAATGTAATGTATTTATTGTCCATCCCACATGACGGATGGAGGAATTGATTGGATGGACGGATGGATAAACAAAAATCACAGATATAGAGAGAACGTTTGCATTTCATATCATTTTGTCTAATGAAGGGACCCCCCCCCCCGCAGCTTTAACCTGCGCTGACAACACGAGCATGATTAGACACCCGGAGGGCTTAATTGCACCTCGCGGAGATCCTCCCTGCTGGTTCTCCTCTGAAGGAGCACTGGCCTCATTAAATCGTGTTTAACAACAGCACTTTTACGGTTTTCTGTGGCGTTTTGGGGCATTTGGCAGGTTTTATTTGCAGCTTCAGAGGGTCAAACATTTGACTTTTCCTCTGAAAGAACTCATGGAAGGGCTGGAAAGTGTCTCGGGACATTTACTCGAGTACTAGACGTCAGTTTGATGTTGAGATGCTTGTATTCTATTTTATGTGGTGAAAGAACTGTTGTACTTTTTACTCCACTACATGTAGTTGCTAGTCATTTTACAGTTTAATTTACCTTATGAATTACAATCATGGTCCAATATTTTCTCAAACTAAAATAAAATGTTAAAAAAATGTAATGGTGTTGGATTAATATGAGTTGCTTAATCATCATTAATCATGAATCATCCAATTCACACTCAAACTTATATTAAGTGGTTAACTTCAAGTCTGCCTCCATCAGCTGGCGGGAAAACAACAACGATGATTCATTCACTGTGAAATGAACGAATAGGGGAAGCCAACTCGGACTTTATGACACGAGCCACTGCTGCCACACAGTGGAGGACAATCAAAGTCACAATATGTTATATTTCCCCATTCAGGTGCACATCTTTTTTTCTTTTTTCTACACAAATCGGTTTAAAGTGATTGTGTGTTTTAGTTGTGTTACATCCTACTGGTTTAGTCCAGTTGTTACAAAGAATATTCCCAGCTGTAGTCGGCTTCCAGACAACAGTTGTTCTCACCTCGATTCATTTTTCTTTTCAGTTATAACAAATCAAGATATTCAAATTGGAGGAAAAAGAAAGCGATATCTTCACATTTAAGGATGCACAAAGTTGAAAAGTCAAAACTCACACTGCCTCTACAGAAGAAAACATTTTAATAAACCCTTCAAAGGAAAGATGTTCTTCAGAAACGCAGCGACGCTCGCGTGAACTCTGTGAACTGGAACGAAAACCGTAAAAAAAAAGAAAAATAAAACAAGACAACTGACACAGAAAGGAGACACTGAACAGAAGAACTACAATAGATTGTGCAACAGCAAATAGTTTAAGTATATACAAGCATTCACATTCAACAATAGCTTCAACTAAGCAGGGGGCTGTGAGGACGTCTTTGTCTCTTTACGGAGGAGGGGAGGGGGGACACTTGTGGCGTGACTCGGTCAGCGCCGTCCGTTCCAGTCAGCGCAGCGCTTCGAGTGCGACGGATGCAAAACGTCAAATCTTCAGGAGGTTCGTGTGGAAACGATGAAATCTGCACGTCCCTCCGACGACATTCAGGAGCGTTTAGCTCTCGTGAAACAAAAGCACACTTGTGTTCCGGTCCGATGTAATGAGAACAATATCCAAGTTGAACAGTAAAGAGCTGGATTTCTAAATACTGTGACATTTATAAGCCTGGCTGCCGGACTATTAAGGATCAACGCGGCCGCCAAAGTCATTACCGACTGAATCATTACGTTACTTCAATGCAAGCGCTGTAACTACAGTACGTAAAGCCGTGTCTATACTGTACTAGGAGCCCACTTTGTTTCCAAACCACGAGAACGACATGCTGTAAAAACAGAGCGCGGCAAAAAGCTCAAACTCACGTTTGAGTGGCGAGAGCGACGCGTGTAAACGTAAAAGAGGAATGATCCACAACTCGTAACAGGCGTTCAACTTTCCCCCTGAAAACCACAGGTTGGCTTTGAATATTCACCAGCTTCTTTCTCCGAGATGACCTCACCGTTGTGGAAGATTAAGGCGCAGTCTAAAGGTGGATCTGAGAAGCCAGATGGTAGAAAAGAAAGGCTTGTGGACCGAAAAGGGGTTGCTGGTTCGAACTCCGGTAAAGTCCGAGGAAATGTTGAAGACTACAAATAAATAAACACCCGTCCATTGTGTCACCGCGGAGGACGCAGCGCGAGGCCGGCCACACTTTTTGTTTTGTTGGTATTTTTTTTTTTTCAATCACTTCGCTTCCCTCTTTGGGGAATCACCATAAAATTCTTCTTTATAAAAGAAACATACATTTGTACACGTATTTACAAAGAGGGGCGTCGGGGGGGGAAACCAAGGCATTTCCTGTTTCTCTCCTATGGGAGATGGGTCCCACATTACAAACAGCTCGGAGTGCTTTCTCTTCTGCTTCGGGGCCGTGCCGTGTCCTGGGCCAGCCCAAGTCCCTGAGTTACCAGCGGGTTCTCTCGCAGCCCCGAGCGGGGGAACCCTCAACCAGAGTCCGAATCGCTGGTGTCGGAGGACGAGGAGGAGGAGGAAGAGGAGGAAGAGGAGTCGGAGCTGGAGCTGCTGCCGCTGAGGTGCGAGGGCTGGCTGTGGGTCTCTACAGCGCTGGGCTTCTCCGCTGAGGACACAACAACAACAACAACAACCAAGAGCGGGTGGGTGAGTGCGTTTACGCCGGTCAACCGTCGGATCGCAGGCTCGCTCTATTTCTATTCACCATCATCATGTACCTGAATAGAGTTGCCTAAAATTGTTGCTTAGAAAATGTATGTCTCATCCAAATCGCTCCACCCTTCATGCTCAATATTTTGACAAACAAAAGAATTAGAAATAGATCCCGACTAAAAAAGAATCCGCGCTCGTCTGCAAATGCATGTGGAGCTCCCTTTATTTTCAGTACTGGGGACACACTAGGGACCTTTTTTTTATTAAATGGTCATTACATTATTAAACTGATTTTCCACTTTCTCTTTCGGATTCATGGCATAAATCATGTCTTAAACGGTACAAAATATTTTTTTTCTTCTGGACTGAAAAACAAGGCCACATGTGACAACAGTAATTAATCATTTTTTTAAAAGGCCTTTAAACTGCCTGGGAACGTACCACCGTACAACACAACAACAATAATACCAACAACACTTTTCTCCATTGTCACTGTGTGAGGCCAGTGAACTACGTGTAAACAGCAGGCGAGCGTGGACGCACCTTTAGGCTTGGTGGGTTTCTTGACGGAGTTGAGCTGCCCGCTGACGTCCTGCAGCCTCCTCTCCAGCTCCATCCTCTTCTCCAGAGCCAGCTCCTCTTTGGACTTGCCGGCGCCGCCTTTCATCCCCGCTGCGGCTGGAAAAAAAGACGACGGCGACGCGTGAGACCTCGAGTCCAAGACGACGGCGTGACGCGCGTCGGCGCCTCGTTGGATTCAACCAACCGGTTCGTTCAACGCGGGGGTTCGTTTTTCGGATCTGAGCTTCAGGCAGTTGAGCGCCGTACTCATCACAGCGACTCAGCAAAATGCATAATCGACTTGCCACATCGCTGACTCGGCCTTAAGGAGCTCATCCAGCAGTGTTTACTGGGGAGGAAAACGATCCCTCAGTGAGGCAGTGAGACGCAAAACGGAGTCATTGTAATCAGAAAATAACCTGTCACATCTATCAACCTGTGCTAATGCTGATGGCTCAATCAGGTCCTTAATAAATCCAGCCAGGGGAAGAATGTACGCGCATGTAACTGAAGGTAACCAGACCTGCCTATGAATTCTAAATATACCTAAGCGTGGTAATCGCGCTACGCTCGACCTGTCGATCGCAGTACCAGTAGACCGCCTGCCAGCGATAAAAAAAAATAATCAAGTCACGCATGGGCGGGCGACCGCGGGAGCTAACTGAAAACCAATGCTAATGCTAATTAGCAGCCCTTGCTGCTCGTAGACGAGCACGCTTCTGAAATTGACTAAAACTTTTAACACTTAAGTGTGAATAATTAAAAAGAAATAAGGACTATTTCACGTCACTTTAATCCCAGACTATTTCTGGCTTCTGTAAGAAATATGGTTCTTCAACATAAAAGGGAACATATGTGACGCAAAATCTGGCGCTTGATTGGCGGGGGAATGTTCCGCTTACCTTCCCCGCCGTACGGCTTCCGGGGCTTCTTCCTCAGACAGGTCATGACGTAGCGCTCCAGCTCCTTCAGCGTCGACGGCTTGAGCATCTCAAAGTCGATCTCGATCTCCTCGGGGTTGGTGTCCCTCAGCGACGGCTCCCTGGACTGGATGATGTGGACCACTCGGCCCAGCTTCTCCCCCGGCAGCTTGTTGATGTCGAGGCTCAGCTGGCGCTTCTCGTCGTACGACATGGGCACGATCTCCTCCTCTTCCTCGGAGTCGTAGTGCGGCAGCATGGAGGTGGGCGGAGGCGGGTAGAACGGCTTCTTTGTGGCCCTGCGGGACGAAGGGGAAGGGGCGCGGTCAGGAACGAAGACCACCCTTGTCAGCCCCCTGATAGATTCCTATAACTCCTGATGTGTGGAGGAGGAACCCATTTGTAGCCGTGGGTAACTTACTCATAATAGTAAAAACCGTACTACTAACTTGACATTCTTGCTGCTCTTCTTCCCCTGGCTCTTCTTGGGCGGGGGGCCGTTTGCTCTGGCGGACTTGCTTTTCAGGATCTTGCCGGGCATCTTCCACTCCTCAGAGTCGGCTCTGCTGCGGACGGCTCGACTTCGCTTCTCCAGCTTCTTCTTTTTCTTCTTCTCCTTCTCCTTCTTGTCCTTCTTCTCCTTCTTCTTCTTGGCCTTGATGATGGGGCCTTGGGAGAGGGCCGCCAGCTGCTCGTGCATGGCTCGCAGCTTCATGGGTGGAAAAATAAATAAATGAATAAACAACAAGATGAATGGACGATCGCAGCGAGAGGCCCATTTCGGAAACATGGATGAGAAGTAGCTGGGGGCGGGGGCGGGGCTCACTTGTGTGCACACCTGGTCCTGTAACTCCGCCAGGCGATGCGCTCGCTCCTCCTCGCTGTCCGAGTTGGGGCTGCTCTCGCTCTCTTCGCTCTCGCTGCAGGGCTCGCTCTCGGAGGTGGGGGAAGAGGAGGACGAGGAGGAGGACGAGGACGAGGAGGAGGACGTCTGATGGCCACCCAGGGACGGGGCGCCGTGATCCATGCGCGGCTCGTCCGGCATCTTGGCGAAGCGGAACTCGAACACATCCTGTGGCGCGCACACAGACACACAAAGACAGATGGCCATTTATAGAAGAAGGAAACCGTCACAGAAAGGAGGGATCGGCCCGCCGGGCTCACCTGCAGCTTTCGGGCCATGCCCACGACATCGTGGTCCGGTGGGTTGTACTTGTAGCAGTTGGAGAACATGACTCGGACGTCGCTGGCAAACTGTTGCGCGTCCCTGTATTCACGGCCGTCCATCTTCCTCTGACGGAGAGACAGGAGATGACAATTTGAGCGCTACAACCGCCTCTTCAGCAGCTTTTACGTATTACGCCTCTGTGTTTATCGTCGGCCCAAAGAACATTTAGGTCCACTGGTCCTTCTACAAGGTAAACGTCACCTTGATGTTGCTGAGGTCCATGGGACACTTGATGATGTCGTGGTAGTCGTGAAGTCCCAGCGCCGCCGCGTCCACGGGGGTGTAGAACGGCCAGGCGTACGCGGCGTGTTTCTTCGACAACATGTCCTTCAGCAGGCCGCTGCAGTACCTCAGCTGGGGGCTCAGCTTGCCCTTCTTGGAGGGCTGAGCGTGGACAGAGTCGGGCAGGTCCTTCTTGGGGGGTTTGATGGGGCGTCCGCTGCCCACTCGGCGCCCGCCGCCTGCCATCATGGGCTGGAGCAGGACGGGACCGCCGGCGCTCCTGACCAGGCCCATCCCGGGCGGGGTCTCCAAGCCCATGCTCCCCATGGAGGAGATGGTGTGCATGGAGGTGTCGTGGACTTGGCCCCCGTGACCTCCTTTCCCCAAGCCCACCATGTGCGTTGGTCCCGACATGCCAACGGTCAAGCCCATGGTGGAGGGGGTGGTGGTGTCTGCTTTACGTTTGACACCTTTTTTCTACAAATAAAGAGGTTGGAAGTCACAATAAACTCAATTTAGTGACTTTTTTTTTAAAAATCACTTTGATAATTGTAATAATTAATGTATTCATATTTTAACACATTTGTTCTTTCAACAAAACACGTGAAATATTTAGCAATGTCCTTCTCAACAGGCCGTCATATCTGTACTGCTTCTTCCTTTGTGTTTTCAGACATGTGTTTTTCCTGACAATGTGAATTGATTACACTAAATGCTCACTTATTTGTCTTGTTTGACTTTTATTTTTAAGTGTAGAGACAACCAGTCCAACATTTATAATCAGAAGTGTTTCTTGTCTGTGTGTCTTTTTAATTGAATTCAAAGTCTCTCCGAATGAAGCGTCAAGTATCTGTCATCATAAATTATGACTTCATCACCCTTAAAAAAATTAAATATAAAAAAGAATCCTTGAACAAAATGATCAATTTGAAAAAAAAGATTCAACTGAAAAAGTTTTATTTACATTTTTTTTAAATTAACTTTCTTAAAAGAATACAATCAGTCAGTTTGGCCAACATAAGAACATCTGGGTGCAGACAGGACTGAGCGCAGTGGGCTTCAGATCGAGGTCATAGGTGGCAACGTTTTCAATGAACTCATCAATAACTAAACTGCTTCGTCAGCCGCCCGCCTGAACCTGCGATATCTAAGGAAACTTTCCATGGGCAGTTAAGATTTTTCAGAATTTCCCAAAAGCCTTTAACGGGGAACTTAAATGTAGTGGAGCTGTAGACTATGTGAGCTCGCTCCTGGATCCAGCTAGTTGGGAACATTAAGTAAGTAAACGGAAGCAATGTTCATTTTTATACCAAGATTATTTCTAGAGTAGGCGAACTTTTTGAAACGCTGTGTTTATTTGCAAAGCATGAACCCAGCTATTGAAAACCCAATTTTTTTTTAAAGGATTCAGGGAAAAACACTAAAACCAGAGGCTTCAGAAGCTTAATTAAGTTTACATTTAGAAGTAGGCTCTTTTTGGGGGGGTAATCATTGGGAAACACTATTTTATTCAACGTTATATTTTTCAATGAAAGATTAAAGTTAATAAAGTCGATAAATAAATGTAATTTTTTGAAATTTGCATTTAGAAATGTTTGCATGCATGTCTGCTTATGACAAAACAAAATGTTGCTTTGTCACATATGACATGGTACATTTTATTATAGTTAATTCCTGTATATTCCCATGGAAAGTTTCCAACTTTTAATATTCCAGGAATTTCGCCACCCTATGCACCAAAATAACAGAATTTTAAAAACAAAGTGATGTTAAAAACATTAGCTTAGCATTAGCCTGATCTTTATCTGCAACAGCGCAGAAATACCGGGGTGAAAACTGAACCAATAAGACATGCAAAAATAAAAAAATAAAAATAAAAAATAAAAATCTGTGCAGCATTTGAATGTCAACGTCATGAGCGAAGCTTCAAACTGTTCGGCGCAGCACTAGAGTTTTCTATCAACCTTGGTCGTGGGCTGAGTAGGAGGCAGGCCCATGATGTTGGCCGGAGGGAGGCTTTTGGTCAGCACCGTCTGGGGGGAGCTGGCCAGCATGGACTCCCCGGTGTCCGAGGAAGACGGGGAGTAGGCCGACTGGGACACTGCCGGCACCTGCTGAGCCCTCGCTGGTGAGAGGTGAACAGTCAACATGAGGGACGGAATTCAACAAGGTGACAAAAGGTTACGTGACACCTCTCTGCAAAAAACAAGGAGGTGCAGCACAACCGCTGAGGTGTGCGTGTGTGCGAGGCTGTGGAGTGGTGACTAAACGTTTCTTCTAGTAATCAAGGAAACAAAAAGAAATATATTCAGATTGAGCGACTTACAGCTGGATTTGCGACCTCTTCCTCTGCTGTTCTTGCTTCGCGGGGCCGGAGGAGGCAGCTCCACCTCATCCTGGGGCATCTGAGCCACTTTCTGGAGAAAGATCTTCTCTAAAGGCTGAGCCATCAGCACAATGTCATCTGTTGGCTAACAAAGAAGATAATGGTAAAAAGATTATGCCTCGTCATCACTGTTTGAATGATTAGCTAATTAATACGAATATCAAACATTTGCTAGACAAGACTTAACAATTTTTTTGCAATCTGTCCTTGTTGCTTCTGATAAACTACAAAGAAAAACAAGTGAGAAACGAATGAAACTGATGGTGAAAATGACCTTGTCCGCCCTTTGATGATAGGACCGAATCAGAGATTTGGGGATTCTCACATCTACAACCTGGACACCCATTGACCAAGACAACGGGATTCAAAAGCCAAAAATAATTTGGTAGTATCAATCGCTACGGGGGGAATTTTATTTGTTTCCTTGTAAACTTGACGTGTACATATTTTCTTTTCTTTCTTATTACGCAGAAAAACCTCCCCGACAAGTTTCCGTTGGATGACCTTTTTCTCGAGGCTAATCAAGGAACGGTTGAAAGAGGTCCGCTCCCTCGCTCAGTGTTAAGAGGGAAGAACTGTGTCTGGATCCGTTACTGCTGCTGGGAGAGAGGTCGACCTGTGTAATCATGAGGGTTGTGTCGTCCTATTGAGGGAAACTATCTTTTAACCCACCTTGTTGTAGATGTAGCAGTTGGTGAACATGGTGTTAAAGTCCTGTATGCACTCGCTGGCACTGCGGTAGAAGCCGTTCTCCAGGCGCTTTTTGATGGTCCCCATGTCCATCGGCTGCTTGATTATTTTATGGTAATCCTGAAAAAACAACAGACAGAAGTAAAACATGTGGAGATTTTTTTTTTTTTTATGTAAAACATTACTTGTAGAGCATGTGGAACCAGGGCTGAGCCACCGATTGTATTCAGGCTGACATTGTGAGGGGGGAGAATGCAGTTGGTTTTTGCGCTACACAATTGCCCCATCGAGGGAAACACCGTCATGTGCAGAAGAAGGAAACAGATCAATTTAAACAACTTGCAATGCACAAGCTTGCTTGCAGAAGATGCTCGCAGTACAAACGTGTGATAATGGCCACGACCGGGTTTGAGTGCAATACAAACAAAGGTAAACTTGTAAAGCAGTAAATGCAGTGTAGCGTTCAGTTTGAATCAATGCTGCTGCCTTTCAACACCTTGAAGACTTCAAGTTAAACGGTTATAACATTCTGCTGCCGTTTTACAATTTAATGATTAAATGAATATATATTATTCACTTATCAATTCACCTCACTTCATCTTATCACGGGAAAGAGCAGCTCATATGTAACTAACGCAATGACTTGCAGAAACGTGATAAAATCAAACCGCTCATAACAAAAAGAGAAAGCAGAAATTCATAAGGTTGCTCCGCTGTGACTCACCGGCAGGCTCAGCCTGTAGGCATCCACCGGCTCACGGAAAGGCCAGGCGAACTGATGCCTCCACAGGTACTTCATTAGCGTCCTCTGCAGAAACTGGAGCTGGTTGGTCATGCGGCCCGGCCGGCTGGCGTCCTTCACCGGCGGCTGTGGCGGGACGGGAGGACCCTGAGGCAGCGTGTGCGCCAGAGACGGGCTCTCAAAGTCCTCGTACAGCAGGGAGGGCTTGCGAATGCGTTTGCCCGAACTGCTGTGTTGGTCCATTTCGCCACTGGACAACCCGACCAGAGAGCTGGAGAGGAGGAGCCAGAGGGGGAGGGAGGGGAGGAACATATAACATGAGCTAAAAGAAACACCAGGTTGTGACAGGAAAAATGCGCCCCCCTAAATGAGGGTGCAGACCGTTTAACCACAGAATGTTTAGGTTAGTGAGGACCCCCCTCATGGACACATGCAATCTGCAGATGAGAATCTACAAATGTCAAAAGGTGCAGACTATGTATGCTTCATTCAGCCCTTGACCTGTGAAGTGATGCTCAGCCACTCAGCAAACGGCCATGCAGGAGAAACCAGGATTCCATCAACGGGTCGCTACTTTTAGCACGGCCGTGGGAACCACCATCGCATGGCTCCTCGCCAGCAACGAAAAAAGGCATTTGCTATATGGCTGTGTGATAATAATCAGTTTAAGGGGGGGTTTGGCAGAAGAATGTACCATGAAACATGGGTTAAATAATAAGATTTGTGAATCTAAATGGATAGAAGCAGAACGAGCTTTGGGGGGAATCAGCGCTCTGCATGAAAGCTAAATTTGTTGAAAGATATAAATGTATGTGTGTGTAAAAAAAGAAACGGTCAGAAATTTTGAGATGAAATAAAACATTACTTACATCTTTGCCAAACCTTTCTACACTGATGTTATTTGATCTTTTTTATTTTTGTAAACTAAAAGGCTGCACAAGGATGCAACGCAACCAAAATAAAATAATAACATTGCAAAGCGCTGATTAATATTATATATATATATATTTTTTATTTTTTTATTTTTTTTAAATTGGAGTTCAAAAACTGATTTGAATGAAAGGGACAAATTTTAGAATATGAATCACTGAAGTAAAGCAAAAGAAAAGGAAGACGTTGCCACTCTCAGAATGCTCTGCGACTCGCTGGCCTCTTCAGTCTCGGCTGTAACTCAACACAACTATATTGACCGTGTTTGATATGGACGAGACAATGCTTCATAGCAAAGTGCAGGAAGGAGAAGCTGCACCACAGCCCAGAGGTCAGGACAAACAAACGATCTCAGAGATTTTCTGACTCAGTCCGATTTGCAGTGCGGCTAAATGGAATGTGGCTCAAAAGTAACTAAAATAATAGGGACATAAATGTTTTCTGATATTTACTGGAAATCTGAAATCTTGATCACTATGAACATTATGCAGGTGTAGCACAAAACACACCATCTAGGTCTCTCTCATATATACATACATACAAACATACATACGTATGTATTTTTCCCATATATTTTTGTATACAAGTGTGTATATATTTGTCTTTTTCTCTTTTTTGTTTTTCTGGTTAAGATTCCTCGGTGCAGCAAATTATTATTATTATTATTATTATTTCACTGTTTAGAATTTCCAAAAAGCCATAATCATCATATACGGATGTAGATTCAGCACAGACAAATGGCAGTCCCTGTTTTAAACCATTGTTTTAACACAAATGTTCTAAAACAACATTATGATACTGTTTTTTTACTGTGTTGAAAGACAAACACGCTTAAAACATAACAATGATGTTAATTTCTATGGAGTTATAAACAACTATTAACTTCAATGAAATAGACTGCATTTAGCAATATTGTCACTTCTATGTGGTGACATATAGCATAGTTGTGTCACATTTACCTCGTTTTTAATTGAATTACTACTGTGTTGTAGGTTGTTCATGTACAACTCATATGCCTAAAGCGACTTTGTTGTGTCCACCACTGAATCAACGCCTCATTCTACAAACCGATGCAGTAACGTCATCAACAGTGAAGACGACGCAATAATCAAAACTATTGTTTGTTTTTGTCAGGCTTTATGATTTTAAGGCGATCGCGTGGTTCGGAGGCCCCGCCCTCGCTGTTTGTAAACACGGCCTCGCAGTGACAGACACAACGACGGGAAGATTCCGTCCAATAAAAAACTAGACGCCTTATTTATTTCATTCACTTCTCTTAGTGAAAGGGAAACCCGATCCCAGCCATTAGGACCCCCCACCCAAAAAAAAAAATCACCATTACAGCAGCCTTGAAGCTAAGCTAACAGCTAGCGCCCATTCAGGGCTGCTTTACGTGTTATTGGAACACGCTGTGAGTAATAAGCACGCTGGGCGCCATCTATTAACAGTTACCTTGAGAGATATTCTCGTGGACGTGCAGGTTTGCGGCGGCAGAGGCTGTGGGCGATGAATGAACCAGAGAGCCGGCGGGGCTTCGGCTGTCATTTGCCTTCCCTTGAGCCAGCTTATAAACTAAACGCTAGAAGAAGGGGGGGGGGGCTTCCCGAAACCAAGCTGCACACTTATGATTTAAAAATCATCAACGTTTAGCGGGGCACGTTGGAACAATCCGGTGCACAAGCTGCAATTAGCCAAATCGGTTCGCCTTCAAAGACAACCGTTCGCTGACAGGCTAACGGTAACTAACGTTAGCTAACGTTTTGTGATGGCAGTTAACGTCAGTGCCTCTCCTCGGACGACGCGTTCTAACGGTTCGCCGGGGCGTTGATGGCAATTACTGCGGGGCTTTACCTGTCGTGGTGCAGGTTGACGGCCGCTTCCATCGGGCAGAAGGCGGAGTGTTATTACAATCCGATTTTTCCACGACAGTTGACGCTTCACTTCCACCGAAGCACCACTGCACAACTCCGCAGCGAAATGGCGCCTAGCCGTTTCCGCTTGACGGTATATAAACCAACCACGTCCCGGTGACGCAAACGTCCTGTCACGTTCGGGGGGATTCTGTGATCTTATTGGCTGCAGCCACACGTCTGTCAAACTGAGCGCAGACAAGCCGCCTCCCTGGTCGGTACATGTTGTACTCCGCCATTTTTGACAACAATGGATGTATTTGGTTTACAGTTTTGGGCTTAAAGTATTCATAATTACGTCGTTACCTTTATAGACAAACGCCCCCCTGTTGGCGGAGGATGATTTTAGGTGTTATCTGCAGTATCTCTGGTTGCTGCTGCAGATGCTCTCCGCCTTAAAAAAAAAACATTCCGATTCGTGTTATTTGTATGCAGTAACGTTACGTTTTATAAAATACTAGCCATCGTTTAGCCTGGACAATATGTTTGGGCATAAATTATTTTATGTGATATGCCGATAGACATGCAATATCTTTTTGTTTAAGGCTCTTAAACTGTAATATTGTGTATCTAAAGCAGCACTCTCCACAAACCTTTGGCAATGTATTGTCAGTTCACCTGTGCAGGTGAGAATATGTAAGGGAACAAGACCGCCATGAAGCTGGGAAACAATTTAGTTGTATTACAGTCCAAACTGACATTCTCTTTAGCCCCAAATATAAATATATCTAATCATTACAGGAAAACCAACCAGGTATCACATGTGCATGAAAATAGTATTTTTTCTATTAAAATACACACAGTAGCCTGGAAAAATAATGAATATTCTGCTATTAATGGGGTTTTAAATAATAATAATAACGAAAAATTTGACACAAATATACAACCAGATTATTTAGAAGGCAAGACAAGGAATGCAAGGTTTATTTTTTATAGCACATTTTAACAAGGCAATTCAAAGTGATTCACATAAATTCATTAAAAGGCATCAAACATAAGGCAAAAGAAAAGGATGCTTGAAAATAATTAAAATCATTAATCAAAACCTTAAAAACAGACATCAAAACAATAAATAAGCTAAAAATTTAATAAAAGTTGCAGTGCAGTTTAGGAAATACAAAATAAATAAGCCCTCACCTTAAATATTGCAAAAATAAAACATCTATAATCTACCTGACTGAATTCTACAGCTATGTTTTGCAAAGTGTGTAAAGTATTGGAGCAGGAGGGTCAAACCCAATCACAGAGAGTGACAAAATTAGAAACTGGGATCCTCGTTTGGACTTTATCCTAGCAACCTTCTTGTAACGCGACTGCTTCTCTGCATCAGTGTGCATCATTCGTCTCCTCTTCTTGGCGGTGAAAGCCCATTTTCTGCTTTTCCACCAGTTCAGCATAAACGCCGCCTTTCTGCATCAGCTCCTCGTGGCTTCCCTCCTCCTGAACCGTCCCGTTGCCGAGGACAACGATATGGTCGGCCTTTTCCCCAACACTCACCTTGCTGGACACCAGCAGCACGGTGCGGTCGTTGGCTTGGTTTAACAAAGCTTGGTAGACCTGTTGAGGACAATTATGACTTGATGTCTCATTTGGAATACAAGTGTAAAGAATCCTTAAAAATGTGAGAAACCAGCCAACCTGATATTCATTCTCCGTGTCCAAGTCACTGGTGGCGTTGTCAAGGATCAGGATTTTGGGACGTCGGATTAAAGCTCTGGCAATGGCAATGCGTTGCTTCTGGCCTCCGGACACCTTCTCCCCAGCGTCTGTAGGACAGGAGGACAAACCGTCATGAGGTTTAAGGACATTTCTGGGGAAAGGCGAGTTGTTTTTGTGAGGTTTCGTTTGCATTTGGAAAAATCCCACAAAGCGACATCATTAAATCCGTCTGCCCTTACATTACTGTCACTATAAGGTTTTTACAAGTTACATTTTTGGATTAATTAGTATCTTTCCATTGCAACATAGCATATTGTTAAAGCATAACATTTTATAATAACAGCCAGAAGAATGTGACAATAGTAGAAAAGAGAAGCCAGCTAATAACAATAAATACATTAAGATAAAACTTTCAGTACTTTTTTTTAGAACACTAAATGCTACGGTTTTGAAGACCTGCAGATACTCTGGCAGCTACATGACGATGGCGTCGTATATTCTTCCTCTCACTCACGGACGCACGCCAGCGACCGGCATTCTCCTGGCTGAGGTCATGAAAAACACAGGAAGAAACAAGCCCCCAACGGAAGAACCTCTGAGGAACCGGACCTGTGTCGTAGCCGCCCGCCCGCTCCATGATGAACTCGTGAGCGCTCGCCAGCTTGGCGGCGGTGTGCATGTCCTCGTCGGAGGCCTCCTCGCAGCCGTACTTGATGTTCTCCCGCACAGAGCGGGCAAACAGCACACAGTCTTGGCTCACCACAGCGACCTATGAACAAACGGGAGGGAGAGGACACTCTGAGGACGGGGTTCACACTGAGGACAACCGACGAATGCGACTCGGCGAGAAGTGCTGGTTTTGGGGGAATCCGAGAAGAAGCTTCCAATGAGCTAAAAGCTTTTGTTGAGCTTCGTACGATTGTGCGCAATGCAAGTCAAGTTAGAATACTCAAATACGAAATAGAAAAGAAAAAAACAAGGAGCTACCTTGTCATGCAGGTACTGGTCTTTGTAGCTTTGCAGGGGTTCCCCATCCAGCAGGATCTCACCAGCCAGCGGCTGATAAAACCTCTCCAGCAGTCTGACACACGTGGACTTCCCTGAGCTGTTAAGTCCTAAAAGGGCCGTGACTTGGCCCGGCTTTATGTCCAGGGACACGTCCTGGTGGAAGACAGGGAAAGAGTGATGGTGTAACGAGCTATACGAGGCGTCATAAATACAATAAATACTCAGGAATATAGAAACGTGTAAGTACCTTCAGCACAAGTTTGCTGTTGTCTGAGTTGGCGGGATAAGAAAAGGACACCTTCTTGAATTGAATGTGTCCCTCGAGGTTTTCGGGGGCCAGAGAGCCATTTGGGGGTATTTTAGGTTTGCGTTCCAAATATTCGAAGATCTTCTCAGAGGCACCGATTGCTTTCTTCACCTCCGGGTAATAACGCATGACGGCCTGGAAGGAGGTGGAACAACGTGGGACCTCTGAGTTTGGACTAAATTTACATTTTGAACAGAATTGCTTCGGTGAAAAAGGGACAAATGTTAAAGCTCATTCCCTTTATTGACTCACCTCCACGGCAGAGGCAAACTGCAGCTCATAGAGGACGAATGACACTAAGTCGCCACTGCTGACGTCGCCTCTGGTCACCAGAGTTCCTCCGTAGTACAGAATGAACACCTTCAGGGCCATGGTGGTCATCTGGGAGATAACAGTTTCCAAGGGAAAAGAAACGCAGTAAATAACACATTTATTCACCCAGATCAGCTGCGTTTCCGTACTACATGGTGCAACCGCCTGAATCAGTCAAAGTTATGAAGTCACTCGGTTTTATTCCCAAGATCTGGAGGTCTTTCAATTCTACTAATGTGCTCAATTCCAAGGAACGTACGATATCAGCAAGGGTACCTATTGTCCAACTTTAAACACTTTTACTCTCTTTCCCCTCTGCAATTTATTACATTCTCTGGCTGTAAACAATTGAGATTAATGAACAAATCTTCCGGCACTTTGGACCCTTTTATACCTCAGATCTGTATTCAACTCACGCTGTTTGCCCAGGTGGAGGCCGCATAAGCCACCGCCTCCTTCTTGTTCAGAGCGTACGTGTCGTCCATCCGCCGCCTGTACCTCTCCGTCTCTCCATCCTCGTTGGCAAAACACCTCACAGTCTTCATGTAGGAGAACGTCTCCGTGGCCACCTGGTTGGCCTTGGCCAGGGACTCCTGAACCTTTACAGCAATGACCTGCAACACAGACGCAAATAATGTCGCGTGAATGCGTACAAATGAAGATTAGAGCCGCTTTAAAGATGACGGGTCGCTTTACCTTCTGGAAGCTCCCCGTGAGCTTAGGTATCACCCAGATGATGGGAAGCCCCATGCACGTGAGCAGGGTCATTTTCCAAGACTGCATCACCATGAAGGACAAGAGGAAAACAAATCGTGCCGTGTACCACATGACGAGACTCAGTTTCTCGCTCAGCGCCTCGCTCATGTCGTTGGTATCCGTGGTAACACGGGACACCAGTTCACCTGAGAAAAAAGGAGAAGCGAAAAAACAGTTGAGTGATATGTTCGGCCCGCACAAATTCTGTGAAGTATATCAATTAGGATGGGGCTAGGACACCGTAATAGGCCAATTATAGTTTTAAAAAATGATGGAGCCTTTGGGAGGCTGCGATTTTCCGAGGATTAAAGTCTATTTTTTTGAGAACTTTCCAAGATTCATAAAAGTCACACATTAACATAAACTGTGGGAAATTTGCATGACAAACACTCTGAAAGTCTGAAACTAAATAAATAAAACATAGACTGAAAGTATTCCTAGTTTTTTTTCTTGGCAAATCAAGGATTTAAAACAAAAAGACAGTTGCTACTTATTTTTGCTACTTATATCCAAACCATTTCTCCAAATATCATCAGCCTCCGTCAGCTGCATTTTTCATTATTATTCATTCATTATTACCTGCGACTAAAGTAAACAGCTCGGCCTTGATGAAACAATCCGTTCTTGCCATAAGTGACCTGCTCAGGACCTACTGTACCAGATGCAGTAAAGACACCGGTTGTGGTCACATGACTTACCGGTCTGAGTGAAGAAAGCGATCTCCTGCTTCAGCACAGCCTGGAAGACGGCTCCCTGCACCGAGGTGTGGATGCGGCTCATGGTGACGTAGTACATGAGGTCGCATACGAACTCGAGCACAGCGCTGAAAGCGGGAAAGTACACAGATCTTTCACTGGAGTAAAAGGAGTTATACTGCAGCTAGTACAGATCATTTATTAGGAGGGAACTAAACTGAAAGTAAAACTTATCTATACTTTTTTTTTGTTAATGGAGTCTAGGGGGGTGTTGAGATAAGATTGTCTTTCAGTTCCCCTTCAGGGCCTTTTATTAAATAATGTCTCATACTGCACTCTAAATTCATTATTTTTATACCTGTCTTATTACGTTTTTGTACTGATCTTATTCTGACTTTTTAATGAAATATGGAATTAGTCTCATCTCACCTCATTACACAAAAAAGTGAATTTGCATTGCCTGCCTGGGTTACCTGGCAACAGTCATCAGCGTCATGATGCTGATGGCCTGTGTGAAGGCATCTGGCGCTTCTTCGTTTGTGATCCAGTCAGCCACTCGACCGGTGAAATGAGGAATGGCCATCTCACCTGAGTTCACAAGGTCACACGCTCACAATGTACTTTGGGAGGCAAAACGACAGCAAAAAGAAAAACCTGCACCCCCAACATAAAACGAGCCATGTATGAAAAAAATCAAACAATGAAGCGGAAAACCAAAAGCCTGAAGTGAATTAGTGATATGTTGGGAGGTGAAGCATTCAAGCACATTTAAGGTGGAAGGAAAATAATAGTACAAAAGCATGTGCGACACCTCGTTGAGTGACACATTCATCACTTCACAGTTGAGGCAGACAGGAAAAGCTTTATGAGATTCATAAACCGATGGCTGTTAATCATCAATAAACGCAGTCTACTCTGCAACCGCAGGACAGAACTCCCAGCGCCTCGCGGGGGCACAACAACACTGCGTTGGCACAACAAGTCCTGCCTTACCGGAAGAAGAAAGAAACACGAGGATCAGCACGGAGACAAAGCGCCAGAGATACGGCAGCATGTATTCCATCAGCCGCTTCAGAGGCGCTCCAGCGCCGTCTCTGGGCTCCTCGGAGGGCGCCGCGCGTCGACCGCGGGAGGGCAAGAGAGACGACAGGTGTCGGCTCCAGTAGATCCACGCCACGGCCACCACCCCGTAACCCTGCAGCACCTGCAAAACAGACCGCGAGTTCAATCTAATGGTGGATCTCACATTTTAGTTTCGGTATCGTTGCCTTTCGAAGCCCAAAAGCTCAATTAAAAAAAAATATATATATATATTATAAAATATATATATATATATATATATATATATTATATATTCTTGGAAGCGTCAAACGTGAGAGTTTGAGATATTTAAATGCAGCAGAATGTCCTATTGTAAAAAAAACATTCCTTATTACAGTGAGAATCATCTTCATTACAAATTTCAATGCTATAGCTAGTGAATTTTAAAAAGTAGAATAACTCCCATATACCCACCCCCATCCCTGCTTAGTGCCCTCGAGCACAGTACTTTCATCAGTTCGGTATCACGCTGCAGCACATAAACATGGTACGGCTGCCCCAATGCATCATGGGAGAGATGCTGAAGATCTGTGAACCCCAAGGTGCTGTAAAAAAAAGAAAAAAGCTTCACCCACCCGTTCCCAGGAGTGCCACCCCCACAGCTCCTCCGTGGCGGGCATCCCCGCAGCCCACAGGAGGGTGGTGTACAGCGGGAAGTGGAAGCAGAGCACCGCCAGGCTCTGGAGCCCCTCGAAGCTGCTCATCCACGGCAGCCTCCCTGGGGAGGTGTGCGCGAAGAGGGCCAGCATGGCGGCCCTGGCCGAGCCGGCCCCCCACAGGCAGAGGAACGGATGGGGGAGGAGGAGGGCCGAGAGCTGGGCCGCGCGGACGGCGTGCACCACGCACACATCCAGGCACACGAGGAGCAGGGGGGAGAAGAGGCTCATCTTCTGCATTTGGGCTGCAGGTCCTGCAAGGAGAGGGGGGGTTATGCATTACTTTCATTTTCATCTGCACAGCTGATTTCTTTGAAACGGGTTTGCCAGCGAGCGAAGAAAAACAACACAACCAAGACAAGAACACCAGCGAATAGCACAAGAGACAACACAATGCAGCATGGACAACGTTACCGTTTAGCGTTATTGGCGTTAAACTTAAAGTGTGACGTCACCAAATAGCAACGTGCTAACGTTACAGTGTAGTAGCTAGCCAGTTAGCCTGAGTGGAGCAACAAACTTACCTTTGTCGGTTCGATGTCTTAAAAAAAACCTAAACTGGTGTTTCTTCCAGAACACCAGTTTAGAAATCCAGAAATCCAGAACAAACGTCTAACTTCCGTAAACTCGCACCGGGATCCTCGTTCACAGCGAGCTGATGTGCCGTCAAACTGAAACCGAAAGAAACCGAACTATCCGTTCTGTTTCACAGCGGAAAGCCCCGTTTGACGTCCGGCGCAATGGCGGACGAAGACAAACGAGGGAGAGCACGACTCGGTTTAAGGAATAACGAAGACATGTTTACACAAAGTCCTGCTTTTTAGAATCCAGTAAAGGGGAAAGCGAGTAGTCACGCGTGCGCGTGGTGAGCCAGATGGAAATGTGCGTCACTCATAAACAGTCCAGCAGTGACACCGCGTGGCGGGAAGGAGGAACTGCAACAAAACCACATCTGTTAATGAAGATTCAATTACCTCCTCTGTTTTATCACTGGGTTTTAGTGCATTTCTAATGGCTTTTTCGGTTATGACTTTTAATGAGCTGCCCGCTGTATAAAAAGTGTCTCTCTATAGATATTAAATATCTGAATAATACAATTGGATTTAGCAATTTTTCTACACCATTTATTTATTGCTATGTTACCATACCATTGCTATGTTACCATATGGAAATTAAAACAGGTTGATTAAAGCTTGAGCTTATTTTTCGTCTACAGTGTGGCAGGGTTTGGTTTAATCTTATTGTTTTTTCCAAGACATTTTTTTCTTTGGTTAAGTTTTCTATTTTCATGAAGTTATATCTAGCTATATCTTATATCTTATCTATGTTAAATTAACATTGTTTTGTGTTTTTGTCAATCAGTACTACCGGATAGAGCAGTAAATCATTGTGCACATTGAGCATAAGCCTAATATATATTTCTTTTACTCGCATAAAAAAGAGCACATGCATGCATTGTGAGATTTAACTGTTTGGGTAGTGCACCCTGAACATAAGTAGTTCTTATGTATGTGCATCCATGTATTTTTTGTTGAAGATTTCTCACATATGACAGAAGGAAAACACTGTTATAAATAGTAAAATATTTAATGACCGACGTCCATATTGAGTTTCTATTTAGCAGATTCCTTTACAAAGTTTCCTGCTTTGCACAGTTGGTTATTTTTGTCAACTGGTAATAAACCAACACCAGAAACTGAATAGCTTCCTTCCTTCCCCTTGTTTCATGTTTGTGGGATGAGCAAAGCTACACTTGTTCTTACTGTTTGAAGCAGCCTGTGTGAACCCCCATACGTCCCCTATACTTAGAACATGTTTCCTTTCATCTATTTTTTAAAAATACAACATTTTTTTCAGATTCATTGGAAGGAAAGCTTGTTTATCAATTCAGCAATTTTTAATGCTCGGACAAATAAAAATTGGCTCAATAATATTAAGGACGATGAATTAATATGGTAATTCACAGTTATATTTCTCAGGGAAAAGTATTTGAGCACAAACGCAAGATTTATCGCGTTTTTTATTGCGTAAGTTGCTTTGTTGTTCCGTGAAAAGTCAGTTCTTATGAGCTTCTTCGTCGAGCATCGTTATCAGTTCAAGACTAAAACAACCATTTTTCATAATGTGTGTAAAAGTCAGTCTTGGGATGTGGTGTGAAAGGTCAAAGCTGATCCGTAAAGCACTGCAAATTGTTTGAGTCGTTGGTTCTCATTTGCTTCACCCTGTGGTTGGCAAAGGACCCCGGAGTGCTCTATTTTCCTTCGTGGTCCGATTAAGAACAATAGAAGCGGTCGACAAAGTCACTTTGTTGGTTTTTGAATCAGCGACTTGAGAAAACAGAGTCATTTAAAAGGTCAAACCCCGCCCCCACCCCCTAATGACACCCACACCCTGTAGCTTTTTACCCTCCAAAGTAACGGCTCCTCAACACATGCCCCAAACTGTGTGTTTTCAACTTGAGACAAAGTACGGGCGACACAGTCATCACCCTCCTATTCTTCTCTACACAGTGGCAGGAAGTTGTCCAGATATCCGCAGGGCCTCTACAAAAAAAAGAAAAAGAAAAGAGCGAGTGAACAAAGTGGGGCTGGGTGGTGGTGTTGAAAGGTGTTGGTGCTACTGGTGGCGGCTGCTTGCAGCGCGCGATGGGACCTGGCCACTTTTATTCCGAGTTGGCGGCGGAGCGGCAGGACGAGCGGTCAGTGTGAAACGCTGTGAGCCTCTCGGAGGTCGGAGGTCAGAGGTCAGAGGCAGGCCGACAAGACAACTGAAGAGAGAGCGAGAGAAGATCCCGAAGATGTTGGCTCTGAGGACGTTTGTCCTGCTGGGACTGAGCTGGACGTGTCGAGGTGAGTCCGATCCTCCACACTTTCACTTAAAAGGTTGTTTCAGGAGTTTTTTTTGGCGTCAGACCATGTGGGATATAATAGTACATTTCATTGTATATGTGGATATTAACTTTTGGAAATATTCTGTTGAGGACAAACGGAAGTATATTTTTCATTAATATTATCATCAATATATTGAAATTTGCTTTTCCTGCACCGTGAACGCTCTCCTCGCTGATCAAGCTTTGAGCCCCGATTTCACCTCTATTGTTCGTGCGTTTTATCTTCCTGCTATGGCTTTATGTTGCCGCACACACCTGCCAAGCCCATTGTCCAACTCCATCACATTCCCCGTTGCCACAGTGGCGACCTTTGACCTTTATCAAGTCCCGGCCCACTCCATTTCCTGTTGCTATTCACTTCTCGTGGAAACTTCCTGTTTATGTCGGGCTCGTTTCCTGTTTCCCCTTTTAACGGCCCGTATCAGGACCCACCTCTCGTGGCTCGACCTGCATTGTTATGAACAGTTGCTGATGCTGAGACAATGAGAGGTTTGAATGTGGGAGGGAGTTGGTCCCGCCATAAAACACATTGAAACTGAATGCGTAAGAGCTGATAAAGTAATACAATTCATTTCGCTATCTGTACCAAAATATGAAATATGGAAGGGATGTTTGCTGTTGAAAAGGTCCCAATTCATGTCCCCAACGTGGTTACCTTTCCCCCCCCCCCCTTGTTGTCCCCACAGCCGCGTCCGGTGATCCGTGGGGACAGTGTCCAGTCAACAGAAAGTGTAAGGACAAGTTTGGAAACGGGTCATGTGACAACGAGTGCATGGAGCCCGAGTGCCTCCGAGACGGCTTCGACTGCCTGAAGGACAGGGGCCACTGCAAGTAAAACACCTTTTGTTTTCATCGCTTTTTACTTTTCTGTGTTCACATAAACCTCTTTACACTATTCGGGGTGACTTTTATTCCAGACAAGGGTATTAATATCATGTAATGTTATCGTTAACACATGCACCAACCTGCCAATTCTCTTATTCTACCTCTTTACGTCTCTTCCTTCCTCTCCGTCGCGGCTCTCAGTCCGGGGCACATCCAGTACTGCCGCGATCACTACGCCAACTCCCACTGCGAGCAGGGCTGCGACAGCGCCCCCTGCGGGTGGGACGGCAGCGACTGCTTCACCCACCGGAGCCCCATGTGGGCCAGAGGCACTCTGGTCCTTCACGCCAGCCTCCCAGCACACCGGGGGGCCTTCGCCAACAGCTCCCTGCTCTGGGCGCTCAGCGTCCTCCTCCAGTCGCCGCTCAAGCTGAGGGGGTCGGCGCCGCTCGCCACCGGCAGGAACCTGTTTGACTTCGACGCCCAGCAACTCGCCGACCTGCTGGCTCAGGCCTCCGCGGGGGACTCGAACGGGTAGGTGCAGGGCGGGCTGTCAGGAATGGAGAGGTAGTTGAAAACCGGCTTTTGCTGAATGCAAATTAGCAAAAGAATCAGGCAGCAGAGCAAGCGATGCGCCAGACGGGCGACACCAAAAGTAAGGCTGCGATTACAATAAGAAAAGTGACACTGGACACTGGTGCATGCATTTGCAAGATTTAATGGCTTCGCCCTTCATACTATCAATAAAATAACTGTAATGAATATAGTCCATGACGGGGAGACACTGCGATCGATAAAAAAGTTCTCTCCATGGTTTTGAAACGGTTCTAGATTTTATTCAGCCGGCGTGTTCAGACAAAACGACATGTAATGAAACGATTTGAACTGCTCTTTCCTGCTGTCTCCCTCCCTCTCACTCTTTCCTAAGCTCCCTCCTTTTCCTCCAAGTGGACAACAGGCCATGCACCAGTCAGCCGTCGACGTGTTTCCCTTATGCCACCGAGGCGGCCAGTTTCCTGCGTGCCGTGATGCTGCTGAAGCCCGGCTGGTTCTCCTCCCTCCCGGAGCTGAAGGCCGTCGTCAGCATTAGGGGCGTGCGAGAGGAAATAGGAAGCCGTGAGGAGGAAACGGTGAGAGAGGAAGTCAAAGGTAGGATCACAGGTCCCGTCTGCCGCCCACACACATCCAGCTTGGACTTGAACAAAAGACCTTTCTGTTTCCACTGGGTAGATGTTTGAGTTTGAGTTGTTCCAACGTTTAAAATGTCGGAGCTAAATAAGAAGCATCAGCAATTGAGCACCACAGATCGATATTACGGCTTTGCTCTGAATACTACCTTGATATCACTTTCCTCCTTTCCAAAATGTCCCGTAGCAAAATCCATTTACCATTTTCCCTCTCAAAGAGCCGACCCGTGCGTGGCTGTGGGCCGTGGTCGCCGTGGCGATCGGCCTGCTGCTGGTTCTGGCCCTGGTGGCCTTCCTGGTGGTGAGGAGGGTGAGGCGGCAGCACGCACTGAGGGAAGATGACACCCACAGGGTGAGACACCGGTCCACCGTCACCGACAGCGACCCCAAAGCCAAGGCGCCGCAGCCGCCGCCGCACGCCGCCAACCAAGAGCAGAGGGTCCGACCCAGCAGAGAGAAAGAGAAGAGCAGCTTCCAGAGGAAGAAGAAGAAGGCGAAGGAGGCGGAGAAAAAGAGAAGGAGGGAGCCGCTGGGGGAGGACGCCATTCGAATGCGGTGAGACACAGGCTGCCGGGACAGACAGGAGGGGATGTATTGTCTCCTGGGGGGAGGATGTCATGTAGACAAACACAAAAACGAGTGAGAAGTGGTTTTTGATCCCACCACGTGTTGACTGACCTGTACTCACTGGACTCTAGGCCCCTCAAACGGGAACAGGACATAGGAAGCGACACAGACTTTACCCAGAGTTCCATGGAAGACATCAACGCCAGATGCTCCAGACGACAAGAAGACGCCTCCATCTGTGACCACAGGAGCCCGGAGCAGAAACACTACCGGGCTGGAAGCTCTCAGCCCCGGAGACCCGCACAGCGTACGGTGCCCCGTTCATTCGTTCATACGAGAGGGGTCGGGGGGTCGGGGGGTCGGGAGGGGGGGCGGGGTATGTGATGATTGAACGTTATGATACAAGCTGAGAGACAGCTCAAACTTTTCTTAACAACAACAGATCGACATTCAAATCACAGGTAACAATATGCATAATATAATCGTAAGCAACACTAGTAGAAAATAAATGTTGCTTTATTCCTGCACCTACATTTTCTTGCATTATGTTTTATTTGTTGGGTCATCGCTTTTAAGTCATCTGGTGGTTTTACTAGTCAAAAATGTGCTGGTTGAATAACTTTTGTATTTTATTGTTATTGGTCTATATTTTCTATCTCTGGGGTTTTGGTCTGTTTATTTCATATAACAAATCAATCAAGAAAATAATCTGTAGACTTCCAGCAATGCAAATTATGATTCAAACAGTTTAGAAATACATTTAAAAAAGTATTAAATAAAGTCTATATAAACGGGGGAACTGTGGTATTTGTGTAAGTATGACAATCCTCACAATTCGGTTGGAGATCCATAGGATGTGTTTTTTATTGCCCCTCAGCTCCGCCTAGAGGATGGGAGATGGGAAACGCCATTCCTCCCCCTCTGCTCAGTCCTCCCCAGCAGGTGAGACCTCTGGTTTGGTTTTAACTGTTTGCTACAGTTCATTTTATCCATGTTGTGGGGCGACAATGTTATTTACTTAAACCGTTGGATCTGTATCACCTCTACAGACTCTACCTCGACTAAAAACACTAACAAAAAAATTGTAGCACTTAAATTGTACTTGTAATGGCTCTTGTCTATAGCAAGTTGTTGTAAATCGGCTTATTTAATGAAAACAAAGAGTTTGTATCCTTATGGTTGAAATGCACTTATTGTAAGTTGCTTTGGAGCTAAATGACATGTAATGTATCTGTTTATTCTCTTTCTCTGTTTTTAAGTAGACCACATGAAACATGTGTCCGTTACAGTAATCATTGCTCTGTTGTGTCGGCAGTCGGCAGAGTGGTGCGGCCCGGACGGCTCCGTGGTTCTGATCCGAGCGGTGCGCAGCGGGTTGGACCGGGTGGTCCTGGAGCTGCTGCGAGCCGGAGTACCGGTGAACAACACGGATCACACTGGTAAAACATCTGTGTCACAGCTGCTACTGTTAGCTTGGTGCCTGGAAGGCTGAACCTCAACCCCGAAGCCTCAGTCTAATAGTGTTTGCATGGTGCCACTTTCGACCTTTTTGAAGGTAGAGCAACGTGAATGGAGCTCATTTTTATTTAAATGACTCTACAAGAGAAAATATACTTCATCCATCTCATAATGCAGGCAGGCTAAAAGGCTAGTGAAGAATTTTGTGCAAATGTAGTTTCATTGTTTCCTGTGTATTTAATATTTCATCGCTAGGCAATTCTGCTTTAACGCGACATGGGAGCTAATAACTTTTAGTATATTTACACGATGTCTCCAACCAAAGTTATAACAAATTTCATCTCAATACAGTCAATTCAGTTTTTCAACCTGCTGGAGGTCCAAGGTATCACCAAAATCATTACGCTATAACTTCTGGGGACCATGAATCTAAATTTTCACATCAACAGGGCTGAAGTTCACTTTGGAGGAAAACAGCATTGTTAATCTCTTGAGCCGGCCATTATTTTCTGACACCTGTACTATGAGGGGCTGAGTAACTGGTGTAACTTACCCCATCTCTCTCACATCCTCTTTTTGTGTCCCTCCTATCCCATTGTGTACTCATGTCTCCATCTCTTCCTCCTCCTCCTCCTCCTCCTCCTCCAGCTCCCCTGCTGCCCTCCTCCGACTCAGATCAAAGTTAATGTGCTGTAGTGCTCAAACTGGGGTCGACACACATGTTAACTTTGATGCGCGTCCTTCTCTTCGCTTTTGCCGTCTCTCTTTTTCTGTCGCGTCGCTCTTTCTCACTTCTGCTGAAATTATTTTTACATCCCTCCATTCTCCCCCTCTGCACCATCTTGGGCTCGACGCTGTTGTGTGATGGTTTGTTCATTGGCTGACTTACTCCCTCCCTTCTTCCCTACTTGCCTCCCCTCCACTTGCACTGCCTCTCTCAGGGAGATCGGCCCTGCACTGGGCATGCTCAGTAAACCATCTCACCCTAACAAGGACCCTCATTCGCTACGGGGCGGCCGTGGACCTGCAAGACAACAAGGTGAGTTCTGACTTCATCACCAGTCATTAAGAAGGGCTAAGAACGCTGACTTATTATATATTATTAGTGCTGTCAACAAGAACGCATTAATCTATGCGATTAATGTGGCAGAGATTAATACAACAAAATATGTTAACGTGTTACATACTTTTTTTTGGAGACCGAAAGTAAACCAGAAGTTGACAGCAGAAACAAAGCGGCCACTAGTTGCAGTCAGTTACATCGGAGAAAGACGGTAGCCCAAGAAGGATGCAGCTTTTTGCATTGGAAGTAAGACAAACAGGCGACATACAGCGCGAGAACTGTGTAGAGCAATTCCCCCACGTGTCAAACAGAAGGGGGATGAGTTAAAGCACCGCTATGCTAAGCTAGCTGCTAGGCTAAGCTAGCTGTAAGAGCTGCCAGTTCAACATGTTCCACCCGGTGGAATTCTGCCTCGGATCAAATGTGTGTAGTTTGGGTTTAAAATAACATTGTCTAAAATACACAAGTGATCACTCATTACTTGTAAGATTTAGTCTGTTGAAGAAAAACAAACATGAATTAAAAACAACATTGTGACAACAACAACATTCATTAATCGAGATTAATGAATTTCAAAATGTGCGATTAATTGGGTTGTTTTTTTGAATCTATCGACCGCTCTATATATTATGTTATTTATTATAGAATGATTGTTTCTCTGTTAGGGCGAGACGTCGCTCTTCCTCTCCGCCCTCCATGGCTGCTACGATACGGCCAGGCTTCTCCTCCTCCACGGCGCCAACCTGGAGCTGCACGACCGCAGAGGACGCCGTCCGATCGACGTGGCCAGGGAGGGCATTCACCACCAGGTCCTGGAACTCCTGTTGGCTCACCAAATTCAGAGGGGGCCGGTTCCCGTTGACACGGCCAACGAGATGCTGTGGGAGGAGCGCGCTCTGATGTACTCGTCATGGGTCGGATCGCAGGGCATGCCCGGAAGAAGTGCGTCCTTCTCCGGGATCATAGGGCACCGAGATATGACCCCACCTCCGCAAAAGTAAGGTTTCAGCTAGATGACACACAAACCCCAATGTCTCTGTTCTGATTATGTAACACCGGATGACTGCGTGAGAAAGAGTGAATGAGGAATATAACCGATTAGTCCATCAACTCAAATAATTATGATAATATCAATGACTGAAGATTGTTTTTCAACAATGACCAACTTTCCGTAATTCCACAAATGTGACTATTTCTTGACTGCATGTGATAGCAAATTGTATATTGTAATTGATTTTTAAAGTGCTGATCGAGCAAATTTTATATTCTATAACAAGATAAGTCATTGTACTGAATGTTAGTACCATATTTTGGTAAACACCTCATGGTGAACGCATCTTATTGGCGCTCTGCACTAAAGTAGCATTCGCAGCATAAAAGGAACTTTCCCTTTGTGTTGGCTTCTGTGGACAAAAGCTTTTTTCCCAACACCTGTTTACCTTCAGAAAACAAACATATTATTAGTTATTTTACTGCAGCAGCATTAAAAAAAAGGAAGTAGCCAATGAAAATCTTCCCACTGATTGTCTCTTCTTCAAAATAAAACAATATCTTGTGAAGGAATTATTAAGGATACCGTACAAAATCAGGACTTTTTGTAAAAAATAAGTTACATTTGGAGTAATGCACTGAAAAGACTCCTTTGGCGGTGCATTCAAAGACACTCATAACCAAACCAGCCCAGTACATTATTTGATGTGATGAACCATGTTACTGGGTAGCCGTCTGAAGTTGTGACGATATTCTTGTCTCGCCAGTGATTGGTCAATGAGCCGCGTGCAGTACCCCTCCCCTCAGAACTGGCGACCGCAGCTCAACCAATCAACGACTGCGCTGGTCCCACCGAGGGTCATGGGCCGCTCCCCTCGGCCAATCAGCACCTTACAGGAGGTGACCTCAGAAGACGAGGATCGCGATAGGCATCACGAAGTCCCCAGAGCTGCAACGCCTCACTTCCTGTCACCCCAGCCTGCGCCTCGGCAGCGTTCCTTCTCCTGCACCCAGCATGCATTGCAGCGCCGCTCCAGTGCCCACCAGCCAGAGCCCAATTATGTCATTGTGACAGACAGAACAGCCAATGAGCACATAGAGAGAGTGGTTGTTTCACCTCCCGCAGACGCCGCCGCCCATTCAGATCATCGCCCGCCGGTTGTGAGCGGCGACCATCCCGGTAGAGCAGACCAGGCAAGGCCGAGTCCACCTCATTCAGAGCAGAAATCCAGAGGTGAGAGGTCAAACAACACAACCGACTCAACACAGACAGCCTTGTAGAGAAACAAGCAACACAACTCCAGCTGCTTTTCCACTCAGCCCAAAGGAACAGCATCGAAGAACACGTGAAGATAACGACGTACAATGAAGCTACTGCTGTATATTGAGATATTAATTATTGTTCAATGTGCATCTGCCGGCCGCAGCATCGCCCCAGTTTTCACTCAGCCTGACCTAAATTAGTGTTATTATATTTTTTACTGAGAGGGGTTTAGTATCTTTGTCAATGTTCTGTGACACGACAGTTAGATGCATATCTGTCAAACACAGGATGGAGGTCACGTGTAGACTGCCACATCTTATGCCACATGATATTGTAATGTGTTTGTATTAGGGTTGGATCCTGAGAAACATTCAAAGAGAAATGATGAAATAAGAAACGTGTACATTGTTGCACAAAGATGTTGCTGATTCATGCAATTAACGTACTTAGTCGTTCTTACTAAAGTGTTATTTCCTGTAAATTATATGAATTTTGAATGTTTTTTTTCAAAATGTGCTGCATGGTCAGTTAGAGTGTTGTCTCATTTGGACTGATATTATGAAACAGTGTATTTTAAACAGTATTTTACTTCTTCAATGATGGAATATCACAGCTTGTTCAAAAATAAATAAATACAAGCGGTGAATACGACCAAGATACTCCAGAACCATGAAGAGAAGAACATGTGTCATTTATTTTACTAGAATGATCTGCCCCCTCTGTGAGCCTCACATTAGTCTGAATCTGTAGACAATTGATAACATATTTTATAACAAATTAGAAATTGCGTTGTGCAATGTTTATACATTCCTCAATTTAAACTTTAAAATGCTTCTTTATTATTCAAACACAGATTTGACCTAGACGTGCAAACTCCCGCGCGAGAGACGTCTTTTGTCATTCACTCGGATTGACGGGGGGGGGGAGCGTGCACATGAGACGCTCTCCTCGTTCCCACGCGCCTTTCCCGACGATCGACATGCAGAGGACTTTGGATGGATGTCCCTTCAGTGTGTAAGCATTTATTCAGTTGCTTTAAAATTCAACCAGAATGTTTACATAGAGTAGCATTGCTGCAGGTTAAAAGACAACCGGTAATAATGGAAGTACTACATTTAATTTAAATTTAAATTGAGTGAAAAGCTATTTCCAAACGTCGTCGCATGACGCCTCTCGTCCGCACGCAAGTGCCGCCACGCAAGTCCGCACTTATGTATGTATGGACGCTCCTCAAGACACGTGCCAACAAACACCAATGAATGCATGAACCTTCTTTGGGGATTTTTCCTTTTGTTTATTTGCAAATGACAAATACAATATATTAAGGTGCAAAAAAATGCGACATATGGGACACGATGAACACGAGTCGGCCTGTCGTCGGCCGTAGCAGCACTTGGCGTGCTTTCAATAGATTTACAGTATCTACAATTATAACGTCCTCTGCAGAAAGCAGGAGGCCTGACACGTGCCCTCGTGGAAAGTCACGTGAACGACACACGCTCTCCTTTTGTGGAGGATTAAACCGGCATATTCGTGTCATTCAAAAGTTCAAGTTTTTGAGGTGCGGCGGATCAGGGCCAGGGCCTCCACATGGACCGGCTCCCCGACTGGCCGACCGGCGGGCTCTGTTTGCTCGCTTGACTCGTGCCTTTGCGCGCCTGCTGGGGGGTCGATGTGGCACAGCTTTGTGGCCCCCCGCTGGTCTGACCACTTTGTTGTACGGTGTCGCGGGCCGGCATGCGCAGCCTGTACCCGGATCTCTGTATCAACAACCGAAGAATAGACCTGGAGGAATCTCTGAGGAGAAGGGGACCAGAGGAGGAGGAGGAGGAGGAGGAGGAGGAAGAGCAACTAGCTGCGGCTCGTCTCCGTGCGCCTGCAGAGTCTGAATGGGAAGAGCGAGCGGCGAGAGACGCGTCCAGTGCCGCTCCGAGCCACAGGCCTTTCCCCTCAGGTCCCAGGAAGTGAGCAGCCCTCCGCAGGCACGTGGAGAAGCCGTCTCGGAAAGATTGCTGCTGACCTCCGCCTCCGCTATCAGCTCTCGCTTGGTTTCTTTCGGAGCTGTTCTGCAGGAAGAGGACCGTGTGCTCGAGGATCTCCGCTTTCTCCACTCTGCGCGGAGACGCTTCCTGGGACAGAAACGGGCAGGGGGGGAGAGGAGGTTGAGGGGCGGGGGGAGGGGTGGGTTAATGAACGGTTCCACGGCTCTCTAAAAAAAAAAAAAGGCCCCTATAGTCGTCTGTGATCCGCCCCGAGAGCTCCGCGGTGTCTACCTGTTGCTGTATTACGAGGGCCTTCAGCCTCTCCAGGCTGCGGTTCATTCTCTCCCGTCGGCGTCTCTCCACCTGAGGTTTGAGACTCTGCGAGACAGAAGCGAGAGTAGAATTAAGTAATGATGTGAGGACAGGATGTGCGATGGTTTCAGTCCCTCCACGGGTTCGGCTTTAGTCCCACGCAGGCTGCGGGAGCAACGTGCATCAGACAACGGCCAAAGCCACGCACGGATTAAATAGTGCGTGTTGCCTTTAGTGAAACAAGTAGCTTACCCTTCTGTTGGCTCTTGCGTCCTCGGAAGCCTGAAGCAATTTCATGGTCGTATTCCAAGACGTGGTGGCTGCAGGTCCGCCGCGGTTTCAGTCAGAGCTGAATGTGACGTGAGGGACGTTGGTGACAGGTTTTATCCCCGGGGCGGGCGCCCCTTTAGGCTCCACCCACAACCCCCAGAGAAGGTGTTTCTATACTCCATGATTGACGACTTAACTTTACTGGTTTTACTTTTTTTAAAAAAGGTGTTTCTTTCTTATTTTTAAATGATGAGCATTCCAAGTGAACGCTTTGCTTTGTCGTGACTCCTTTTCCCCGACAGCCTGCTCGTGCCATTGTTTGAGAAAAAAGAGAAGGCGATTAATGTTAAATAATTAAGTTGCCCTTGAACCCCTAATGTGTTTCTTCAATCAAAAACGCTTTGATTCACGAACTACATGTTTAAAGTTTTCGTTTTTGGTCTCTTCAACACATTTCGAAGAAGGCATTCGCGTCCTCACATTCAGGCACGCGCAGCTGCCCCGCTGAGTGTCGGCGGCACGCGCGCGTGAAACGTGTTACCGGCTCGCGTGTCTAGTTTTGCATGTGTGAGGGAAAGCAACAAACATCCGCCAAAGCAGCGTGAAGCCGAGACAAACGGCCTCGGGTGACTTCTCTCGCCTTTTGTCATGGAAGCATAAAACCAGACACCGTCAGAAGAAAAGGAACGTGGAGACGTCTCAGTCATTGACTCGCGTCTTCTCCAAAAAAAAAAAGTGTCTCTTTCTTAGCGAATATAACTCTAAATTAGGTCAAAGACTACAAATCAAAGTTACACATAAGTTATTTAATTCAAAGCATGTTTGTTTGTTTATGTATCAACAATGTGCAAACGCTGCTGAAAAAAGGCGTGGATGACGTCGCGCGTAAAGAATCTTTTACGCGCGACTCTGCAGATGCCTTGCGATTAAAACCAAAAGGTACGTCGTACTTGGACTCGCAGCCATGGGAAACCCCAAAGACACTTTTCCCTCAAGAGGTTTTTGTTCTTATGATGTATCGATTCTAACACGTAATAAAGCGCGAATACTCCCCGAGCAGCTTTCCCACGAGGAAGAAGTGGAGGAGCTACTTAATTGCACGTGGGTGTAATAAGTCTCCGACATTCAGTGAACACAACCAGATCAGGTCGACTTTTGTCAGATACCTAAAACCTTGTTTTACTGTGTTACAATATGATGATTCTGTATAGTTCTCAAGGAAACGCGAGAGATCGCGTGAAGTCTGTTCTGTTACGCGCGAATCCTCCAATCGACGTTATTGTTTACCAAAAAAAAATGGAAGATCAATATTTGAATCTTTTCAACGGAACAAATTCCCACCCCCAACTTTTCAAACCACGGTTGGTTATTTGCTCTTATACCATTGTTCTGAGCGTCGTCCCGCCCGTGCGTGGGAACCTCTCATCCAAGCGCGCTTTGAAAACGAAGTATCGGATTTAACAGGTAATAAAGTGAGCATGTGGCCCGTTGCTCCACGTCCCCCACGATGAGAACGAGCTGGGGGACCCACTCCCACTGCCACACGTATTCAACGTGTGTTTGCTGCCGTTTCGACTCAAGGCCGTTTGTTTATCATTTCCTTTTGGCTTGGAGAACATGTGTCCACCTGTCTCACTATATACGCAGGGTCATGAGATGATGAATTGTAGCCGAGAGTGAATAAGTAAAAACATCGTTCCGCAACACAGAGATTTAATATTTGGCCTTTTGTGATAATCAATACTAATTAATGATCATTTTGCTTTTCAGGGCCAGTTGAAATGGAGCTGAGAAGTTAAGAGAGGAAATCCTTAATTTGTGGCAAAGGGCCCAAAGCCAAGTGGCCAATAAAATAAAGTACGCCTTCATAAAGTCACAATGGATTCAAGTGGCATGTGCTTTATCATTTTACCTGTTAGTTTAGCACACATTCCTTTAGGAAATGTACAAAACTACCACAAGTATACACACAATACAAGAATGGGTAGAGGGGGACTTAAGTGACTTTGAACCTGGTTGGTTGTTGGTGCCAGATGGGCTGGTCTGACTGTGCCACAAACTGCTGATCTACTGGGATTTTCACGCACAACCATCTCTAGGGTGCAGAGCCAGTGAGCGTCAGTTGTGTGAATAAAAAAGCCTTGTTGGTGTGAGAGGTCAGAGGGGAATGAGCAGACTGGTTCAAGATGATGCAAAACCAACTGCTTCTTACACCCGAGGATTAGCAGAATAGCATCTCTGAACGCACAACACGCGCGGAACCTTGAAGAAGATGGACTAAAAGCAGCAGAAGACCACGGGTGCCAAGACGTTGCATTTTGGGCCACTCAGTGCCAATCGAGCATCGTTTTAAATGCGGCAGGCTGAGCATTGTTGCTGACCACATCCATCCCTTTATGACTTACTCCAGCAGGATGAACACAGCGCTCATAGTCAAACTTGAACAATGACCTCCACAGCCATCACATCCCAATCCAACAGAGCTCCTTTGGGACGTGGTGGAACGCGAGATTCACATCCAGATGTTATCATGTGGACCAACATCTCTGAGGAATGTTTCCAACGCCTTGTTGAAAATATATACATATACACTTCTGCTTGGTCCACAAGGTTGTACGTTGCGTCTTTCTCAGCCGTATGGGTACGCGCCGGCGTCTTGGATGTGAAACACGTGATAGAAATGCACCCAAACATTTTTAAATGACACTGTATTAACGTGTAGTAAAACCTGAGGGTTTCCTCCCGGCGGAGACGCCGCGTCACCGCGTCAAACAACCATCACAAGGAGTTCCCACTATAACGAATATACAATAAATGCATCCAGGGGGGTCAACCTCGGTGCGTGAGCTGCACCTCGGTGCGTGAAGGGTTTCCGCGTGGGAACCCGGCCGCCCGCAGTGCTCCACACACACACGTATCACAATGAAGCACTGATACCAACAGGTCGTAAAAGCGCAAACGGGCGCGCGTCGCTCTCTTGTTCCCACGAGAAAGCGACAGAAACGCGGCTCCCATGCTCAGCGGTGGGATAGTGTCAAAAAAGGTGGCGACGGGTTGTTTGCCAAGTGTAAATGAACAGAAGTCACATTTTCCAGGCAACGTTTTAGTGAACGAGCCGTTGGCTTCGTTTGAATTTGTGTTGTATGTTTAAGTACAAAAATAACCTCTTTCTTAAATGAGAAGCAGCGTTCTGGATCTTGAAGTCTGATGATGGCAAAATAGAACTGAATATGAATTCTGGGCCACTAATACGTCACCATTCCATGTATTGATCGCAGTTGTTTTTAATGAACTCTGTTATATTGTTGTTGTTTTTTTAGAGAGAAAAAAGTAAAATCCTACATCTTTAACCAAACGCCCCTCTGAGTGTGACTGAACTTCAAAGGAGGTGTGAAGACACGTTTGGCTCCCTGTGAACTTACACCGGACACGCGTAGAAAACCAAGGGCCTGTGAGCAGCGGGGGGGGGGGGTCCATGCTAATTACTATGACAACATACGTGGACAAGAGCTGGAAGGGTTTTCATATTATTCAATTCCTCTTAATATATTTGTGAAATATGGCGTTACGTTCTGAACAGGTGTGTATTTCTCAGCCAATGTTTTATTTTTTGTTCTGTCATCTTTTGACAAATTACACACAAGGAATCGTGTAGGTTTTTATTTTCGGAAACAAGCTCTTAAAGATCATATGGGAAATACTTTGTCAGGGATAGAAACAAAATATGGAGGGTTCAATGATTGAATTTGCTTATTTTTTTTAAAACTTTTTGTGGTAGATTTTCCACCTACTGCTATGCAAACTTTTATTATGATCATCTTTTTATGTTTTCTTTATAAGTATCCTCCCAAAGCATTCAGGCTGAGTCAATAGTCAAGTGGGGTCTCTGAACTCCTTCACCTCTCGGTCAGGCTTCACACGGGGGGGATGCAGCTCTGCGGGGGGCTTCACACCTCCCACGGCAGCTAAAAAGAGCTGTCAACCGCCGCGCAGACGAGCTCCCAATGAAGAAATAAATGATTGAATATGATGCTTTTTGTAGCTCTTTATTTCCCTATTTAAAAAAAAATAAAAGAAGATGACTTCTTACGAGACATCCAGAATAAATTATTGTGCAAAAAAACAAGATATATATATATATATATATATATATATATATATATATATTTTTTTTTTAAAGGGAATACACGTTGAATAGCAAACATCATGGCACACGGGGGAATCAGCTGAGCACAGCAGCAGGTCCCACCTGGACCACGTGATCCAGCTCACGCGTGTGCCCACAGCTTCAGGGGGGAGTCACTGTGCCGGAAGCAGGATAAAGTATCACACATACATTATCATATATACATAAATTATTACAGTATCTACAGGATTTGAGGTTGCGGTTGAACATCAACGTTACGCGTTATAGTCCCGGGGCCTTCGGTTCCAGCGAGCTGCCGGAGTCATCACGTGTCGTTTGGGTCACGGCCCGGTGATCAGGGCCACGGCCTCCACAACGTGTGGTCGGGCTCTGTTTGCTCGCTCGTCTCACTTGAAGGGGATTCTGTGTCTGAGGATTTAGGGGGGGGCACGGGGAACCCGGGGGACCCGTTCCGGATCGGACCTCCGCACGGCTCAGAGGCGCCGGTGCGTGGCGCGCGCGGGTTGTCCCCGGACCTTCCCCTCAGCGTCCGCAGGATGGACTTTGTGTGCGACAGAGAGCCGGAAGACCAGCGCGCTTCCTCGGGTCTCCTTCGAACACCTGCAGCGGGGTCTGAGCTGCAGAAGCGGGCGGCAACAGACGCGTCGAGCGCGCCTCTGAGCCGCGGGCCTTTCCCGTCGGGGTCCAGGAACCGGGCGGCCGTCCGCAGGCAGCTGGAGAATGCGTCTCGGAAGCAGTGCTTCTGGCCTCGGCCCTCATCGCCGTCATCGGGAAAAGAAGAAGCAGGAGAAGTCCTCGTTTTCTTCTGCAGGAAGAGGACCGCGTGCTCGAGTATCTCTGCTTTCTCCACTCTGTGCTGTGTCCCCTGCGTGGAAACACCCGTCTGAGTAAATGGAATCTGCAGGCAGTAAGAGTGCACAATTGTACATAATTGTGAAATCATTTCAAAACCCACATGATTTCCTTTCACACTATATACGGCTTTTTAGTTGTTATTATACCAGTTGTTGTGGCTCTTGAAGCAACATTGTCCTCAGACGCTGCAGACTGTGGTTCATCCTCTCCCTTCGACGTTTCTCCATCTGAGATTTCATGAACTACAAAGAAAGAAAAGAAACTGTGGGGAAGTCGCAAATGTACAGTGTAATAAAGCCGCAGTTTTCCTTCAAGCTATACGGTTCGTATTGGTATACGCACAATACAATATGTATACAATACAATTCATTTTACCTTTCTTTCGTTTGTTGCATCCTGCGTTTGCTGTAACAGTTGCATTGTAGCCAGAGGAAGAGTGCAGTGGAGACCGGTCAGTTCCAGGTTCCTTCACAGTGAACACCTTACGGGCCAATGTGGCAGGGCCCCAGATAACTCTTCACTCCTCCTCCTCCTCCTTCTCCTCCTACTGCCACATTTTACAATTACCCCCAGGCCTCCTTTCAGCTCCTCCATCACACTGTATCATTTCATTCTCAGTATTTTGAATTTCATTTAGTTGACTTACACATGGCATGATTTGAGGCCTTCATTTTACCTTTATGCGAAAAAAGGAGGAGGTGAAGACATGAAACCGTACATATAAAACTCTGTGCGTATACAATCAAAAAATATATTACATTTGAGATTTTACTTAAAATATTTAAAACAGTCACATTTTATTTCTTTGAAATACAACCCCGCTTTTTCTGTCACTTGGAACGTTGCCCTTTGCACTGCAATAACCAATCACAATAGGAACTCAAAACACGAAAAATCATCTTGGTTCTGCACAGATATTTCCTGGGACAGGTATTCTCTTTTATCGTATTATTAGTTTTACGGCATTTGTGTCCCATTTAGGGTGAATGAGATGGCTATGGAAGCCCATTTCCGCCACACACACAGAAGGAATAGAAAGTCGAAATTATGACTTAAGAAAGTCGAAATTATGACTTAAGAAAGTCAAAATTATGACTTAAGATATGCGCATGCGCATGCTCCTCGTTGTTTGGTACATTGACTTTCCAAACCCTCTTGGCGACTTCTTGTCAAAAGCGACCAGCGACCTTATCTGGTTTTATTGGACTGAAATCAACGCGCGCATGCGCAAAGCCGCCGATGCTTCTGCAGCGTTTTTCCTCATTGAGAAATTAGCAACACTGGTTCAATAAAGAGAGAACTCTCTTCTGGACTTTTCAATTACTAATAGCGATAACTACGGAATAAATACCACCCGGAATTGATTTATTTCGGACTCGGAAATAGCGAAGATAATTTAGACTCCGCTGAAAGTCCGTGTTTGTTATGAGGGTGGAGTGAGTGGGTGCAAGTGTCCGCAGGACGTTTACAGTTCCGTAAAGTTGGCAAGATATTCACAGATTGGGACTTCCTGGTTTAATAGCTGGTCAGCGGGACGTTGTTAAACACAAACGACGTCTGTGTGACCGTTGCCTGTAGTCACCAACCAAGTCCTAATTTTGACTTTATAATTTCGACTTTCTATTGTCATAATTTCAACTTTTTAAGTCACAATTTCGACTTAACCCTTCTATTTCTGTGGCGGAAATGGGCTTCCATTCCATCCATCTCTTCCTCTAGTTAAAAAAAACCTGTCGATGTCTTCTGTCCTCCTTGTCTGCATGTTAAGTCTTTCATAATCTCCTTTACTTCTCTCTCTATGCTCGCGTGCGGCGTGCGCCGACACCTCGGCGTTCACACATTACGCCTCTGCGTCTGTTAGTCGGTCCGCCGGGGGGGTCGAATGTGCAACAAGTTAACACCTTGACCAGCTTTCACACCTCCGCGTCACAAAGGGCCGCGCGTGCCTTTTGGGCGTCTGTCTCGTGCCGGCGCCCCGTTGAGCGGCGCCACAGTTGTTCGACGTTTGCTCGTGGGAGCCCTTTGATGTTGCCAGGCAACCGTGGGAAGTAGAAGAAGTAGACTTATTGCCAGCCCGTGACGGCTGGGGGAGAATGTTCGGTAGGGAAATCGAGTCAATTTCAAAACCATTTAGGTACAAAGAACAAAAACAAATTGATACTTTAAAGTAAAAAATGTAATTCTTTTGTTTTGTGCTTTGTGTATTAGCTGCTGTACCTCAATGGAGCATAATCAGGAAACATTCATTGCCATAATGTGTCAGACATACAAAGAATTTGACTTGGCGGTTGGTGCGTAACAGCAGACAGTACGACAATGGACGACAAGACAACGGTCCACGAGGAATCGCAAACAGGAAACATAATTAACAACAAAAAACGGAAGTGCACCGTGGCAGCCATAGTCGGCGCCATCTTGGATCTAGCAATAAATGACAGCTGAAGTTGGATGCAGAATAAACGTCAATGATCTTTTAATGTCAACTTGTTGATATCATGTGACTTTTTTTAACAACTAGAGATACAGACAGTCCAGGTCGAAGCTTCGCACCAAAGAGAGACTCACGAGCCTCACTTTATTCTCCAGCGTGAACGTGTTGATGATCCCTGAAAGGCCGACGGTGACGGAAACTCCTCCCACACTGCTCACAGGTGAAGGGCTTCTCACCAGTATGGATCCGCTGGTGAGTCTTCAAATCGGCTTTTCGATAGAAACTCCTCCCACACTGCTCACAGGTGAAGGGCTTCTCACCAGTATGGATCCGCTGGTGATTCTTCAAATTGGCTTTTTGATAGAAACTCCTCCCACACTGCTCACAGGTGAAGGGCTTCTCTCCTGGATGGGCCTCACAGGTGGAGGGGCCTCCTCCGTCATGCTCTGAGGAGGTCGAGGCGCAGCAGTGTGGTTTCTCCACAGTGTCAGCACACTGACGTGGATCTACTTGCCCCCCGGTGAGACTCTCCTCACCCTCCCCACGAGGTCCGGCTGGATTTGTTGATGTCTGCTGGGAAGTAAAACTATTTCAGACAAAGACAGATGGAAAGAGTGTCACAGGGTATTAATTGGTGGATCCCAGTAATCGTACCCCAAAACAAATATTTTACAATATCAAAGGACACCTGGCGTGCTCATGTCCAGGTTCATACTCATGTTTTGGGGTACTTACTTGTATACCTGTGCTCATCCTCTGTTTGAAAATCAGTTTTGTCTCATTCAGCGGAAGTGGGTTGCTAGGCAACAGCTCTAGTTAATATTTACTTTCTGTCAGCTGACCATTTCACGTACATTGTGAGTGCACGACAATCGGAAATGAACAAGACACATTAAAAAGCATTTACGTTTAAAGCTGTGAAATGTTCTGTACCCATGAGCCTCTGCTGCGTCTACCTGGAAAAGAAGGCGCGAAATGCGAGTTTTTGTGTTATCTGTTAGAAGTGTAGATATGATTCATGTATTCAGAAGCTGCCCTTCAAGTAAATTGCTACTTAAAGTGTATAAAGTGCACTTAAAGTGTACTGCTACTATTACACACAAATCTCCCCAGGGAGATTAATAAGGTATACCAAAGTCAGGATATATATATATTATTATATTCACAGTTAAACATATAAACCATCTAATTGTTCCCAGTCTGTCAGGGAGTAAACATGGATCCATATTCAGACAGATGACGATGTGTGAAATATGAAGCAAGAGAAGTAAATATGTTCTAATAGAAAACCGAGATATGAGCTTGTCTGTTACACATTACAAGGTCCCTCATTTGCATTTTTAAACATAACATTTCAGAAAACGTGTAATACAAAATATGCTTGTCTTAATGTCAGTAATCATCTGGTGACGTTTATCGATAACTATTAAATGTTTTTTTTAACCCTATTTATCTGTATTGAAAGGCAGTTTTCTTTTAATTAGTTTATCCTCCGGTCCAGAAATCTCCACTTCAGTTGCTCCTACATCCACCAAACTGTACGAGCTCATTCCTCTCTACATTCTGAGGGATTTAACTAGGGGTTTGTTCAAATATCAGTCGTAGCCTGATTGATACATTCTGAGTATATAAAAACATGGAGGATGTGTATTTATTCATGTCTGTTGACTGTATCTTTTAAATAAATAAAAAACCTCTGTAAAAACAACAAAGCAACATTCATTTTAAACCATGATTCATCCAGAGTTCAGACTCATGTACTAAATACGTGTATGTGGACTAGCACATAATTGATAAGAGAAGGCCTTTTGCATATTTCAACACACATGTTCAGAAAATGTGTCTTAATGTGTCCAAAGTGATCAAACTGGGGAAGATTCCTGCTGATATCCAGGAGTCAAAGTTTACCTCTGATGAGCTCATGTTGATGGTTGTCTTCTCTTCTGTTTTTTTTCTTCTGATATCATGAAATAAAGACGATAAGACGAAGAAAACATGAATAAACAAGTGGACATGATTAAGAAAATCGAAGAGACACGTACGACTCTGAAAGAGAACTCACAGGCTTTGTTCCCTGCACGTTTACGTTGTGCATCTTTCAAATAACTGCAGTGCAACAATGAATTAAGTTAGATAAGTATGTCTACAAAGTATCTGTGATATTATATTCAATGAAATATATTCAACAGCCTTTGACAAGAGTTTATTTTATCATAGAAAAAGTTTACTAGAAGTACAGAGGGAACGTTCATGACTGAAGGAAACCTGTTTCTGCTCTTACCTTTTGTCTCTCGATGAAGTTGAAGCTGCCAGGCGATCCGGTGTCTTTTCCTCACTGAAACTCAAAGATGCATTGATGGTTTCCATGGTAACTACCGTCAAAGGTGTTTAAAAATGTAAAAACCTTTTTCGAAAATAAACGCTGAAAAAACAAACACATAAAAGTCCACAACGAACTCCAGTATATCTGCCAATCAAAAGTAAATAGACATTGACTCTAAAAAGGATTTTATCTTGCAGAACATTGTATAAAGCTAAATACAACACATGCTCTGTGTGAAACGTGGTATCACATCGTATTGTGTTGTAGTGGTCTACTTTTTCAGTGTCTATTTTTGAAAATATGTTCTTTATTTTTCAGTTACTTCTAGAACATATTTACATGCTTCTCCTGCTTCATTATTCACACATTATTATGCTAAATCTGAATCTGTATTCCACATCTGTCTGAATTTGGATCCAGCTTTACTCCCTAACTAACTGGGAACATTTAGAATGCTTAAGTTTACAGCTGTGAAATGGTTTATATATAATATATATTTATGATTCGGTCTGAGGCAGCGTCTGAATTCATTAATCTTAAACGTTTAACACATAAACAACTTTATACTTCAACCTGGCCCCAATACATCCTAAAACAATCCCGCGTGGTCCGTTTTTTTATTACCGTTTCAATATAAAAAAAGTACTTACAGAGATCTGTGGCAGAAATCAAATTCATCTCCATCATATTGAGGGAAAAAGAGGAAAACATCCAAAATTGGGTAAAAGATGGCAAAACTAAGGTGTGATTATAGTGACTCAACACTTAAATACTGCACGCTTATATCCTTCAAGCCTTTTGACACAAATCCAGAGCAGCAACTGTCTGGTTGTGAATACAGAGAGTCTTTATTGTAAAAGAGGTAGAGAGAATACAGGTGTTTCACTGTACAGAAAAGAACAGCACTGTTGATATACTCATTCAAACCACGGATATAGACTCACACACGCGCCTCATCCATCTTACAGGGACACATGAGCCCAGTAGAAAATCAAAATCAAAAATCTGACAAAACAGAGAAACAAACGCACAAAATCCTTTGGATTTTGGATTTTTTTTCCTTCTCGTTCACCTAAATGCATTCTCTCTTGTTGAGGGGGTAAAATGAAAATAGTTGTAGCATGATTTATTAAACAGCAATAATATTTATAATTTTGATAGTGTGCTAAAAACAATAATGCTGTGCCCGACCACAAACGCACACCTCAGTAACATGTCAAAATTAGAGGAAAACAAACCCTCCAAACCTGATAATAATACTGCAACTGCATGCATGCATGCATGCATGCACGCACGCACGCACGCACGCACGCACGCGCGCACGCACACGCACACGCACACGCACACGCACACACACACACGCACGCACGCACGCACGCACACGCACGCACACGCACGCACGCACACGCACGCACACACAAGCATGCACGCACACACACACACACACGCACACTGGCATCCATGCATTCAGCTAAACATACTAATGACCCACGTTGGTTGAGCAGTGAGGAAAGACGAAAACACAACTTACATTTAAAATAGTCAAACCAACCAAACGACGTACAAAAAACAACTGCAGCCAAGTGGGAAGTGTGATATCATTCTTCTGTCTTCTTTGTCGTCGTCGTCGTCTTCGTCGGCCTTTCTGTCGCTCTGTGCCAGTGGGCGGGGCCTTCAGTCTGAGTTTTCCGAGTGGTCGCTGTGGGGCGAAGCGCCGTTCGGGGGCGAGTTTCGACCCTGCCAGTTCCCGTTAGACTGAGAAATGGAAAAATGTAAACGAGTGTCAGACGACGTCATTATTCAGAAAACAACCGCTGCTTCGTCCCATAACCGCCCACAAGGTTTCTGATCGATCTCGCATTTACTACCACAGCTGATGTGTGAAAACACGTTTCAGAAGTCTAAAAAAAACGATTTCAGATGCCTCACTTAAAACCTTTTGTTTGGTGTTGTTTTTGTTAGTTATGTTTTATGGGCCCAGAGCCTAAAGTGACCCGCTACATCATTTTTATGAGATTCCACAACGCCTATTTGTGTGTGATGAGAGCCTCGACACGGCATTGATAAACACGATGCTCGGGGAAACAGCTGTGTGGCACGCAGCCCTAAATTTGAGCCCCCAGCTGCCTTCTCATGTAAATACATGTCAGACTGTCTCAGGAGGGGTCTGAGGTACCTGCGCTCCAATTTGGTAAGCAGACTGCTCCCCGTTCACAGGTGGAACCCCGAGGAACAGGTCAGCTGACCCGGACAGAAAGGACCCAGATCCTTAAAAAAAGATGAGAACCAAACGGCAACCTCAGTCAGTTTCAGTGTTTTTGTAGCAGTAAAAAGAACGTGCTATTAAATGGGAGTTTTATATTCTTTACTATAAACCACCTGTACATGTGAAGAGTCAAAGGGGAACAAGGACTAATAAGGTCTCTAAAAAGACTCTGTAAGCCACCGGTGTAAAGCATCTCACTGCCTCAGCTGCTATGAGTCTTACACGAGTCCCCGAGCTAATCCGGACCAGAAGCTAACTGAGCTATAGCTGGAAAACGGAGGCTTGTAAGTAAGCGAAATAAAAAAACATCGATACTGTAAAAAGTAAAATTAAAATTAAGCAACGTTTGCAGCGGTTTGCCATTTCCATTGACCGCAGGTTGCTTTTGTTCGCTTCCACAATGGCTGGCTGAGGCATTTTTACTCAGCCTTGGGTTATGCATTGCGTTCAGTGCAGCTTATATGACAAGTTGCGGGGAATGAATGAGGACGCGAGCGGCCTGGAGGCAAGCAGGTTGCACACCGCAACGCTCCGCGTCTTTCGGTACCTGTGGAGTTGGGGGTGTGCGGGGAGTCGTCCCCCTGTCCGACCAGGGCCGTCTTCATGGCGTAAAGGTTGGCCTCCTCTTGGAACTTGCCAATGTTTTTCTTGTAGCGGATTCTTTTGTTGCCGAACCAGTTGCACACCTGGAAACGGAAACACAAACACATTGATTAGACTTATGGTGGTTGAGAATAACGGATCAACCCTGAAGAATAAATCACACACATATACAGCGAATGCGCTTATTAATGAATTATAAAAAGGCGGTGCCTTTTGCTTAAGAGCATGAAAAACGACTGCTTTGTTTTTTTCTTACCTGTAATTTAAAACTCAAACACAGCTTTAGAAACATTGAATGCTCCTCTTAAGCCTAGTTTATGCTTCTGCGTCTTCAGAGAGACGCAAGGATTGAAGAACTTTTGTCAGAAGACATCCGTAAATATGACCACTTCTACATTGGCGGACTATAAGGACGCGCTGATGGCCTCCGATTCATGGAGGGAGATCCAGTGCCGGTCGAGGGGAACATGGTTGTGGAGGAAAATACCGGACATATGTGTCCGCGATGAAAAGCAGCAGTGGCGATGCACGGGGCAATAAAGTCTATGATAAATAAACAAACAAACCAACGACTTCCACACACAAAGACGTGACTCTCTAGGTCGTATTCGTCAAAAAACGTTTGAATTGAAACGTGTGCGTCGACACGACTGTGCGTGAAGATGCAGAAGCATGCGCCAGCCTTTAGATGTTCTCAGACCATCAGAAAAACGCTCGTTCCTCAAAGCATGAAGCGTGGTCTCACCTGAGAGACGGTGATTCCACACTGTTTGGCGAGATCCTCTTTGGCTTCTTCGCTGGGGTACGGGTTGGACAGGTGGGAGTAGAAATACTCATTCAGGCCCTCGGTGGCCTGCTTGCTGAAGTTGCGCCTTTTGCGCCTGAAGAGACACAAACAGGTGACTTGATATAAATGGTTGACTCTGGGATGTGGTCAAAGGACTAATCACATATACAGGTTTAAATGGGTACTGTTAACAGTATATCTATATATATTTGCTATAACAGTATAGCAAAGGTTGATATATTCTACCTTTAAAAGGGGTGCACATCAGCTTCGCACTAAATCTAGAAAAGGGCGCATTAGTCTTCCAACCAAAAGGTTGTTGAGTTAAGATTATTTTTGTGCTCATCTACCATTCAGAACCGTAATAATCGTTGAGAAATCGTAGCCCACTACCTGGCATCGAGGAAGCGGGACCTCAGGATCATCACTGCCTCACAAGTGCTCTGCTTCAGCTGGGTCTGGATGGTGCTGAACTTGCGGTGGATGATGCCCACCATGCGCTCAATCTCCCGCGGGGTCACGGGCCGCGTGCGCGACTGCTCCCTCAGCAGGTTCATGACGTGGGTGGTGAACTCCGTGCACGCCTAGGTGGAGGGGGCACATCCGACGAAGAATAGTGAAGGACAGAAATGCACAAAGCGATGCAGTAGTGTATATTAGTTCACGTCGGTCGGATGTTATTTATGTTCGGAATATTACAACACAGCGATTAGTAGCGAAGAAAAGGAGATGTGACAAGAAAACATTCGGAAAGTTGCTAATGCTATCCTTGTCAGTAATCATGTGGCATTCATAAGCATTCTAATCAAAAACAAAGAGTAGTGCATTCCCCGTGAAATGAAAAGAAATGGTTATGTGACTGCACCCTAGACCAAACATGCCATTGGATGACGCTTCAGGCAAGCAGCTTTAGTACAAGCAAGCGTGTACGGACAGTGTCAGCGCTCGTCTCCTGTTGCGACACGGTACCTGCTCATACTTCTCCAGCTCAGTGTGGTAGATACTGCGAATCTGGCTCAACTTGCTTTTGTAGTCGGAGTGCTCGAGCGAGCTGTCGGGGGACATCCCTCCCGAGCTGGTGGCCGCAGACACGGCGGCGGCGGCGCCCCCGCCCTTCTCGGGCCCCGCCACACCCTCCGCCAGCAGCATGTTGTCCAATCGCACTAACTGAGGATCCTGAGGCTCGTCCTCTTGGGCGTTCCTCATTGACAGGCCTGTCGATGAGACTAATGTTAACTTCTGCTCTGTGAATACTCCCTCCACCTCCCATTCACTATTTTGATAATGGGCCATTCATTACTTAGTAATAGTAATCACCATGTTATTGTGCAACACTCTCATATCCCGGTTTATAGGTATCAAGCGACTCTATCTGTCATCATTTTTGTCGTTGAGCAAAGTGCAGTTTTGCTGGACCGGAAGCAAACTCAACCTAACACCCACAGATAAACTGTTACACATAAACAGTACACATCAAACCAAGCAGCTACCTGGGACATGTGTTGCATTTATTGCTCTGCATGCTCCAGCTGTTGAGGCTTGTCTCTATTTTCATACCATATATTGCTTAACATAATGACGTCTGTCTCCCCGTACATTTCTTTCTGACATTGCAAGTAGTTTAAACATATTAGTGTAAAAGTCACGGACAACCAGTGAAATAATTATTATAATACATTTTATTTATAACGCGCTCTTTTTCTGCAGATCTCAAGAGTGCGACAGAGATGGCAAAACATAGTTAACAATAAAGTAAAAAGCCACTAAAAACATAACGCTATCTGATATGCGTGTGTTCTCGCCTAACAACGCTGCAACATCTGCACATCGAGACGCAGCACGGGTTTGTCAGTGAATGCACGACGGCTGACACGGACGACAGTAAACATGTTTTCTGAATCAACGTTACCGGTTTTTTCCTTGATCTCGCACAGGACGCTGAATAATGCAGGTTTCATCCGGTGACAGTTCAGTGCATGTTTCCTGTGCAGAAAGAAAACAGCGTGACTTGTGAACAACATTAGCACAACATGCTAATTGTGAGACGAGGTACAGAGTGACGATATGCAAATTGACCAAAACAAAAACAGAGTCAGTGGTCAAACAACAGCTAGTTTAGCGGTTAGCCGTTAGCTCCCGACGAGCTAAATGCATGAGAGGGGGAAGCTGCTCCCTGGTGATATGTAACGTTATATGTCTGAAAGGTAGTAAACTGTGTCGTATTCTAATTTGGTTCCCAAATAATTGTATGTGAACGTGTGCAGAAAGCTAACGTTACACGTTATAACGTTCTCGTTAGCGCTGCCTGCTAGTTAGCTGTTTATTGTAGCATTAGCTAGCCCGCCTCGGTTGACGCAGCCTAGCGAGCTAACTACGGCTAACGCTAAGCTAGCTTTGAGAGCGACGCTGCTAATAGACACAGCGTTAATGTTAAGCGTTGGTAAATGACAACAGACATTAAGTTGTGCTAATTGCTCATTAATCAGAACGGATTATTGGGAAACCACGTCGTTGTCATTGGCAACCTTTGGCTAATTGGTTAGCTCCTAGGTAAATAATCAAAAGATAGAGGTTCACGAAACTTTGTCAACGCGAGCCGGAGTCGACAAAGCGGAAACAAAAGCGTCGCAGCTCCGATAATGAGTAGAAAGCGCATTACTAACTTCGCTTGTGCCTCGTCCAAACTTTGGTCGGTGATGGTCATTATCTGCTGCAGTATGTCACCGATATCCCTGCGGGTTTCGTGTCCGTTTTCCGTGCCCTCGAGGCCCGAGTCCCCCCCGTCGGACCGGTGCTGGGAGGCTTGGTGAACCGAGTTAAGGGCGTGCATCCCGGGGTGGCCGCTCAAGCCGAGTCCCCGGCCGCTGGAGGGCCCGTTGCCCGTCAGAGGCTGCTGCTGCTGCAACATCTTCAGCGACGCACGGTGGCGACGACTGCTGCCCAAGTGTGCGCGCACACGCAGCCCCGCGCGGGCATCGCGCACAGCAGGGGTCCCCTAGCGATCGACAGGAAACGGTACAAGCCGGGTCCACGCGCCACGCGCGGCGTGTGGCCGCCGGGTGACGTAGTAGCACCGCCGGGTGACATTTAACAACAACAACACGGCGTTTGCGACCCGACCCCCCCCCCTTTGCTTTGAAGAAAGAAAAAAAAGTAGTCCAACTAAAGTGCAACTATGAGCTGAATATTAGTCATGGAATAACATGACTAAGATCAAACTAAATAGGATGGTGATGATGATTATCTATTGTAACACACATATACAGCGTTTTGTTTGAATGTCGCTGTTGCACCGTGCCAATCTCACTTGCACCGCTTCTCTCACACTAGTTCTCGTTTTAGCTGCGAGTCAACAGGATGTGTGCCAAAACCGCATCGGTGTCAGAAGAACCGTGCGCCTGTTTCAACACGTCGCCGTCGGGTCTGTCGTGAGCCAACGAGAAGCGGTCGAAGCCGCAGCTGCTCTGGCAGCTTTGAAACTTCTTCTCCTTTTTCGTTTCATCCGAAAACAAGAACCTTTTAATTATTTTTTATTTGTTTTTTTTTATTTGGAGCCATCCTTAGACGCCGATGAGGGTTCTTCTTTCTCCTATTCACAAATACATTTTCACACCAGCCCCCTGTTGATTCACTGAATGGGGGGGGGGGGGGGCTGTGGTAAGAGGAACAGGAAGAGGAGTGAGGAGAGAGGAGTGAGAGCAGGCAGTCAGAAGGAGTGAGAGCCCGGCGTGTTGGCGCGTGAAGCTCTCCATTGCTGTGCGGTGTGTTTTTCTTCCTTTTCTTCTTCTTGTTCTTCACTAAGTTGCTGTCGGGACGAGTGACACGTCAGAAGATGCTGTGCTGCGTCTGTGGCGACTTCGAGGGATAAAGACATTAAAGGTAAGAATAAAATCCCTGACATTCCTTTTATTGTGGTTAGTACACGAGACAACCTTACTGGCCAAACAGCACATATGACATTACAACTATTGGGCACAGTGCAGCATAGGTCAGCGACATGCGGCGAGGTTCTGCCATCATGCTGAATGTCACACGCCTTTGTTGTCACAAGGGTTAGTCACAGGGGAAGATATGAATTGCTTTGTAATTTCCTGCTTTAAACATCTGTCGTCAACACGTTGGAACCTGCCGAACTGGTTTCTCAAAAATGGCTATGCAAGGGAGAGAGAGAGAGAAAAAAAGAAGAAGCTGCTCTGTGGCAGGTCTCGCGTCCATTTCCAGTCACTTTAGAAATAGTGTAAATGTTTTTAGCATCTGCTCGTCAAAGATCCTCAAGAAGTAAACCCCGTTCCCGTGTTTCTTCCTGTCGTGGTTTCCTTCAGGGGAACTGTCAGCGATCAAAGTTGAGATGGCCGAAGAGGGTCTGCTGGAGCGTCTCCTCATCACCGAGGAGGGAGACGCGGCCCAGGGAGTCGCCCGCCGGGGGGCCGCGAGCGCAGAGACGGCTCCGAAGGAGGAAGCGGAACACGCGGGAGGGGACGAGAGCAAAGAAAGAAAGAAAATGTGCGCACAAGCGCAGAGAGGAGCGGGAGAACCGCGAGCCGACGCAGAGCACGGCCGGACGGGGGAGGCTGTTGTGAAAACGGAGGAAGACGATGGACCACAGAGAGGGGGTCTGTGTGAGAGCACACGTGGGACGGTGAGGCTCCAGAGTGAACCTGAGAAAGCCACTGACACAGTTCCAGAGGATGGAAAGGCTATTCAAAAAGAAACTCCAGTGCACATTAGGAGCTTAAACCCCTCCCAGACACACCAAGAAAAGGATCCTAAAAAGGTTTGTGGACTTTTGCTTTTAGCTTTTTTCGCAAGTATTTAGGACCTTGAGTGTTATTGACTTCACCAACCAGCCACCATGTGACCTACTAAAACATGTCAGGGTGGAAAAGCAGCAGGTATCATTTGGTTTCAGAGCATGTGGGAGTATGTAGGTGTCGAGCGAATCGTTTTGCTGTGCCGACAAACATTCCGCACCAGTCACCGACAACTGCCACCCCCCCACCCCCTCCTTTCCCCCCCCACCCACCTGCGTTCTCCTCAGGCTCACCGGTTAACTCCTGACTTCCCGGAGGCCCTGTACGAGCTGCTCTGCACCTTCCAGGAGGGGAGACGGCTCAACGACCAGCGCTGCTCCTTCCAGCTGGAGGGCGGGATGAGGCGGAGGAGGTGCCACTCCGAGCCCAACACCTCCAAGCCGGCCAACAGAGGTGGGGGCCGCTTTTAGAAGCTCTGCTTTTAGCGTCGTTGAAGCGGTGCGGCCGTTGCGTTTGTAACGACGGTGACTCACACGGAGGTCAAGCTGCAGCTGCATAAAGTAACCCCCGCACTCGGTGACAAACGGCTTGTTTTCAACTTCTTTCCTTGACCGCTGGCCACTTCAAGGTCATCTTCCATCTGACCATCAAAGCTCCTTTTGTCTCAATTCTCCGCAGTCGTGTTTTCCTCCATGACTTCACTGCAGAAAGAGGAGTTTTTCGATCTGGTGGCCACGTCTCAGGCTCGCCGCCTGGACGACCAGAGGTCGCAGCTCGAAAAGTCTCAGCCGGCGAAACCGAAATCCAGAGGTTTCAGAGGCAGCATAAAGCAGCTGTCCTTTGTGAGGAGGCCCGCGCCCGCCCCGGTTCCCGTCCCCGTGCCCAAAGAAGATCTGTACAATATGATTCTCACGACACAAGTAAGCAATCGCAAAGGTTTTTTCTTCTTCTTTCTTTTCTTCTCAGCTGTCAGATTCTCGCCAAAGGGAATCTCATTGATTCAGGCATTCTTACCTCCCGCCCGCAGGCCCAGGGCCGCCTGGAGGATCAGCGCAGCAGGGCCCCCGGTCCCATGGACGACGATGACTTCTTCTCCCTGCTCCTGAGGGTCCAGGGCGGCCGCATGGACGAGCAGAGGACTGAGCTGCCATGCATGCTGCAAACCTGAGATAGGGAAACCCCCCCCAAAAAACACACGTGGAAGCCATCCAGTATTGCAGCATTTTTTTGGTCTATTTTTAAGTCCCAACAGGTTTTTTTTTTGTCTGTTGTTGACCCTGAAAGCGCTTGGTTTCGGGGAACGTTTTTTCCTCTTGATTGTGTTCGTCGCTGCTGAAAAAACGCTAATGTTCGAGCAAAAGAGCTTTTAATGCAACCCGCTAGGCGTTAGTGATGAGATGTTTAAGTTTACGGCCATTTAGTCTTTTCTTTCCGAGTAAATGAGATCAGCAGATACGCCTTCTTATCCCGCCAAACCTTTTATTTTATTGAGTGTGTGTGTGTGATGAGTGCTGGAAGGATTTTGTGCAAATTCCCGTTGTTAATGTGGCGGCGGAATTCTACTGAACTTTATTGTTTTTCTTGTTTATACAGTGGACATTAAACCCACCGGGGACGGTGTTGAGGAGGTAATGGCTCGCGTGCTTGACTGTATGTGGATCATTCTCCTACAGGGAAATAAACAAAATGTTGATCTGAGCCATTTGCATCCCTTTATCTGTTTACAACGGTGTCAAGGATAATGATATCTTCATTTTTATTTAGACGTATCAAACACAAAAGCCCGTAGTCGCAAACATTTTAGCAGTAGCACTAAGAAGGGAGTGTAAACCCTGTTTTTCTATTTTTTTTTTGTAGTAATCATCATCCTCTTCAAGTCGCATCCCCCAAAACACGAGTTGGGGTCGATTCTTTAAAAACTCCTTTTGCAGCTAAATCAAAGCGTTCATATAGAATGACTTGAGTCATAACAAATGCGACACAAAGGCTTCCCTTCTCACACAGACGTTATCTCAAAGTTCCTCAGTTGTGTCGTTTTCGTTGACTTTCACATTATTCCAAGTCCAAAAAGGGGAGATTAAATACATGCCATAAACAACGGGCCTCCAGAAACATGCGATTTAATCTGCTGTTTGTTTCGTCCTCTCGCGTCGGGGACAAGGTTTCTGAGGAAGTCCCGGTCGCTCTGCATCCGTGTCACTTCCTCAAACAGAGTAAATGTATTTGATACGTGACGGCAACTCGCTCATCAACGCTGCAGGTTGAGGTCCACATAAAAATGGGAAAACTTATTGTAAGTGAGTTTTTAGAATCACATACATGTTGCTTCTAAAGGTATTTTGGTTTAATCATAAAGCAGGGAGATCCATTAACTTATTACTCAACTAAAAGTTTAATCTTCACACAAAAGTCAAAGGTTATGATGTATTTCCTGTTTGTGGTCACAGTGACATTATCCTGTCATGCAAATGGCTTTTTTTTCTCGGCCTCCGCTCCAAATTATCAAATGGTATGCAGACAGATATACAGTTGAAAAAAAAAAAAAAGAAGCCGAAGAGAGGAGATGAAGAGGAAGAAAACCTTGAACAAGATACAGAAGAGTCTAACCGGAAGAAACAACTAAACTGATCAGTTTAAAATGGACATGCAACACCTCTACCAAGGTTGGGCCAACGTGTGGTTTCTGGTAGCGCATCGGCCATGTCGACATGCATTTGCCATAATACATTTTAATTATTACGGTTGACGTGGAGTTCCTTCTGGTATGGTGGTTTCAGGAGGGTCTGTGGACCCTTCGGTTAAACCTGCACTGTGACTTAACTGCAGAGGTTTACCATCTCTTCAAGCTGTACAGTTTCAAAGGCCTTTCCGCTCGAGACTACATACGTAAAAGGGAGAAAATTAAAATTAATATTAAGGGATTAAAATGGTGACATGTATATTTGAAATATTAGATATATTAATATGGTATATCTATCCTGACTTGATAGATCATATCAAAGCAACTTATATTAAATCACTTTAACATGATATCCGTTGCATTCATAAGTAGTGTACTCATTTTAAATAGTTAATAAAAACATTATCATTTGTCTATAAATATCCTTCCAATGTCACTACTTCAATTCTTAAAGTTTTGATATATTTTTAAATTTATTCCAAATTCAATATAGCGATATTCAATATTTGTCCGGTTGTGTGTTTGTTTGTGTCAGACACCTGACACAAGCACCTTGCGCTCGGCCAATAACGAGCCAGAGCCTTTAGCGTAGCCCCGCCCACCGGGTGACGCCATTGGTCAGCTGACTGAAGCGGATTCTTCGAGACATGTGCGAGGAGCTATCGAGCGTTTCACACGTCATATAGTTCGTATGTTTGATGGGATAGTTTTTGGGGCGTTGGTGTTTGGAACACTCGTAGCTTCTATCGGTGACAAAGTCTCACCGCGTGAACGTGTTGTTGAAGAAGAAGATTGCGTGACGTCACCGCCTCGTCCTCGTCCCGTGCTCTCAGGCTTTGACTTCAAAGAGGATGTAACGCCGACGATGAGACACTCGCTGAGGATTCAGATCTGCGGCGCGACTTGAAGCGGAGACCAAGTTCGTGATAGTTGGAGGACATGAAGGAGAAACGCATTCAGCCAGAGGTCGGTACGAGTGGTGAAATGAAAGTACTCTTAACCTCATGCGCAGTTACTCTCTGCTGGGATTTATACTTTATAAAGTTCTGTAGAATAGCAGCTGGGATTCCCCCTGTTAAGAAGTTGGCGTGACTTACTGATCGTGTTGAAATGGTAACGTTAGAAGTGCGTTTAGTCAAGTAGTACACGTGTATTTGTACTGTGCTGGAGTATTTACACTGTATGCAACTTCAAACGAGGGAAATATTGCACTTACTTTCTGATTCACATTAGGAATGCAAAGTTAAAATGTATTCTTTGATATTATTAAGCGACCAGTAGTGCACCAACAACACTATATTGATCCGCCTCTAACAGCTGCAACATTAAAGATGAATGCATCAATATCGTGATACAGATTTATTATTCTGAAATGGGCCAATCTGCACGACGGGTACTTTCACTTTACCTGATACTTTAGTTGAAGCGGTACATATTTAATTAATTAATTCATATAACAGTTCTATATATGTGTATGTAACAATGATGAATAAAGGTCTGTCTCTTCTTCTCAGATGCGTCTGATCGTCTCCCTGCTGATCCTCTGTGCGCCACTAGGGGGCGACACCTCGCCAATCACCTGCTACAACGACCACGGGGAGGCTGTCGATTGGTATTTCATTGACCGCCATCGTTGTTCGATTGTTGTGAGCCCCTTTTATGTGACTACGGTGGAACGTTTAAACAATCGCTCAACAGTGGCGTGCCGCGTCCTCAGATGCACTTCCTGTCTCGTTCTTTGCGTCTAGGTTCTACATGTACAAGCTGCCTAAAGAACCGAACCGACAATCTCCCCATCGGGGGGAGAGCTATTTACTGCTGGAAAGGGGGAGCGACGGATGGACCAATGGGACGGGGTCGGTGAACGACACGGCGGGCGCTCTGGGCCGGACGGTGGGACAGCTGTACTCACAGGGACAGGTGCGTCTCCACCGGGTGTCTTAATTGTCGGGGAAACCGCCAGGTGAAAGTCTGCGTTATACATTTTTCATTTCCTTATTTTTCATGTTTCGCACACGCATGCAAGGTTCATGTGAAAGGGCCTCACCAAAGTCGTACTTTTTTACTAAGTCCCTAAAATGCAAATTGTAGACATAAAGAAACTACAGATGATCGGTGTGAATGCTCATTAGCTTTCGCCACAGTGGTGGTAAATCCTCCTGGGGTGTTGGTATTACATTTATTTGCCCTTTTCTTTAGTCTCCACAATATAACAAAACTATTATTTTGCCAAGAAATATCAGTGGGCGATACTCATGGTTTCGTTCCTCAGCAGATTTAATTTAGTTTTGCCTGCTTGTGCTGTTTTGCTTCAGACTTCTCATTTTAGAAAATAAAACTTTAAAAAAACAAATAACCGCCTGCTGTGACAACTTGACACATCGGCTCAGATAAAGAAACGGGAACTGAAAGCGACTTGTTAACTGTCTGAACAGCTGTGGGTAATTTAGCTGCTTCAGCAGCAAAACAGACACCAGTGAACTTAACAGCGTTGTGCTGTTTTATCGTGTTTGTCTTCACAGAACAAAGAGGTGGCGTACGTCCTTTACAACGACCAGAAGCCAGCGGAGGACTCTGGGGGCAGAAGGGCTAACGAGAGCAGGAGCGGGGGGCACACGAAAGGTGAACGCCAAAGCCGCCCAGACGGGCTTCTCCTCGGTTCTGCGGTTGGGTTGAGCCGACGGCCACCATCTCCTCTGCTTCCTTTAAGGCGTCGTCCTGCTGGATGCGAAACAAGGCTTCTGGTTGGTCCACAGCACGCCTCACTTCCCCCCCGCGCGCCAGAAGGGACGCTACTACTTCCCCGACAGCGGCGTGAACAACGGGCAGAACTTCATCTGCGTCACCTACCCGCTGCAGCGCTTCCAGGCCGTCGGTGAGACCGCAGTCCGGGGGGAGGGGGGCAAAAAGGTCGCACCCGGGACGTCGCCGTGTTAGATGGATGACCACGTGGGATGGATCACAATTCATTTGATCATTCATCATTTAATATTTTCATTTAAAAGGGACCATGAACGGCTCGTTTGCATCTGTGGCGTGATAGCGAATCATTCCCTGCCGCTAAGATGAGTGGAATATGCTTTTATTCTGAAGGAACTCCTCCATAAAACATGTTTATTTTGGGTAAAAAAGTTATTTTTTTTTGTTTAAGAGAATAGCAGCCGTTCATTCAAAGGCAATGTGCTTTTGGAGGGTCGGAGTGAGAATATCTTCCCCCGGAAGCAGAGCGAGCTCATGAAAGGATGCAGTGTAGCTTCTGGAATGTGGTTCTATTCCCAGACAGGTTGGTCTGTTGGTTTAAATGACAAGTCATCACGTCAGTGTAAAGCAAACGCTCTTTACGTAAATATTTGTCATCCTGTCTCATCTTGAAAGCCCACCCCTCCCCTCTCTTCCCCCCTCGGTACTTTATAATGCAGTCAGGCGTTGACGCGACTACGACAAGATAATGGAGATCCCAGACATGAACAGGAGTCATCACCACCTCGCCCGTGCAGTCCCAGTCGCCGACTCGGAAATTGGCACAGTTGCCATGGCATCACCGGGGGTGGGGGGTGGGGGGTGTGGGGGGTGTGGGGGTGATGCTATAAGATCGAGGTGTGTTACCATAGAGACATCGGCCTTCACACTGCAGCACAGCTTCGGCTCCATCAGAGGGTCTCTCTGCGCTGAGGGGGGACGCGCCCGGCGATGTCCGACAGCCGGAGGCGTCAGGTTTCATTCTAAAAGCCCCGCTGCTGCATTAAGGGGCAAATTACTTAGTGGAAGCACTGAGATTTGACGCTTCTTTAATGACTTCATAGATATCTGGGTTATTCAATTAGTGGAGACTAGTATGTAGTCAGAAATGTACGCTGGCTTATTTCAATTAGGTCAGTTATTGATTTGTTTGGCTCGACTATTGATGTTTCACGCATGTTAGTGCCGACACAGGAAGTAGTTTAATATGAACTGTGTTTATGGTTGATTTAAAAGTAAGCTCTGTGAGGCTTGAACCGGACTTAATAAGCTGACGTTTAGCAATTATATTCTTTACCACGCTCAAAGAATCAAATGTATTGAAAATTAGAACTTGCGATGAAAAGACGTAATTACTGTTAATCCCTGTTAATTACTGTCTGAATTGTCTAATCATGTTACCCCTCTATCATCTGTTGCTACGCACCGTTAGCGAGATGCCTCTGCGTCAATGTCGCCAAGAAAGCCGCTCATTTATTACACCTAACCCACACGGGGGCTCCGGGCGCCGTTAACGTTAACCGTTTTTTAAATCTAATTTCGTTGTGTCCCACAGGGGAGCAGCTTCAGATCAATCAGCCTAATGTGTACGACTGCGACATCCCCGAGTCCTTGGCCTCCCTGGTGCCCTCGCTGGCTGCTGTCTGCGGCAAACACCCCTCCGGTCGCAGCTTCCCACCCATCAAAACGGCATCAAACCGCAGCGTGACTCTGACCTCCAAGGGCGGCACCAAGTTCGTCAGCTTTGCCAAAGGGGCGTCTTTCGACCAAGGTAGGCAGCCTTCGCTTCAGTTTCTTTTATACGAATACACTTTGTGGTAAAAACCTTGCCGTTCGCTAGACCCTTCACTGCGAATGAAACCCTGTTCCCATCGCTCGTCAGACCTGTACCACTCCTGGGTGGCCCCCAGCCTGCGGTCAGACCTCCTGGTGCAGTTCTGGGTTCGCTCCTCGGGGATCCTCCCCTCCGACTGCTCGCTGGGCTGGAAGGTGCTGGACATCACGCTCATCAACCCGGGGTCGACCTTCACCTTCAAGACCAGCCAGGACCACTCCAAGTGGGCCGTCAGTCCCGCGGCCGGGGGGGGCTGGGTGTGCGTGGGGGACATAAACCGGAACGAGGCGGAGGAGAGGCGGGGCGGCGGCACTGTGTGCCTGCGGGACCCGGCGGTGTGGAAGGCGTACCGGTCGGCGGCGCTGGAGTGCGAGGCATGCGGAGGGGAAACGGCCAAGTGTTGACACGCCGCTGGGGGGGGCGGCGGCGCGGCGGCACTGCTGAGAATACATCAGGCGTGGGCCTGTTAAGCTAAATGTTTGCACATATTTGGTTACAACGTGATTTTCTTTTAATTGCTGGTGAAATCATCCATTTTAAGGTTCCCCGTGGCGGTTTGGATGTTATGGTTTTCATGCTTTAGGGCCCCTGGGGGCTTAAATTCAATGCAAAAAGCAGTAAACAATCATCTGTAGGGATTCTCAGATTCCGATTAAAACGTTCCTACATCTCGACGTGTGTCTCGTTATTTCAAACAAGCTCCGCCCACTTCAAACCACGCAAAGAGCTGCAGAGTTAAAATAACTGGAAGCAACCCGACTGACAGAAAGCGGTGCCCCATCATTCACACTAGGCTGATTGAGGAAATGTGTTTCTGGGGCCTTAAAGGCACAGAAGTCATTTGACTTGTTCATTTGCTTGTTCCGATTGATTATGGGATGCAACCGTGGGTTGCTGCATCCTCCTCTTTGAACTCAATGCATTAGGAACAACGCTGGAGGAGGACAATTAGTCAAATCTGGCAGGAAGCAGACGGCTTTGTGTGAAATATGGTGTTGGTTTTGAAAAACACAAAAAAAAAACCTCAAAGCGCCACTTTGGATGAAAGCATTTCTCGGAGTGTCTTTAAAACCGCTGGGTGTTCTTTTAACAGAAACCAAAAAAGTCAGAGCTGCCTCAAAAAGGTTCACTGTGTATAATCCAGCCAGAGTGTTTGTTTAAAATATAATTTAACATGATCAATATGCAAAACAAGGTCTAATTATGCTAATGTTTAGCCAGCTTTTCTTTTAAAACTGATTTCTTTGATTGGTAGTAGACTGGTCACATCCGCCACCACACAGAACACTGGGGGATTAATTGCACCATGTGTAACGTGCAGCACACATTTCAAGGTCAGAATTAAACCACAGAGCGTGACCACGTTCAGGCGCCACGGCTGCTTTAATACTTTGCGTTTCATGATTGCTTGCGTTATTAACTTGTATCAGTGCCTGTGAATTTCTAATTAACTTCTCTTCCATAAATATACGTTTTCTTTTGTTATGTGTCCTACATTTTAGAGTTGCGTCACGTTCTTTAATTAAGCTGGAAGACAAAGATGCTGGCTATCTTTAATCGGAATAAAGACATCAGACGGGTTTGTTATTTCGTCCCCGATTCCACGAGGAAATGTGATGCTCCAATTATATTCCCGGGATCTGCGTGTGTTCAAAGAGGGCGGCACACCAGTCAAAGACAATGAGATTCATATAAAAGTAAATTTATTACCACAAAAATAGGACATCCTGTATGTAGTGCATAAATAGCTTTGACGTGAGGCCGCGCAGCACTTGAGGCGGCTGCGTCGCCTCCGTGTATACTGGATACATTCTAACGCAAACACGCTGGATAATGTGCGTCTTGTTCGAGGAAGGCACTGAAAACAATCAGCAGAACAGCAGAACGCTAGCCCGCGTCATCCATTATTACCCAGAATCCTCTGCCCGGTTTCCGTTGTGCACTCGTGCTTCAGCCAGCGGGAAGGCCTCAACAGCACCGAGCGGATGCAACCAGAGGTCCCAAAGTCCAGATTAAGAACAAACAGGAGAGTATGTGTGTGTGTGTGTGTGTCAAACTGTTGAGCCTCTGTCGGGACGTTTTGACGTTCTTTCCCTCACCTTTTAGATGCCGCGGGGACAAACCCAAGCGAAGCCACGGGATTTGAAAGTGCTACTAAGGGTTTATTTTGAAGCTTCTGGCCACTAGGGGTCAGAAGAGTCCGGACTGTTTGAATGACTGCTGATGAACTTACTCTGGTTGTTAGAGAACAGCTGCCAACTCCCAGCTGAAGAGGAAGTATTCACCTGGTGTCGTATTCCCGTCTGTGTGATAAGATCACTTTTTAAAAAAAACATTAGTTTGATCCTAAGCAGCATTTAAGAAAATCAATTGTCCCGTTAGAAAACGGATGTTGGAATCGTTTCCACTGGCTACATGTCGGGTTTGTCAGAGCTGCTCCTGGAAACAGGCTCCGTAAAAGCAACTAGAAGGAAACCTTGAGGGAGTTTCCAGCGCTTTGAAAGGCCAAAAATCTCTATTGAGCTGCAGGGAGGATTTTTCTTTACTTAATAACAGCAGCCCCTTCCACAATTTGAGTAATGTAATGAATTGTTATGACAAAAAGATGAACTAATGTAGCTTTAAGTGTAAGATGAAATCAGTCTCAAAGCTGAAATAATTCCTCTCACTGTCTGGAAACACGTGCTGGCCTCTTTAAAGTGGAAAGCTTGCAGGTATTTAAAGCATTTCTTTCCCTCTGGGAATAAAACATTGGAAAAGTGGACCCAGAGCTCCCCGTCAGTGTACACAACGTTAACATACACATGTACAAAATATATAAATATAAACAAAACACATATATATCTCTCATTTGACAAGCTCCAGTGTGTCTTTGGGCCCTGCTCGTGGGTGCTGTTAGAACCAGGACCTGATAGGCTCCTTATATTATGCATCTTCCCCATTAAAAAACAGCTTTCCCTGATCCTTTAATGGCATCTCAGGCGAGCGCTCAGGTTCCGACCAATTAAATGCGCTTTAGCATTTAGACCACAAGAGGTTTTTAAAAAAAAAAAGACCTTCCTCATTGGAAAGGAAGAAAATAAATCAAGTGTTACCGGACTGGGACTCTGAAGCCGGCACCAAAAGCACACAGTTAAAGGCTTCCATTGCGCTTGAATGGTTAATGCATATTGTTTGAAAACGGACAGCAGCAGGACGGCTGGAGGTATGAAATGTTGGACAGAACCTGCTGAGGGAAACTCGGTCCTGGCTTTGGTGTTTCGGTAGAACAAGCCGTGTAGGGGGGCAGCGGGTGGAAAAGGCGCGTGTGGGAGGCCACGTTCACCGAGGACACAGACAACGTTGGGTCGAGAGAAAAAAAAAAAAAGCGGACGTCAAAATAGTGTCCTGACCAGTCTCCTTCCCTTGGCCTTGATTCGAGGAAAGGTGGCGCTCGTCTCCGTGTTGATCGGCTGTGAGCCCGGAGGAGCGATCCCGCCTTTCCTCCTCAACAGGAAGTCCACACTGGATGACGACATGGCGTAGAAGACGTTTCCTGTAGCAGGGATCACCAGTTCTGCGAGACGAGATGGAGAGAGAGAGAGAGAGAGAGAGAGAGAGAGAGAGAGAGAGAGAGAGAGAGAGAGAGAGAAAGAGACAAATAAACAAATAAAAGGTAAATTCAAAGATGAAAGAAATGTCAACATCGTGAAGAGAACGCTGCAGAAGCACCAGAAGCACATTTCCAGTCGGTGTCGGAGGCGTCTTTACCTTTTCCTTCAGGCAGGAGCTGGATCAGCTCATATCTGGATGTCTGTTTGGGGTCCTGGTTGTGCTTTTCTAAGGCCGAGCTGATAACAGTGGGGGACTTGTCGTTGCTTGTGACCTGAGGGGGGGGGAGGATAACAACGTCAAGAGGACAGCGGGATTTGCGATAACGATAACCCTCGGCCCATTTTATCCCGAGGATCTGGTTCTGATGACCATCGTTACCCTCGGAGACACGAGCATTTTTCTACAATCCCACTTTTGATTCGCTTCAATCCGTTTGAGGCAATACCAGTATGCTCCTGTACAGGTTCCCATCCTGCAGGTCCATCCGTATCCTGATGATTCGCATTTCGGGCCCCGACCCTTGGATGTTATTGGGGGGGTTGTTGCCGCAGGAGATCGACCGGCGGTGCGATTTGGTGGGCGTGGATGGAGTCAGCGCGGCGGGGGTGGAGTCGTTGGTCGAAGAAGACGTGTCCACGTCCAGGCAGGACACGGACGGGGATTTCATGTGCTGCAATGGAAATGAAAGCGACGCTGCCGATTGCAATCGAGGGAGGATTGTTTTCTAAACCGACGTGCGAGGTCAAGTGAATCGAGCGGGAATTTGCATTACCTTTGTGAGTTTTGAGAGTAGATTATTGACAGGGGAGGGGAAGTCAAAGAGACTGTCACTGTCGCCGGTCAGGCTGTTCCGAGAGGTGCTCAGGCTGCAGGGAGACAACGTTTAAGCCTGTAGAGTGTGTGAATGTGGTATGTGTATGTTAGTGTGTGTGTGTGTGTGTGTTAGTGTGTGTATGGCCTCTCAGTATAGCTTACTTCGGGCACTGTGTGATGATGACTGTCGGGGGAACGCCGCGCGGGCTCGGCTCACCGGGCGCTTCGATTTCATTGGACAGTCTGTAGCTGAAACAAGCGTACAAATATCTCAAACGGTCATCGCCGCACGAACACAAAACAATGCATTCAAGACCTTTGCTTAAGTGGGCGTTTACCTCTCCGCCTCCGTTAGCAACGGGACGCTCTGATACCACCGTGCGAAGGCCTCATCGGTGGTGAAAACACAGTTTTTGCAGGAAGACTGCAGGAGCCGGATTTGAGCTAAAACCTCAAATTCCTGTTAAGAAAGAGGCGCGTCACCACAAAGTTTCATAAAACAAGAAACACAAAGAATAAAACGCAAAACGTAGGCTGATTTACTGTGCTTTCTTCTCCCCTGGCACCTCACGGCGGCCTTGACTTAATCACCCTCCTCTCTCGGATATAAAGTTACCTCCGCTCGCTCTAGTACGCTCTTATCTCTAAAAAAAACCGATCCCACGCATCTCTCTTTCTCTTCTGCTCTCTAACAGGATCTGGGTTTTGTTCATTGTGTCAGCGCTGCAGAAACACAAGCGTTTTCCAAAGCGTCGGCTGAGTGCGAAACCTCTAGACTTTCGCCCCGATGACACTCACCCTTCTCCTTTTGTCGAAGTTGATGTAGCCGTTCTGCAAAGGGAGTGACAGGATGTCAGTTTGATGACTGTAAAACACTGAGCAACTCCCAGCAGGGCCTCAGGCGCCCACCCCCACCCCCCCCGACCCCCCAAGAGTGTCGAGGGACACTTACATCCAGCCTGTCTTTGACCGCCGTGTCCAGCATGGTGAGGTCTGTGAGGAAGATGCCCAGGTAGGGCACAGTGCCCTGCGCGTTGGTCTGTGTGAGGAAAAGAAAGTGTTTAATCTGTTCCCCAGTGGCTTCTGCTCACGTCGTAAAGAGCCCACACAGAGAGGGAGAGAGAGGGGGAAGGATTGCAGAGCGGTCGCCTGCAGCTATTTTCAAACGATGGCTGAGAACACGCAGACACACACACACACACACACACATACACACGGCAGCCCTCTGTTCCGCTTCGCCGCTGCATGCCGGTCGATACCCCTTACAAGCCCGCATCAAACCAGCGAGGCGACCCCCGCTTAGCAAGAGAGACGGTAAGCATCAGTGTTTGAATATAGCGTTAAGTCGGATATTTTCCACTATCTTTGAAACACATTAATAGGGTCACGGTAAAATAACGGCCGGGATTTTATATTAATTATGACGGAGCGTTTTTAGAGTTACAGATGTATAAAACCCGGTCTGAATATCTATGACAGAAACATACAGCATATGCATGCCAAAAAATAAGATTTAGCCCCTTAAATCACACCTGAATGCATTTTGGAAAAGAAATTCTACGAGCTTTTGTCCCGTAACTTTTGCAAAATCCCGTTTGCCGGTTGTTAAATCGTTCCTAAATTTTCCAAGGCCTCCCATAAAGGCCTTCAGGGGTGTACAAGCCTTCAGGCTAAAACGATTGGAATGCAGCCATGATGTGTGCTGGAAAAGTTGTGAAAATTGGCCTTTTTCGTGTGCTTTAAGATCTGAGGTTTTGCCTCAGCAATAAACGCTGAGGCCATAAGAACTTACTCCTCTGTGGCTGTAACTTTCAGAAATGTCTCGGTGGGGATTTGAAGCGGCAGGCAGAATGATTTATTTTTTCAGGAGACCCCCTGAAGCAGCTTACGCACACTTTGAGTTTTTCAGCAGGTTGGAATAGTTCTGAAACATTCCCTAAATGTTAGAGCCGGCCTCCCAAATAGCTGAAACCGCATCAGTTCCTTGTTTCATATTTGGTGGAGCCTCTGATCCCACGCTGCTTACCCGGTTAAGGAGCTTGTTGTTGGGTCTGCTGTCCAGGTTGGCAAACTTTGCTGTTCCCTCCTGCAACACAGAAGCAACTGTTAGACGTATGATGCAGAATTTTCGGATTTTTTTTTTCTTCCCACCCGCTTTCAGTTGAACACACCTGCATTCACACCACTCTTTACCGACTGTTTCCTTAAGACCTCGTCCCCAAAAAGCCCGCGACGAAAGCAATTTTAGTTCTGTTTGGATCTGCGATGTGGTCTCCACGGACTGCGGCTGGAATATCAGCCTCTGAAGGAGCTAAATGCTCCACTGTGTTCCCCTGCCAGGTGCTAAATGTGTTTGTTGTTGGTTGCTAAGCCGGGTAACGTGCACTTCGCTAATCACAGCTTTGCTTTTGCTGCCTGCAGAGAAAATGCATTTTCGTGACGTTAATACTGAGAATGCAAAGATGACCCTGCACATGGCAAATTAACGTTAGGTAAGAAAGGAAAGCAAATGAATTGTGCTGTATACTAGTTTACTGCTTGAATGACAGCGTTGTGAATAATTGAATTCCTCAAACCTCTGCTAAGTCTTTTATTGAATCATTCATCTAACGCTCCGTCTGCTACTCGGAGTCATTTTTAGACATTCTCTGAGATGCTGGGAAGCAAGTAGCTGAGCTGAAAGAAGTATACATCAAAGAGCAGCAGACGGCGATGGCGTTTCTCTGTCATCAAAGCGTTCGAAATGAAAGCAATTGTTTGATTGAATTCCTTTGGGGGAATCATGGATAAATTCGCAGCTAATGCAAAAGGTATTGATGCCAGCGTTGCTCCATAACAGCAAATCATAACACAGCTAATGTTGTCAACTACTCCAACTCCAACGGCGCAGACTAAATATAATGTGCGTCTTCAGATGGGTGTTTCAAACTGAAGAGCAAGTGTTGACAGAATAAGAGCAGTTATGCTCCATCAGACGATACTGGTCTCCGGCCTTTTAAAGCGAGTCATAAATCTCCACCACTTAACTAATGTGGTGCAGCGGTCGACAGCCACATTAATAAAATGTCTCGTACTGCTTTTCAAATGATGGGATACTGGTGAGAAGGACGTGCGTCAGTCAGTGGATCAATTATGAAAGACATATATTGACAGAAACTGGATGTCATAAACATTTTGGACCGAGGTTCATGGTTCCCAGAGGGTGAATCCTATTGGTTTCTGGATGTTAGCGTCGATAGGTAAAGCCTCGTAGATCTCATCATTTTTCTTTTCTTTTTTCAACATGGATATGACTGATGGCCTAAAGCCTGCACACGGCAAACAGTCAGCAAGAAAAGACTCTTTTTTTCCCCCCTGTCCGTAACACTAATGCTTCGTATTAGTACACACTTTTGCTCAAAGTGTCAGAAGGTATTTTTAGCATTGCGGTGGAAAAAGAACACAGATTAAAAAAATAATCCTCAAACAAGTCAAAGACTTTAGAAAAGAGCTGTTGGAATCTGACTACAGAACAACACTTCAACCCTTCTGAGTGAAAGGTCACACTGGCAGCATAAGAAACAGCTTCTCCGGCCTCCCAGGGAGTTTTTGTCGAATAATAAGATGACGTAGAGGCTCTTTCAAAGGGTTGAATGCCTTGTTGTGAAGGAATGAGCCTCTGCGTGCCCGGAAATAAAGCATCAACTCTCCCCCTGAAGCCATTCACACCGTGTAATGCAGATTATGTCGGCGTGATTTCCCGTTCATAACTTTTGAAAATATACAGCATATCACATTTCCGCTGCGAGTCCCTCCCTCCGTTCTAACTGTAACTTACCTCCTTCAGGAGCTCTCTGCTTTGTGAGTAGTTGTCCTTGTCTGAGAAGATCTCTGACAGCTCCTCGTATCTCCTCACAGCTTCCCTGTCAAGTGCCCATAGCAGTGAATTAAAAAGAAAACAGCACTCGCATTTCAATATTATTAATAGATAGATAACAACTTGAGGTTTACGTTGACGTGGTGTTGTCTACTTTTATTTGTAGTAAACTTTCCATCTACTTCTTCTTCTTGAGGTTTGCTTATTGCAAAAAATGTTAAATATGCAATGAAAGCTCTAAGCATCTGAAAACACTTCTGTCATAGCGGGTTGGAAGTCAGCTTTCAGTATTTTCCAAAATTCACAGATTTTGAACATCATTATTAATGAATCTACTGTTAATTTAAGGTTAGTCAATAATTCATCAAATAAAATATCACCCCATAGAATTTAAAATTTGAATTCCCGTCCCCCATGTTTCTGTCTGCAGCTTCTTTGCGGGGTCCTGTTTGGACACTGTGACTGGTCACAGCAGGAACAGCCCAGGTGAGACCACCAGGTGCGTCTGCACCAACCGCCGCTGTGACGTTTGATCGATTCAATTCGAACCACGTTTGGTTAACGGCAGATTGCATCTTCCAGTTTCAAGCTGCAGTATAATAGTGAGCTGCCCCTTTCCCTGTTCGCCAGCGCTGGTCATTTAAATGTTTGCCTCTACTGATAACCGCTGTATCGTGTGTGTGCGCCGTTCCATCTCCTTCTTTATAAATGTGAATCGTTCACAGGCCGACCTGTCAGTGTCCTGCCACGTTTTCCTCAGCCTGTGGATGGGATTGCTCTGCAGGGCGGACACGATGGCATACAGCGAGGAGAAGTTCTTCCTGGCGCGGCACTCCTGTTGAAAGCACACATGGGTGAGTCCCCTCGTTTGCATGCACACACACACACACACACACCAACACACAGAGAATCACATACACACACGCTGTAACCGAGAACACCTGTGGTTGTGCGCCCGGCGGGTATTGAGTTACAGCGTCGGCCCGAGCTTGCTGAATAATTCATGCTGCTAAAGAGGTTTGTCCCAAAAGAAACATGGGGGGAGAGTGGGGAGGGAGGAAAGGGGGGGGAGGGCCTTAGGACGGCGCTTTGGCCGCCAACCAGTGACACCTCGAGTGTGTGTTTGTGTACCGACGTGGCAAAAAATGCAGCGTCAGGAATACTGGAGAGAAACATTTGTGTTTCATTGAAAGATTGAAGAGGCTCCGAAAGGAATGAAACCGCTCGCGCGCGACCATAGCAACCGAGGGCAGGATGTGTTTGCGGGTGTTTGTGTGAGCAGGTGCTGTGGGCTCGTCTACAGTTCAAGGCAGACAGATTGTTGTGCACAATAATCGTAACGCTGAAACAGTTAATCCCCATTTATCTGCAGTTTCAGAGCTTTACGGTTCGCCTTGAGGTCGTACATCACATTTCTCAACTCAATTCTTGATGCATGCCGAGTACATTTCCTATTCCATTTCCTGAAGGTGTAGTGGAACTCCTGGTCTACTTGCAGCAGAAAATATGCTGATTCTTAATATTCTTGCTTCTTACTTACTGCCAAAAGTGATCGACCGCCAGATGCACTCAAACAGCGAGAGCACTATTTAGAGATTTGCTGCTGCAGTCCAGAAATAAACCATAAATCAAGACTTTATTACCATGTTTGGCTCTCAGCTATTGATTAAAGAGAAATAGTCCCAGCAGAAAGCAAGCTGACTGCGGATTTGCGGCGGTATGTGCAAAGTCAGAGCTGAGAATAGGATTATGTTTGGTGAATGAATGGGGGGGGGGTTATTGTAGGAAAATGCACGGCTGGGGCCCCACGAACTGGCACACAGTTAACATTTTCATTCCAGGATGACCCGACTGACGGGTGCACACTGACCTCTGCCACGCTGATCCACTTCTCCAGCAGCCGCGCTCTCTGCTGGCTGCGCAGGCCGGTGGGCCAAAGGCAGGAGGCCAAGACCGCGTTGGCCAGCTTGTTGAACTGACGTATGGTGGCCCGGACGGACCAACAAACGCCCTCCCTCCCTTTCTTGTCCCTCTGGGACCACAGCGAGCCGAGGCAGTGGTACGGGACCAGACGGACAAACAGCTCCTGGGAGGGGACAGCGCACAGGTTTTAAATCAATCAACCGCCCGTTTCATAAAGAAGAACCAAATCAAATCATGTGACCTGTACGGAAATCTCCTCCCGGCTATTCTGAGGGTATCTGAGGGTCGCACCTTTCGGTGTTCATACAACATTACATTAGCTTCCTAATTAAGGCCACAGTTGTGCTAAGCAAGCTAGCGCTACGTGAGCTTCTATTTGAGCAGCTGGAAATCTTCAAGTGAGTGAATGGAGGTGGATACAGCGAACGTAACCACGTGACGTGGTCGAAGTTCGTCGTGACAAAAAAAAGCACTCAAAAGGACAATAACTTCCACTGAGTCCTCATTAGATTTTAGCATCGTCGGTCAATTCTTGTGCTCCTTGGGCCCGAGGACTCACTGTCTCTAATCTGGTGAGCTGCTCAGCGATGAGCGCTGCGGGGAAGCCAAGGACGCTGGTGGGTTCAAACTTGGAGGCGTCCGGTGGAGGGCCGGTGGGACCGGTGTGATCTGCAAAGGGGGAGAATGTTCACTGAAACCAGGGATGCTGAATGTTAGAAGCACTGATGCATCTTCTCCATCCGCTAGTTGCTGGAATCGGTTCCTGATCGCTGGCTGGGTCCGGTTTGGTGATGAAGTAATTTCGTTCCAGAGAACCGTTGCTTTCTCCAGACAACAGCTCAGTTAGTTTGCTTGGTTATGATTTGCTTATTTGATGAAATCGCTCTTTCTTGTTTCTCGTACTTTTTGAGTGTCCTTACGGTTGAAATGCACTTATCATTGAGTAGCTTTAGATAAAAGCGTCAGCTAAAAGACATAGTAATGTAATGTAACTGAAACTGAATAAAAAACGACTTTGTTATGTTGAGATATTTCACTCATGACCTAAATGGCACGACAAAAAGAGCAGCGTCATTTTTACCATTTTTCTTATTGGCACTAAACACAAAGTACAACAAGCATCAACGGTCGCCTTTGGCTTTCATAGCAGAGTAGCTGCATTGTCCAGCATTTCATTAAAATGCTCTTTCTAGGATATTAACCAACCACACTGGTCTGCAAAGTAATAATATAGTAATATAACTCTAAAGCAGCCACAAAAGCCCCTGTCCTGTTGCTTTGGGGGGGTTTATACTGGGATTACAAGTGTATTTCTTCATGAAAGGCTCATCTAGTGAGGCCTCCACCGGTGCCGTTTGAATCCCGGGCAAGTTACGGACCTTTGCGGGCGTCCGGGAGCAGGGCTTTCTCGCTGAGCGCCTCGGCTATCCTGAGGATGCGAGCGCTGAGGTCGGCTGCAGACGAGGAGTCCTGGGGGAGCAGGGGGACGAGGCGCAGCAGGCGCGAGGGCTCCTCCAAACTCTTAAAGTCTTCGGGGTACTCGGAGAGCCACGTGCTGAACACCGTGCACACGGCCCTGCAGGGAGAGAGGGAGATGTTCGGGGAAGACATGGCGGATTATTTCCCGGGGCTTTGAGGGGATTTCACTCTGACCTTTGTGGATCACGTCGGCAGAAAACGTGATCGTCGCGCGTTTGTTTGTTTTTTCAGCACAAAGAGAACAAAGAGATTCCCCGTGATGATAAAATAAGGTCATCAGTTGAGGAAAGAAACACTGTCGAAACTGTGAGCGAAATAAGGGAGGTGCGTCTGTTTCTGGTTTTAAACCATGGGGGGGGGGGTGCAGCAGCGGTGTCATCATTCCTTCCACATGACATTGTTTAATCCAAATCTTCTTTGTATTGATAAGTTAAACATGTCTATTGTCACTTTAACATCTAATTAAAAATACATTAAAGATCGTAGGTAAAGATGGAAAAAATAAATGCAAACTTTCTTTAGAACATCTATTTATGGCAGACACGACTTGACAATAATATTCAAGCACAAACACAATCACAGACCCACACACACAGATGTCGACAAAGCATTTCAGTGTCGCACACAGACGTCGGGTAGTGAGGTAAAACTCACCGGTTGAAAGATTGTCTCATCCGGCTCCCCTCGTTGCCCCCGGGCGGGTTCTCCAATCTGTTAACAGAAGAGGGAGTTAGTGGAGCGGAGAGAAAACAGACGTAGACATCGTTCAGCTTTATATGTGTGCGTCATAAATAATGCTCTTTGTGACAAACGTATTTACGGCTTGTTCTCCCGGCCTGAACCGAGCGGGTTGCAACTCGCAACACAACTCTTCTTTGTGTTGCTTCTCTGGAAGAAACGCTGTTTCATACAAATGCCTCTGTTATTTGATAAAGACGAGAGAAAAGAAAAAGGCTTCGCAGGCTGTTTTTCGCCGAATTATTTTGCAGTAATTTTAAGTAATCCACCGTGGAAGTGGAGCATTATGGTTGAAATGCACTTATTGCAATTAATCTGTTTAAATTAGCCTCAGCGTGAAGACAAAATTCAACTAAAATCCTTTTTATCTTTTGAAAAGTAGGTGTAAAGTGAGTTGTTGACTCTAACGTAAACCAATTTTCTGTACTTCAAATCCCGTCTTTAAAAAACAAAAACAAAACGATGTTTTCCTGGATCACAGATAAAACGCTCTCCCACCTGTCAGTGAGGATGTCCAGCACTCGGCCTGTGGAGGTGAACGACCGATAGGTGGAGAGGAAGATGGTGATGAAGGAGGAGTCCCCCATGGAGAAGGAGTGGAGGAGGTGGAGCACCAGCTTCTCCTCCGTCCCCGCTTTCACACACTGGGAGCGAGAAACCGACTGCAGTGAGACGGGAAGGAAACGAGAGGAAGTTGACTGTGGCTGCAAACGGGAGGCCTCCTGGTACCGTGCAGGACTTACCGCCGGACTGGTGGGGGCCCCGTGCTGCTGCTTGACCACCACTGTGTAGATCACCCCGTCGTCCTGCTCCTCCACCACCGTGGACTGAACAACGCAGAGAAACCACGTTAACGGCCTTCAAGTGTGGCAGCTTAGAATTCTTTGAAAGACACTCGGGAGGGAATAAACTGCTCAGAAATACCCATTGTTCATTGTCTTTGTTCCTGCTGGTACTAAAAATATCCATTGTCCTTCAGCTGGGGGCATCCGGCGTACGCCGATAGGCGATAAGATACAGACAGTCTGTTCTACCACGGAATATCCACGCAGAAGCAAAATACGTTTCTCTCACGCTACATGGAGCTCCAACGGACTCGTTTTAGCCTTGGGGGGGGGGTGAGGGGGGTTAGGGTGAGGGGGGAGGGGGGGAGTCCCTGACACAGTTACCCTATTCTACGCTCGCACTGGCTCCCAGGCACTTCATCCCATTCATGTGGCAATGTGCAGAGGCCTCCGTCCTTACCAGTTCTAGAGGACAGTACCAGGTGGTCTTCATTGGTGAGGGGTCCGCCTGGAGAGGGGGGGGGAAGCACACAAAATCGTAGCTTGACTTGTTTGTGTCGTGGGAGACGGGCGTTGCACCAGATGAGGGACCAGTGAAGCCAGCACGGAGTAGAATCGTCACGCTGTTACGTCACCGTGTGCGTTTTTGGGGGTTTGTGACCCGCTGATATGAGCTAATCGTGAGCTAATTTAGGTTTCCGGTTTTACTCAATGAACTCATTTTATTGGTTCCAACATACACACTGAAACTTAAAAATGAACGAGCGTTGTTTGAAATCAAACCTTAAAATGACTCGAGGCGCCTGCGGAGACGTCCGATCAATGAATACGAGTTTGTGTCGGCGGCGTTAGCTGCTCGGTCTTATCAACAAGTGCATATTGCCCCGCGCGGTGGTTGGAAAGGAGGGTCCTGCAGCTCGAGTCATATCGCAGCGAGCAGATGACACTTTAAGGGTAAGAAGAAGTGAGAGACGTTCAGCAGCTGCAGAGACATTTGAATAATGTCAAAAACAACCAGAGATAAGAGCTATAATAATGTTGAAGACACACATTGAGTGATTATTTACCAGTATTGATATATTAATAGTCCTGTAATTAAGTACAGCTTTAAAGTCCATTTTATACTTTATCTACTTATAAACATTTCAGAACCAACTATTGTACTTTTACTAATTAGTCACTTAACTGAGATTTCTTTAAAATAAGCACATTTGTTTCATATTTCACATGTGTATCAGTTGTTAGCAGTTCAACATATTGCATTTTCCCTGTAAACATTATACATTAAATAACTGTTTGAGACCCCAAAAGGTAAAATGATACAAAAGCAAAGATAAGGATCCCCAGCGTGTTTCTGCTTATTCCGTCTCCCTGTGATCACCTCATGACCCCTCATGTGTATCTTCTGACCATTTGTGAACTACTGAAGCCACATAGTATGAATTAACCTAAACAATCTCCAACTCAACAAGCTTATATATACATGTATTACATATCGATGCATAATTTCAAGAATGTTCAAGCTTCAGATACTATTTTGCGTGACATGAGCATGTTTTACTCTTAATTTTGATATTTAAGATCCAGCTGTCGTCTTGCGATGGTTTCTTAATTTAATTTAATTTCTTAATCTCAAATTGCCGATACAGCGACACAATGTCGCATTGCACTTGTCCGGACACTGATGCAACTGTTACTTCTTTCCATCATAAAAAATGCATGAGCAAGCATGAAATCCCCTGGCGGGCCGAACCTGCGGGTGATTCAGGACGTTTGTTTCACGCCTGCGTGAGTAAGCCCTTCTTACACCTTGGAAACAAGGTCAACACACCGAAAGAAACTCAACATTTTAGTTTCTTTGTATAAAAATAGAAGTAAAATGACCTGCATTGTATTTTCATTGATTTTGCATGTGCGGCCTTGTGAGCTTTTTCATACGCAAATTCAAAGTCACATATGAACCAAGGAACATTCATGTGGACAGCGAAAGGGCCTCAGTGCTTCCATCGTGTCTGATCGGCCCCGTCAAGAAAATTAGCTGCAATAACACCACGTTAGCTTCTGTTAGCCTCTTTTCAAATTACCTTGGCTCGACCGGATCGAAGGTCAACGCTGCGAGCGGGCGCTTCCCGCATTCAAGAAGGATATGAATCATCTGAGCGTAAGACCTGTTGTTCCACCTGACATCTCAGCATTGCATCTCACGATATCTGCACGTGATTCTATCCTTCCCACAAAATAAACCTGAGCTCACAAACGCACAAGAAAAAAGAAGAAGAAAAGAGAAAATGGTCACCGGAGTTACCTTTCGCACTGCAAGTCCAAACAGGTAGCGATCCTTAAGCTTCCTGGAAATCTTCAGGATAAAGGTGCTAAAAGCGTCCTCATTTTCTCCATTGTGTCTCATCTGTTGCTCTCTGTCTGTCTGTCTGTCTCTCTCTGTCCGTCTGTCTCTCTCTCTGTCTCTCTGTCTATTGTTGACCGAGTTCTGTGGGTTTATCTTCTTGACGTTGCTCTCACGGTCTGGTGGCTCTTCTATCACAAAAGACATACCTGAGCAGGAGCTAGACCCGCCCCCCCGAGGAGCATGAATCAACTGGGCACAACCATTATACACAAACAGACACCACACACACACACATATGTTTTCAATTTCATTGAGTTTCTTTTTACACACCCTCAACAGTACACACAGATGCAGCTCTCACAAATCCAGCCCTCTTCAATAGACACATGTGCGGGCACACACACACACACACACACACACACACACACACACACACACACACACACACACACAAAAGCCCTGAAGCTATTTCCAGGACAATACCCCCTCTCTTTCAATCTCTCCCCTCTCTCTCTCTCTCTTTGTCGTTCTAGATGACCTTCCCCTACAGATAAACCAGTTAGACTGACTATACAACACTACACATAAACAATAACTAACTGAGTGCAGATAAACCAGTGGACCGCCTTCATAGTGCCGTTGAGCAGTAGGAGGCATGTGTTCTTTTAACGAGAGGTAATAAATGTTGAAACGGCCTCTGAACCAGGAAGCAGCCGTTGTGTATTTGAGGGGCCAATGACATCGCAGAGTGAAGCCGTCAGTGCTGTAGTGGTAAAATTAGAGGTGGGTAAACTCTGAATTTTGTGATCATACAGACCTCGACGCGATGCAACGCAATGCGAAGCAACGCAACAAAAAGCGCTGCGACTCTGTAAGGCTGTCCTGGCTATATTGCATTATGTTATCAGTAAAAGTCATATACAATCAATGACAATGAATACATGTGTTAGTATTTTGTATATCATAATAATTCATTAATTAATAATAATTACTCATTTTATTAGGCCTATTTAGATGGGACCAGGAAGGCTGGCTTGTTACCTGCATCATCGTATTTGAAAGCACGTTATTAATAGCGTTTGTCCCTGTCTTAATGCGATGTTGTTAGAACCAAAACAACGTTTAAAAACGTGAATTGATCTTCTTCAGTCTTACTTTGTACTTGAGGCCTTTTGCGGGCATCTGTGGGAGTGGGAGCACTCGATGGTCTCTTCAAATATCGCCTGATATCCATTCCTAATTATTGGCGGTAATCCATTCCGAACAGGTAGGCAGGCAGGCATACACGTGTATGTGTTTACATACCTCCTGGATCCTGATTGGTGTCGCTGCTGTAGCCGCAAGGCACTGATTGGATGCTCACAGACCGTAATACAGCGCAGATGAAAATGATTCAGACTACGGTCGTTTATATGTTCAACAATAGGAAACGTAGTCTTAGCTGTTTTAAAATTACACCAAGTTTATTTCGGATTATTCCAAGAATAGAAGGCGCAGGGAACTCTGAGGTGCGTAAACGCCACTTAGAGGTGGGTAAACGCTATTTAGTGGTGCGTAAACGCTATTTCCAAAATTCCAGAGGTGCGTAAACGGCGTTTACGTGTGTTTACCCTCCACTACAGCCCTGGTCGTATTCAGGGGACGCAAGCAACATTAGCTTTAGCATTAGCATTCATTGGGAGTTGTGCTTTTGCCTACCTGGTTACATTAAGTCCAATATTCGCTTTCCTTTCAGCTTTTGTTTTGGGGTTTGAGGTTGATGAACCAGAACCAGAACACAGAAGCCGTGTTGACATGTAATAGCAGGGTAAACACAGATGTCATTAATCTAATTAATAATGGTCCCGTTCTAATAAGTGTGTCACAGTTAGTCCCAGCACGCACACTACCAGGGGCCTGGCACACATAAATGGAACAGGGTCATAATGAAATGTAATTTATTATACCTGTGTTTATCCTGCAATGACAATGTCAAAATGTCTGCTTGAAAAAGGGCCGCGGGGATATTTGCAGTCTAGCAGCAGATGTTTTTACTGTGTTGGTTCCCTTAACAAGACACCAATGGAGTTTCTCAATTGGACACCACGGCCGCATGTCGTCAAGCCACCACCACTAAGCTAAAGGCCGAATACTCAACTTGAGTACGTTCTGCAGTCTTATTTAGCCCGTTGTACAAAACCTCCTTTTTAAAAAGCTTCAAAATTCCTATTCCATATTTACATTTTTTTTATTGTCGAACAAGTCATTAAAACGCTCCAGGACGAGTCAACCACAGACCTTATTTCAGGCATTTAACTAAAACCCCTTTGACTTAAGAGGGATAAGAGGGAACCGAAAGTACAAAAATGTCAAGGTATTTCTGCAGATGAACAAATCCTTATAGAAACTGCAAACTCTGGATGAGTGTTAACAAATAAATGAGTGTAAAAAATGATTTATAAAAAAGGCCTGTATATATACAAATAATCTAAGAAAGATGTCTGAAATGGCGTCAGTGGCATCATAAGTCTGCTCCTAAGCATTGTTCATCCTCTAAAGCCAGTTTCTATGTGAATTAAACAGTATCAAATCCCCTATCAGTCCGCCCTGCAAGAAATATTTATTCTGTCGAAGGGTCCCCGATCAGTGGCACAGTAAATACATGGTTGGCTTGGACCCTCTGCAAGCAAGCTTTATCAAGAAACCAAGCTCAGTGGCAAAGAAAATAAATTAACACCGTCATGTAAGAAATTAGGATTGATGCTGAGTTCACAACCTTTTCTTTCTGACTGGTAACATTGGCTACTTCTCAAAAACACATCCGCAGTCCAACTAATGACAACACAAGAGCACCAAAAAACAAGACAACCAAGCATCAATATATGGTTTGGATTTGGTTGTTTTCTTGCTACGAGGTTCTTGCTAGTTTATAGATGGCTCTTTTTTTTTCTGGAATGACACATGACTGTGAAGTTAGCATTGTATGCACCCAGCAGTGACTGAGGAGCAGGGCGGGGGGGGGGATGCCAATCCCGACACATTGCTCACTCGTCTGGCCTTCAACTCTTCACCGCCGACGCTGAGCGAAGTAGCCCTTTGCTCGCTTTCCTCATTCCAGACAGAGCTGGTACATTGAGATAGTCCGGATAAACGCGTATCCCCCTTGAGCTTTCTCTCGTGAAACCAGAATCTGGGTCGCAGGGCACCAGCCTTTCTTGTTCAGACTGTAATAGACGAGTGTGTAATTTGTTCAGCTGCCTCATACGCGGTCGGATAAGCATCATAATTACAGCCCACTGCGGTGGGTGGCACGCGTTGGGAGATGGTGCATGAAAAAAGGACTCTGCAGCTGCACTTAAAGGTGGTATTTTTATAAGTTGGTTTTTTCCCCCTGTATGGTCTTTGTTTGCTCCACCGGAATGTGACGCTTTGGTTTATGGTTCTATTCAAGGATCTTCTTTCAGGACCTTCAGCTCTCCTTTTTCTTCAAGTCCCCCGCCTCCACCCCCCCCCCCCCCCCCCCCACCCACACCACCAGCCCCACCCACGCCCAGCTGCGAGCAGGAAGTACATAATAAGTGTAGACAAACACAGGAAGCAGGACATGCTCTCGGGTTGTGAAGCTATTTTTCTTCCTCTCTCCGTTCATCACGAGCCGAAGGCTGCGTCAACCTCTCCTACTGACCCATCGGTCGGCGCCGAAAAAAAAATAAAGTACCGGGCAGGAAACCGACTCTCCGTTTTCACCCCCTGCGCTCTGAAAACCACAAACCAGTTCCCACCTTGTTCCTGAAACAAATACACACGCCGTTACAACCCTGCACACGTCTTTCCACGGAGCGGGGGGTCATGAATGCATCTGCTGAAGCCTTCTTTAAAGATACCCTTTGTTTTCTCCCTGCTCCTCTTCTCGCGCTTTCATCTGCACATCCCTCGGTGCCCGTTATCTGCTCTCTTTTAAGTCAAACTGTGGCGTTCAGGTCAAAGCTGTTCCGCTGGCCTTAAAGGAGAAAACAAAATCCTGTCTTGGTTGTGATTCTGCAGGTTTATTTGTCGGCTTTTTCAGCGCGCAAACTAAAATGTCCAGTTAACAGGCGTAAACTTGCTACTGCATGCACCGATGTAAGGCAGTAAGTGTGAAATAGTCCACGCGAGACGCAGGACATTCTAGCGGGAGACCGTCCTGTGAGAAAATGAAGTTAATGTAAATAGTTTGTCACATGTGAGTCACTTGTCCCCTCGATGGTTGAGTCATTAGTTAGTCACGTTATAGTCTACCACGCCTCTTTTCCTAAACTTACCGTAATGCTCTTTTAACTTTAACCTGACTTCTTGTGGATACACAAGTTTATTTTGAAAAATCGCCCTGCGTATACTGACAAAAGGTCGCAGAGAGCCGCTCCACGAAGCAATTTCTCACCATGGGCTTTGTTTCATTTCTGTAACTCACCAAAACCCACAATCTCAACCTTCTCACCTCACATCGTGGTTCGAAGCGTCCTCGGCTAATTAGTTCATTCTCCCGCAACAATTTATATAACACTTCCCTGTGCGCAACCCGCTGAAGGACGGTCTAAACATGTGCCCTGTTTCCTCCCCTGCGGAAATAGCAGCACGTCTTCCTCCCGTTGTCGGATTGCCGGCTCTTCGCCAGGCCTTCAGGCGCGGCCATTCGGAACGACGATAAACCCTTGACGCGGTTAGACAACGCGTCTGACCGTGTCGGATGGTGTGGTACGAGCTAGTTATTTGAAAGAACCTGAATCTCCACAGTCTTGATAATTGGACGGGTTCAAGGTCAGAGTTTTGTGCAGGCCGGTCAAATTCTTCAACATCAAAAATGGGAATAGCGTTTCTTCATCAACTGGCTTTGTCCAGCGGGTTCATTGTCATTTTAAAACAGGGAAGACTCTTTGAAATAAAACTTCATATTTAAATGATATTATTACGTATATCTCGGCTGTCCAAACTTATTGCTGCATTTCAAATATAAAGTGCTTGGGAATACCTTTGAGATTAGAAAAGCATATCTGACAAAAATGGGATCAAAAGGCAAAGAAAAATGCATTCTGCCATCCGAGTTTCCCTCATTAAAGAATCAGCAGCCTGAAATCGGACTCCACCCGACGGATTGTCCTTGGAGACGGCCCGTGACACTGGATACTGTCGATGGGCGGAGCAGGTGTAGGCCACATCGACCGGCAACGCCGCAGCATAAATCATTTACCGGGAGGTCCGGCTGCCTCCGTCCGCTCACTCTGAGGGAGAGTCGGCGCGGCTTCATTTGTTTCAAGCTGCTGTTTCTTGTAAAGTGAAACCCAAAGGGTCTGGACAAGGAAGTTGGTTAGCAGGCGATCATGAATCAAGAAGCATGTTTTGTTACTATTTACTGCTATTGTTGGTCCTGGTCCTGTGTTTTTTGGGGCGCTAAAGAAAGACAAAGAGAAATTCCGCCCCCGTGTGCAGATATGAAATGAGTTTGCATACTTCTACTCCTCAAAGCAACACTTCTAAACTGTGTGTGAAGTTCAATCACATGAATAGCTTCTGATAAGGCTCAACCGACCTCATTATCAAGACTCTAAACATTAACAGAGGTTAAAGATCGTGGGACTCTCACGGGTACAGTCCTTAATACTGATGGTGTCCTGGACTTCTTGTCCAAGATGTTTCATTGACAAACTGCACACATATGGAGAAGCTTGTCTTCAGAAATGTATCTCACGTTCCCGTGGGATTTTGCGGTTGGCGAAATTCCTTCCTTGTGACTCGTTTTTGTGACACAGTGGTGCTTTGAGCAAAATGCTAACATCTGCTAACAGCTATGGCGATGCTGAGCAGGTGTGCTGTTTATCTTGTTCACTGATCTCTTTCTGTCTGTGTCACACTGACGTCCTTCCCTTAAGTTGTTTTGTTTCCCCCGGTAACCAGATGAACACATCTGCTGTTTATTTATGCAACCGGTCGCCGGGCTCGACTCACAGAGGACCGGCCTAATTGACCATAGCTGTGTCCCCCCCAGGAACGCCGTGACGAATAAAGGCCTCCGGACCGCGTGTCTGCTCGGTCACATCGCTTCATCGCTCTGGCGGGAGATAAACGAACGCAGCGCGTGGAACGCGACTTCTGCTCATCACATCTCTGTACGCCGCTCGAGTAACAAGATGACGGACGCGTTCCAACGAGGCGACGGGGGAAAACGCTCACCTGTGAAGTCTCCCATTCGTCGACGCCGCTCCCCCTCCGTGATTGGTTGCCCGGGCTGTCGGGCTGCAAGGGCCGGTAGCCAATGAGAGGCACGTCGGTTGACTCCACCCCCGGCAGGTCGTAACCACCTGTTCGCATGTTTCGGGGGAGCATGGTGCCAGCTGCCAGGGACAAGAGGACAAAAGCAGACAAGTGGTTCATGGTCGGTTGGGCAGGAGTTCAGAGGAGCATCTTCTAACTCTGGTGAGGTCAGATAAGCAGCAACGTGTCCATTACTGAAGTTGTACCTTTCGGATACATGTGTGATCTGCAGCTACTGCACATTACGAGATATCAGGTCGAATCCAAAGGGGGAGAGGTTTGTTTTTCTACAGCACACCTGGAACTATTACATCATGGCTCATTCGAATCTTCTATTTCACTATTCAAGTTCTATTTAAGTCTTTTTACGTCAGCCTTTGTGTAGATCTCAACAATCAGGTGGCCGAATGAACACTGAAACCGGTTTTGCTTGGTGTAATCATTCCTCCTGCTCCCTGTGACAACAAAAGGATCGCTCTCAATGTCATCGACGGCGGATGGAATCCATGCTTCTCGTTCTGTGCAATATTGTGTTTGATCAGAAATTGATGGGCCTCGTGGATTTTTATGTCTTATTTAATGCACTTTAAATTTCCTCCAGGACTATCTGGACAAAGGTGGCGTGCTGGTTAGTGCTGTCCAACACTCAGCAAGATGTTCCTGGGTTCAAAACCACCCAGCGGCCTTTATGCGTGGAGTTTGCATGTTCTGAAATGAGGCCAGACATTCTCTAAACACGTCACACTCTAATTAGAAATGCTACCGAAGAAATACTTTGGAACCTATTTGACTCCGCCAATTGTTACAAAACCAACCCAGCAACATTACGCCACTGTAAGCTAATGGCAGCTAGGACTCCATTTAGTGGTCACTTCGTTGAATTTGCATTGAAACCCCTCCTTCCATTTCCCTTTCCACGCTTTGGTATTTGGATTGCCATGAAGAGACATACAGCTAACACTGTGGCAGGAAGAGGGGTGTAGGACGGGGAGCGAGATGGAGAGGTTAATACAAGCGCTATGGAAATGAGATCTTTAGATTATCCCACTCTGCTGTGCAGGTAGTGCACAGGCAGTGTTTTTTTTTTTTACTTTCCTTTGCAGGCAAACGGTGCAAAATGGCAGGTAGCTGCTGTGCATAAAAGGCCAGAGAATTGATTCCTGTAAGAGCCTGCTGCTCACAGTTCCACCCTGGTGAAAATCTCCTTGGAGGACCCCACGTCGACTCTCGGGCTTAGAAAGAGCAGTGAGAAATAAAAACGTGCTGGCAGACTTCAGCTCTGCAGCACGGGGGCCAAACTCGCATACCCTCACTCATCATTCCTGTAGGTTTATAATACCATTGCTTAGAGAATCCCGTCTCTGGCCTGCACAAGAGAGGAAAAGGCACATGCAGGCCTGCAGGAAAAACCAGTTTGCAGTCTGTGCTCTGACCAGCGGCCATTCAGTCTGGTCTGAATGCATTCTATTCACGGCATCTGACCAGAGCGGACAAATGACACACACACACGCACACACTGTGCAGCTGTAACTAGGTTACAGTCAAGTCACACCCCTGAAATGCTCATTTTCTGCTCAATAAATACTGCCATGGGGTGGTGCTAAAGTGAAGCCAACGATAGCTTCTGAAACAAGGTAAATGGTGATGAGGATAACACAGGCTCCACAGTCACAGGGTGGCTGAAGTTGGTCCGGGAAGACACTCCCTGCATGTCAACACACTCAGCAGGGACCAATGGGGACATTTGCTTCCTTCACGAGACACCCAGTGACAGGAAGGCAAGGTTTAAATAAATAAAACAAAAAAATAGAAGGCAGACAATCAAAAGAAGCAAATAGAGGAAGAGAAACGAGGGAGGCTGTGTGGTAATTCAACTTACTTCTAGCCGAGTGTCATCCGCAAGATGTGGCTCATCCAACCGCGGCCGGCCGGCTTCCGGCAGCATCGGGTGACCGCTGGCTGCTGCGGGATCGGTGGCCGGTTCAGCTGGGGAGAGTCGCGCCCATCTGTGCCACCGACACCGTCAACTACGACGAGAGGTAGTCTCCGTCCACCCCCTCCCTCTCTCCCTCTCTCCCTCCCTCCCTCTCCCTCCCTCTCCCTCTCTCTCTCTCTCTCTCTCTCCCTCCTATCTGATGTCCCCGCTGCTTGTCTGCGCAGCCTTCAGCAGCTGATAGCGCACTCTGACCAGCAAGCCGCAAACTCCCTCCTCCCCCACCCCCCCCTCGCGCTCTCTCTCCCCCTCGCTCTCTCTCTCTCTCTCTCTCTCTCTCTCTCTCTCTCTCTCTCTCTCTCTCTCTCGCTCTTTCTCCCTCTGACGTCACACAGTTCCTGTATCTTCGGCACTCTGCGCTCACACGGTGTGGCAGATAAACTTTATAAATGATATGTGTATATATAATAAATGTGTGTATAATTATTATTTACGGAAATTATATTAATATATATATACATATTGAAATTATATTGTATAATTATATAATATTGTTGTAAATATAAAAATATATAAAATGATATATATAGTATTACAAATTAAATATTGTCCTATAGTGGATGTATAATAACTACCAGAGCAGGAAGCTGGCTCCATGTTGGAAAGCACGTGGAGGTGAATACCAAGTGTTTAGCATCCACCTGGGTGAATTCTCAGAAAGGAAATATTATGCATGACTATGTTTTTATTAGTGTTCATTCACTTGTAACTGAGAATAGCTATGTTTTTATTAGCTCAGAAAAAGCTGAAGCTGTGTTTCCCTGACAAAGAGAAAAAGGACCAGAAACAACACAAAGACACAAATATTGATGGCACACACATAATATATACAAATCACAGTATTCAGAATGGATATGACATAATACAGGTTGGGTCAGAGTAACCTATGATTTGGGACTCTTTACAGCCAGGCGACGCCTAACGCTAAACTAAACTGCATTTTGGGGAGACTTCTGAGTCCTGCCCAGCAGAGGAAAAAGTACTTTGATATTTTTATTGGCAATACCTCAATGTAAAAATACTTTGCCACAAGTCAGCTTCTTTAAAGTACAGATAGTATAAAAATGTAGTTAAAGTACCAAAAATGAACAGAATTGCCCATCTCTGAATATTATGTATTAAACCATTACATAATAATTGTGAGTTGTATGTGTTTTATGTCTTCAATGTGGGTCTAATTTTATTTACCTCATATACAAGTTCAACCCATAACAAATCATAATGTGTTAGTCTCACCTCTTGGAATAATAATCTGCAAACTAAAAAAAAAAAAATACACACATAGCAAAAAAATGGAAATATTTTTAGAAGTAAAAACAACAATCCTACTTGTGTAGTACTTGAATAGAGGTACTCTACAAATGTAGGCTGGGTGCTACATGTCCGATCACATCACGTCACATTGTCCGGTCCCTTCAGTCTCAACTCAATGACCCTGAACATCCCGCAGACTGGCGCGCAGTCGCTGTCCTTGTATTTGTTCGCCACCTAGCGGCCACAGCTGGAAGTTGGCACTCCACCACTTGTTAATCTGCCAGAGGCCATTTTGAACCGCACGGCGGTGTTACCACACGCTTGGCTGGTGTGAGTAATGTGCAAGACATCAATAAACAAGAGAAGACACACAAATAAACAAACAAAACGTTGGCTTGGATACCGGCCGCGCGTAACCACAGCGGGATATTCTTCCAAAGCAACTTAACTGTGAGTATAATCTGCTGTCGCCTTAATTGAGCTTTGTTGTGAATCAATAATGTGTTTGTGGCTCTCTTGAAGCAGTTTGGGCCTCTGATTTGCAGCAGGAAATATGCATTCGGTATGAATTCAGCAATGAGCACGTTTGGTGTGTGACTGGATCTTAATTTGCTCCGGCTGAACCAGGAGGGTCTGCCTGCAGATTTTCTGTGTGGGAAATGTCGTGTGACTTGAGTTGGTGTGAGCAGCTCCGTCATTTCTTTTTTGGATTGAACCACATTTTTTTTTTCCATCACGCGTTACATTACACCCCGGATGTTAATTGCGAGAGACGATGACCCTCTGGAAGTCACATCTGTCCTGCAGATGTGGTATAGCTTTTTGTTGGGTCTGGTTCACTGGAGAGGTGATTCCGAAATAAAAAACAAATAAGTAACAAAAAATACCTTCGTAGGAATCGCTGTGATGCATATATATATATATATATATATATATATATATATATATATATATATGCAATCAGCCAGTCTGGGGTGTAACTATAAGTGGCATTCTAAGCATTAGAACAGTTGTAATCGTGTCCAATCGCCCTATTAATTCCCCTTTATATATAAAAAAGCAAACACACCCTTTTAATTCCTCTAAGTTCATGAGACTGAGGCGTATTATTTGCATTGGCGGAGTGTTCGGCGCATCTCAGTTTTAAAACTTTCCCCCCACGGGTTTCCTAACTCGGCTGGTCCCTCCTGTTCGAGCCCAATTAACGAGGCGGCTAAACTCATTAATTGGCCACTTAATTGGCCCCCGCCGTTGCGCGCGCTGCTTCCGCTGGCTTCTTCTTTTTTCCCCCCCTCCCTCCCTCCCTCCCCCGCTGCCAGGCATCACAATCCCACCTTGTCACCACGATTTAGGGTCAGTCTCCCAGACGGGAAGGTGCTCCCCCTCTCCCCCTCTCCCCCTCCACCTTCCATCGGTATCTCCCTCCCTCTCCATCTCGGTGTTTTATGTCTGCGTCACAACAAGTCGGTGGAGAGCGAGAGGCAGGGATGATGGCGTCTCTGGCGGCTTGATTCCTCAGCTGCTCTGACAAAACCCGCCTTAATAGCATCAATAGGTGGAGGCGGAGAGGGGAGGGGACGGGGGTTGGGAGGAGGGGGGGGTAAAGAAAGCGACGGGAACATGACGAAACGGCTTCGCGGGGGGACGGACAAACTAGGGCTGAGAGACGGACGGACAGTCAGTTTGCTCTTCCCCCTCCTCCTTCACCTCCTCCTCCTCCTCCTCCTCCCCGCTTGACTGACACACACTCACATGCACGCACACACGCACGCACACACACGCGCGCGCGCACACACAGGCGCTCGGCACAGACAGAGACATGCATGCACAGCATCCACTTTTTGCAAACGCGCAGGCTGCGCATCCGAGCGGGCAGTAATTGGACAGCGGAGATCCACAGCCGATGAGGGCATTTCATGTCCAGCCTGCCCGGGAATCACTGTGACCCCGACGGGAAGGAGTTTCGACTTGACAGGTACCCTTCACCGGCGCAGCTGCCTGTGTGCCATATCCCTGATCCCCCCTTTTTTTGTGTGTGTGTGTGTGTGTGTGTGTTTCACAAAAGGCTAAATGCACTGTTGTGCATCCTGCGTCTGTGTTGACTTGAGTGCGTGCACGGGAACAAGCGCGCAGAGACAACGTCCGCACAGACGTTTTTATTTCACCTATTCAAGTTTTTTTTAAGGACGTTGGTAGAGAAGAAGAGAACAGCAAAGTGCCCGACGGATGCTTCAAGTAGCCGCGCACTGATCTTCGCTCATTCAATCAAACTGTATTGCAGCAGTCATCATGCAGTGTTTTTTCCCCTCTCTCTCTCTCTCTCTCGCTCTTTGTGTGTGTGCGTTTCATGTGTGCAGTATTCATTTGTCTTGCTCTCTGCTTGTGTACTCACTCTCATCTTTCTCTGTGGTGGATACAGGCTGTCGCTGTGCTCTGATCTAAAAGGAGGAGGGGTGTGTGTTTGGGGGAGGAGGGGGAGGCAGGGAGGGAGGGTGTGTGTGTGTGTGTGTGTGTGTCGGGGGGGGGGGGGGGGTTAACCCCTTTGCACCGAAGCCCGCCTGTCTTGAGAGCCAGCCGAGACGTCGGGGCCATAAACCCCTCTGTCAGCAACGGCTGCAAAGTATTCAGCGAATAAATCGGATTTCCATTTCACACGAGCCCCGCTCTCCCTCCTCTCGCTTTCTCTTTCTCCCCTCTCTGTCTCTCTCCTCAGGATGGGGGGAGTAAGTGAAGGAGATGATGTGTTGGCTCGATGGAGTGATGGACTACTGTACCTCGGCAATGTGAAAAGAGTAAGTGTGTGTGTGTGTGTGTGTTCACCTGGATTTTGAAAAGACTTCCATTTAGTTTTGTCAATCATTCTCGCTCACCTGCCATCTCTCTCTCAGGTAGACGGAGTCAAGCAAAGTTGTCTGGTGAGATTTGAGGACAACTCAGAGTTCTGGGTGCTGAGGAAGGACATTCACTCGTGTAAGAAGAACTCTTTCCTCGTTTTCTCCCCCTCTCTCTCCAGCCGGAGGAGTTAAAACGGCTTCCTGTTTGGGGCACTTTGTGTTTGAGAAATGCTCTTAGATGGAGACTTGGGACCTGAGCTCAGCTGTGCTCCCACTAAAAGTTTGGGTTTCCACTCTGAAACTTTACCCGATGAGTTGAAGAACCACTTTTCTGATTCGTTGCCGGTGTGAGCTTAAAACTTTTTTTCCTGTATTCTGGCTGCAAGAAAAAAAAAAAAGAAAACGCAGCAGAGAAATCCCAGTCCCGTTGGAGGCTACAACGCCGAGTGCTCTGAGTATTCTGATCGGCTGCGCGCCGAAATCTAATTGGTATATTAGAGCCTATTTATGAATTTATTAGATTAATGACTCCTCGGGGGAAACGGCGCCCCCACTCCACGCAACATCAAGCGAAGGGGGAAGTTGGAGGCTTGTTAGGACCCGGCTGAACGTCCGCCCGCCGAATGAAGTGAAATCTGAAAGGGTGCAGGAGACACTGAAATCAATGAGGTGGCAAGGATGTGAATCAATATACATAAATTAATGCCGTTGACTGCTCTCTCCCCCCCCCTCCCCTCTCTCTGTCTTCATCTTTCACATTCACTCCCTCCCCTGCCCTGCCTCTCTCTCTCTGTGTGTTTCTCCGCGTGCCTCAGTCGCTGCCGGAGTGGAAGAAGTTTGCTGTATTTGCGACGCTCCTCCTCTTAAAGAACCCCTCGTAAATTGTCTTAAGTGTCGGCACGGTAAGGGAACGCGCCTCGTCGCACGCCGTGGAGCAATACATCTCCACCAGTTCTTGCACTGACCTTGAAGCTTTGACAGAAACAACACTGAAAACCATTAATTCAAAATGATAGAAATGAATTGTTGCACCTGCATTCTGGCTGGAATAAAAATGCCCAAAGGCGTGAAGCTTAATGCACAGACTTAAAGGCCACAGGTTGTCTTGGGGTACTGGGGCGGGTTGTTGCTAATTGAAATAACTGCTACCTCATTTAAGACAAAACCAAAATAGAGGTTTAAAATTGCATCAATTAATTCTGTGTTCTAAAAGTGACATCTCCTTGGACACAATGCTTCTGGACACAATGCATCATACATACGTCATACATACATCATACTGTCAGTCATGTGCTCGCCTGCACATGAAGCTGTCTGCTGTGAAACTCTTCACGTTCTGCTCATTGAAGGTAAAGCGTCCAAGTGGAGTAACGATGAACATGACTGTTGAGTGGAGAGGGAGTTTTCACCCCAAAATCCCAAATATCATTTTCCGCAATTAACAATTTATTGACATAGGCACATCAATAGCATTTCAGTTTTTTTTAAGTTTGTGGAGAACTGTCCTTTTAAAAGTTTTTGAAGGATGAAATAGCAGGCGGGAGGAAGTTTTAGCCATCATGACTCCTACGCAGGAAAAGGGCAAATGTTACCGCCGTGTCCTCGCGGCTAACCGCCGCGCTAACGGCAGCGCTAACAGCCGTGCTAACGGCTCTCCTGACAGTTTGTTTTGGGCCGTAAAAAGAAGACAAACGTACTGTTGTCCCCTACACGGAGAGAGCAAACTAAATGTTTTGCATCGCCTTTGAAACAAACCAGCGGACCCCTAAACACGGAGCCGCCGTGCCATTATCGCCACTCCGCCTGTCTGTCTTGCAAACACGAATTACCCGCTCTGCCTCCTCCTCCCATTACAGGTTATCACGCAGAGTGCCACACGCCAGCCATCGAACCGGAGGCTGACAGCGATTCGTGGATATGTCGGCAATGTGTCTTTGCAGTCGCAACCAAGGTCAGGACTGCTAATCTCCCCGTCTCACACTCTCGGGGGGGGGGGGTCAAACAAACATTCAGTGTGTAATATGGGAGACATTCAGTCACATACATCCGGCTCTGATGTCACGGTACTGGCAGAAGCACGCTAATTCCCTCGGCGCTGGCTTTGATATTGGAGGTTCCACGTTGTGTCCAAGAAATCATGAAGAATCAATATTTATGAAGCTGAAAGACTCCGCTGGAGTTGAGAGAAGTACATTTAAAGTCAATCCATCACATATGCTCCATTTCTGTAGATATGAGATGAAGAAAGCACCCCGGTTAATTGTCAATCGGTCAACGTCCATATCTCATTGTCCAGACATCCGCCGCTTCGGACACTATCTCTCACGGCTGACCTACAATAAAATGAGACGAATTGCTTTCCCCCCACCGTCTCCCGACCTGGCAGCGATTCGAGGGTTCGCCGACCAAAATCAGTCCTGTCCTAAAAACGTGTTGTTGTTTTTTTTTTTTTTTTTTAGAGAGGCGGGGCGCTGAAGCGGGGACGCTTCGCCCGGCTCATGCAGTTCATGAAACTGCGGCTTCCCTACCAGCTGTCGTCACTGGACTGGGACCCGCAGCATCTGACCAATCAGCAGCAGTGCTACTGCTACTGCGCCGGACCTGGAGAGTGAGTGACGCCGCGGAGGCCCGTTTCCGTTCGCATGTACAGCTCACGTGTGCTCTTCAACATCTGGCAACATCTTCCCTGAAAGATCTCATCAAAGCCAAAGTCGTCTTCTCAAAAAAAGAAAAAAAAAAAAGTTGCACCAAACTCTTTTTATCAATTGTTTCGCTTCTTGGCTTAGTATAAAACGACAGTCAGAGGATCCGGTGGGAGTTTACACCTGAAGACACATTTCAGCTCAGAAAATGAGAACTGTCAGACGCAGTCATCAGCCCTCAGTCCTCAATTATCCATGAATACAAGCGTGTCAGGTGGCAGATGTTAGACGCATGCATTCATCCGTGTGTTTGAAGTGTCTCCATGTTTTCGTGTTGTTGCACTGCAGGTGGAACCTGAAGATGTTGCAGTGTGGAAGCTGTGGTCAGTGGTTCCACGAGGCCTGCACACAGTGTCTGACCAAGCCACTGCTGTATGGAGACAGGTGGGTCACTCAGTAATAAAAAGCATCGGGTTCTTAATATTCAGAATTATGACTTTGTCATCGGAATAAATATATAAGAATTTCTTAGGAATTTTATATAGGACCCATTAAGTTCATGCAAATTTCCACTTTTAGACACTTTTGGACAGCTAGTTCCTTTTCATGAGATAGTAACTGCAAAGCATCATGGGATAGTAACTGCAAAGCACTTACTTCAATGGCGTTCAGTACGCAGGGACCGATAGCTTTTCGATAGCTACACCGATAGTTACTGATAGTTACTGATAGCTACTGATAGTTACCGATAGTTACCGATAGCTACTGATAGTTACTGATAGCTACTGATAGTTACCGATAGCTACACCGATAGCTACTGATAGTTACTGATAGGTACCGATAGTTACCGATAGCTACACCGATAGCTACTGATAGTTACCGATAGTTACTGATAGCTACTGATAGGTACCGATAGGTACCAATAGCTACCGATAGGTACCGATAGTTACTGATAGCTACTGATAGGTACCGATAGGTACCAATAGCTACCGATAGGTACCGATAGTTACTGATAGCTACTGATAGGTACCGATAGGTACCAATAGCTACCGATAGGTACCGATAGTTCCCGATAGCTACACCGATAGGTACCGATAGGTACCGATAGTTCCCGATAGCTACACCGATAGCTACCGATAGGTACCGATAGTTCCCGATAGCTACACCGATAGCTACCGGCGGAAACGGAGTCACTACCGTTCTTCGGTTCTGGTTATTTGTGTTGTCAATCAAAACCCGAGAGAGTTGCTTATTGAAAGCCACCCAACTGATCTAAATGTGGATGCTGTTGTCATTATTACTCATTACATCAACCTTTCCTTCATAATTATGAGCTAAAGCGAAAATGGCTTATTTCCAGTAAAACGGTTTTATTTTTGCTGCACTCTTTGCTTCTATGTCATCACATTTGCCAATCGACACGTGTGTGTTTGTTTGTGTGTGAAGTCAGTATTACCTAATAGCAGCTTGCTGATATTTCTATCGGGATCTAATATTTGGTATTGGTGTTTTAATGTGAGCAATGTGCCTTGTGTGTTGGCATGCTTTATTTTGGTCGCCAAATGTTGACTTATTCAGGTTAGAATGAGTAGAAATCTACCTGTGGAGGCTGAGATGAATATACTTTCCTATTGAATGTCTTTATGTTGACATAGTCTACTATCACTACGTGATTAATTGAGAAAACAGTTTAATTTATGAAATATTAAAAAATATTGAAAGCACACCCATTGTATTTTCTCAGGCAGAGGTGATGTTTTCCAATGACGTCTTCAAATCGCCTCTTTTGTCAAACCCACATTCATGAAACCCAAATATATTCAGATTAAAAATCACATAAGCCAAAGAAAAGGTGTATATATGTATATATACATATTCCATCCGTACCTCGTCTCGACAGTAGCTTCCCGTCTGATTAAGACAATCACACAAGGGCGTCTCCGTGACAGCCTCGCTTGTCGCAGAACTCCCTTAATTAGCTCAGCGCTAATGTACTCCCTGACTGCGCGGACCGGAGACGCATCACCTCGTGTCACCTCCCCGCTCGCTGATCAGATAAGCCGAGGGGAGGACGCGCGGGATGCTGATCGCATGTGATAAAATGCACCCATCCATTCGGTCATTACGGCCATTAACCACCTGTGTTGGCCTACCGAGCCCCACTCCCACCCTGACACCTTGTTATTGCCCAACCCGTCTTGGAGGGGGGAAGGGGGGGGGGGGATTAGATTGACAGTCGGGGAGAGTGCGGCCGGATCGGTGCAACATCTGCTGAGCAGGTGATGGAGGAAGAGTGAAGCCCGAGTTCACAGTTGGAATAGTAAGCATTTGCTGTCGGCTCTTCATCTTTCGCGATGACCTTCAGCAAACACGTTGCACGCGGCGTGAAGGACGGACGCTCGCGTTGTTGCTGAGCGGAGTTTTCAGGGTGACCCGTGACACAATGTTATTATAGGGAAAATAACACACCTGTCTGCTTATTATCAGTTCATGATAAAATACCTGGAGAACAGAGACGTGTAGGCAAAGGGGCCGAAACCACGCTGCACATGAAGAACTTTGTTATTGTTACAGGTGTAAATGATTGCTGGAGCCTGTGCAGCAAACCATAAAGACAAACATGACAGCTCTTACTAAATGACAAACTGAAATAACCCTTTTTTTTGAGAAGTCACATGATGCTGATTTCCATGTTGTTTTTTTTCCTTTGTCTTTTCAGGTTTTATCAGTTCCAGTGCTCCGTGTGTACGAAGGGACCGGAGACCATCCAGAGACTACCCATGACCTGGTGATGTTTGCAGCCAAAACCAACTTCTAAGTCATTTAAAACAGAACTATCATTTCTCAGTACTCCCGTCCACCGCTGTTTCACATGACATTCAACATTTTCAGTTATTTCGTAGAACGTTAGCATAGCTTTCGTTCACTCAGCTATGCTAACGTTCGGATCATTCTTTACCTTGTTGAGTAGCTCACTTGTTAGAGTAAAACTACTGGTGGACCTTCACACAACAACCCAGCACGTATCGATGAATTAATTGTAGTGATTTATCAATAAAGTAATACAAACTCGCTATATCAAGGTACGCTCACAAATATTCTGAAATGTGTATAAAAAAAAGACATTAAAAAGTGCATAGGTCGCTTTTTTACCTGTTTGTTACATCTAATCTTTCTTTTGTTTGGTTTGAAACGCAGGATGGATTTGGCTCATTTGGTGCTCTACCATCTCTCGCTGTGCTGCAAGAGGAAATACTTTGATTTTGACCATGAAATCCTGTCCTTCACCAACGAGAACTGGGACTCGTTGCTCCTGGGCGCGGTATTGATATTTCTCCGTTCAAGCACCATGATGAAATAATGTGAAATGCTGCCTGCCTGCCCCTTTTTTTTTGCATTTGAGACTTGAAGCCTATTAGCTGCCATTAAAGCACATTTTTAAAAGCAAAAGAAAAACAACCATGACCTCCATGTCAGCTTCAAGGGGGAACACCACTAAGAATTTGCAGGTTGACGTTGGATCTTTTAAAGATCTAGTTCCTGGACTCTCAAACGCTCATCAAGAGCGATGAATCCTCAAACTAAGTGCAAATGTTCCAATTTGTGATATTTCCAATTCGAAAGTCTAAAGTTGCTTCACAGAGACGCCGGCTGTTTTTAAAACTCATTTTGAAGCACATTGTTTGCCCTGTCATCGCCGGGCAGCGGGGCTTTTTACGTTATTTCTGTCCGCGTCGGGCGCGAAAGAAATTCGCCCGACGCATTAACGGCTTTTCTGTCTGACGGCCGTCCACTGTGTCAACACGGCTTTGTTTTCATTCCCCTCCCGTCCTCCAGCTCTCTGACACGCCGCGGCAGGACCGCTGTCACAATCTCCTCAACGCTCTGAACTCCCACAAGGACAGGTGAGCCGCCGCATACGATGAGCGGAATGAACACCGAGCACACATGACCGGCTTGATGAGCGCCGCTCCGTGAATAGAGGGCTCCTTCTTAGTGCGCCGCCGGCTGGAATGAGCAAAGCGGAAACGTGCGGCTTTGAATAAAATGCCGCTGCCAATTAGACGGGATGAAATGAAACCCTTCTCGCTGCTTATTTCGTCCCGGTGGAAGAGAACGCAAGCTGTTGGTGTTAAGTCACAATAGCCAGTCGAGAGGTCTAATTGCTTTTAGTGGAAAAAAAACAAAATTATGAAATACTGTGTTCTCACACTGAGTATTTAATCTCGCCCCAGGTTCGTCTCCGGAAAGGAGATCAAGAAGAAGAAGTGTCTCTTTGGGCTTCAGGTGCGAGCCCCGCCTCCGCTGACGTCCGATTCGTCGCCCCTCATCACCGACCAGCCTATCAACATCACGCACCGGAGAAGGTCAGCGTAAGGGCGGCGGCCTCTCCTCTCATCCTCTGTCTCGATTCCCGCGCGGCGGATAGTCATTACGCGCCAACAATCAACGGGCGGTTTTCACATGCCAGCAAAAGTATCAGCGCGTTATTATTCGCCTAAAAGAATATTTATCCCCCCTGAGTGCTGCCGTTTGTAAATCCGTAAGTGCGTGTGTGCACGTAAGTACGTGTCCTCTACTTTTTAATATTTTCAGCGTTTAGCTGGAGCTTATTCAGACCGAATTATCGTGGAATCATTTGCAGTTTTTTATCATATTATTTGAGTCTCTGAAACACAAGCAAAACGTTTTCTCACACGGAAGCGGAATTAATATCGTCGGTAATGTGTCCTCTAGTTCCCTCTGCTCATCTAGAGGCTCGCTGTACCGTCGGCGAGAGACGCTGCGCTTATTGACTGTAATCGTTTCGGGTTTCGCTCCTCTTTCTCACAGAAATGTAAGACGTTTGCTTCCACTAGAAAGAAGACAACGCAAAACGTTTACAAGGCAAAAAAAAAAAATGTAAGCCGTGGTTCAACCTCGTTTCAACCCCCGTCTCAAGATTAGGCAAATGAAACGTAATTTAGACATTCTAAATTCCTACTTTCTCAAATGAGTAGATAACACAAGACACACTGCTGACACACAAACTTATATTCACTCAGATTGTTCACAACGTGTGAAGTAATTCAAGGGCTTTTGCACTGAGCAGCGTGGGCTAAATATTGTTTAGTATCCTGCACTCATTTTTAACCAGGTCAACATTTCCTCTTGATTGGCACCATCTTCTACACAGTGTGATCCAACTAATGCCATCTGAAATATCTGAAGGTTAAAGGGCCGATTGTAGCAAAATAACTAGACAATTACTGCTCTCCAGAGGTAACGTACACTCTTTGACAGCGCTTTACGTTTTGCTTCATCTTCAGAACAAAACTATAAACACGAGATATCTAATTATTAATCATTTCCATGAATAATTTGGGCGTTTTTGCCTGTGCGGAGATTAGACAGGATGACATGCAACAAAAGTCCCCGGCTTTCCCCGCCGACGGACAACGCCGCCATCAGCTCGGCTTCCCTTTAACCAACCAAAGCTCTCCAGCCACCAGGACGCTTGTGTGAAACATTCCCGCCACCTCGAGGACAAATCCTTTCCTGTCTTAATTACCCTGTTTTTTTTCTTTCTTTCAGCCAAAATATACATTTCAATTCCTAACTACCTCCAAGCCTCTAATTAGAGCGAAATTAAGAGCATGTCGTGCATTCCAGTCTGCATCTTTTAAATTGTGGGAATTGTGGTTTGTCTTTCTCCATATTTTCCACTGACTGCTGATGATATTTGGCCTCATCTGTATGTGTGTATATATATATATATATATATATATATATATATATATATATATATATATATATATATACATACACACATACAGATAATGTAACTAAATGATCACCGCTCTCATCGTCTTGTATTTTACGCCTCTCAGTCGGCTCTTATCCCACTAACAAGCTCAACGTTGCAAACAGGCACTGTGTGTGTGTGTGTGTGTGTGTGTGTGTGTGTGTGTGTGTGTGTGTGTGTGTATTAATTTATGTGTTTTGTCACTCCAGCCCTTTGTCACTACCCTGTCAGAGGAGAGTGGGGGGGTCGGAGTCGCGTAAATCGAAGCGGCGCATCATGGAGACACAGGTCAGTGCCTCTGCCTCCGGCTCGGGGGCGAGGAGGGAGGTCCGGGCCACAAAGCCTCTCCGATTAGCTGTTTTTTGTTGTTGTTGTTGTTTTTTTCCCCAATGCATCCAGGTAAACAGCTCTCCGCGATCCAAATAACCTGTCAGTCAGAGCGCCGTGGTGAAGGTTCATCTCGCAGTCTGAACGAGTCGGCGCAGCTCGGCCTTTTCCCCTCGGCGTGATCGCTGCACTCTTAACGCGGTTAGAATAAAGGCAGCTCGCGCCGGGGATGAAGTGTCGCCGCCAGAACGTACCATTCAAATACCAAACCGCTCAGAAAGCCGCTCGTGTGTTTCATCAACATCTGCAGTTCAGCAGCGTATTTATCACCGCCATCAAACCCAATTCCCAGGGGACCGCCGCGAAAAAAGGCGACGCTGCACGTGGCTATATATATACTATTTTTACCCGGCGTTGTTGTCGGCTCTTTGCGCCGCGTCCTCCCACCGAAGCACTCTGATCCGTGTGCGTGTGCGCATACAGTAATCCCGGGACAATGCTCCCCACACCGGCTCTCCCTTTCACTCCGCCGCGTGCGGGCGCTCCTGATTGATGCTAATCTCCGTCCGTCTTGGAGGAGCAGGTTCGTTGTCGCAAGCGGGTGAGGGAGGGAGGGAGGGAGGGGGGAGGAGGAGGGGGAGGTGAGACTGGGAGGAATGCTGATATGTGAAGGCCGGGATCCCTTCCAAGTGCACTTTGCAGTCGATTACAGCTCGGCCAGGTGGCGCTGGCACCTTGGCGGCGGAGTATTGACGGAGCGCATCCATTTAAAGGCGCAGCCGTCAGCTGAGGCCGCTGAATGATAATCTCCTCCCCTAATAGTTACTCCAGAGAGAAGAATGATAGCGGCCGGAGCCGTAAGTCACAGTCCGGGGATGAGAAACGCAGGCGGCGTTCGCCGGTGACCGATCGCTCGGGAGGCGCCGTGGTGTTCCGACTTTTCATGGGCGGCGAGTCCACATGTCAGGAGGGCTGAGCCGCCTCGCTGACCGGACGCCTCCACACACTTTCATCACGTAGACGTATTCGCCACGGAACCGGACGCACCTGCTGGACTCCTGTGATGACGCCGCCGCGTGTCTCCTGTGTCCAGGCTTGTCCGCCGCCAGCCGCTGCCAACCCCATTGAGCTGCGGCCATGTTGCCATGGCTACACGGGAGGGGCCAACATCTGCAGCTCCAGGAGGTCAGAGGAGGAACTTGGTTTGAGGTGAGGGGCGTCTGTGAACATGAGATATGTGAGTTTACAGTTAATTACATTTGGCATCGTGGAGGTTGGTTTACGGCCCTTTGCCCGTTTTTATTTTCCACACTTTTGTACTCTCGTTTAGAGCGTGGATGCATTTGCGCATCAACAAAGTCGTGCGGTGGAAAAGTCTAAACAAAACACTCACTTGCATCTTACCCTGAAGTTATTACATTTTTAAAATGTTACCTTTCAATCAATGTGGACTAAAATGAAGAAAACTATTTTTGTATTCTAGTTTTTGTTTGTCTGACCCAAACCCTTTTTTTGCAAACAGTTCTTCATTCTAATTTGATTTCAGATTAAAGTAGCAACACGGTGGATGTCTTTAACCCCTGTGCGCTCCGTCCACAGCTCTCCTCCCAAGCGGATGTACGCTCTGTACCACAGCACGTACAACGGAAACACGGCCCTCTCCAGGGGCCTCCACCACTACAACAGGTTTCTCTCACCCGCTGTTCTCCTTTGTAGCGACATGTGTGGAGTGAAATAGTCACACGTGGGGCCCTCGAGCCCAACCGTAGCTGTCGGCGATCCTTTTCCCGGCGTGTAAATGTATTTCTTTCGACTATAGGGTTGGTTGTAAAAATGCACTTTTTCAGAGTGCCGTTTGAGACACAAAATTAGCATTTGTCACGCTACTAGACGCCCCCCGTTGATCCGTTCAGTATGCAACGTTTACAAGACCAGACGGTCCCTCGTTTCCATTTGGCCCCTTTGGACCAGTTGTGTGAGGATCTTTTTGAGCTTCTAATTGATACTCGGCTATAAGAGTCACGTTACTCCGGGTTTAAAGCTGCCGACTGACTCCCGTGCTTGTCTCCGTCCGTCTGCCAGCGCGGAGGACACCTGCAGAGTGCCGCCCCCTTGCTTCCCATACCCCCTCAACTCCAACGGCAGCCATCACCACCACCACCACCACCATCACCACCCCCACCAGCAACACCACACCCACCAGCACCAGCCTGGGCAGAAGCAGCCGGAGCCCCTCATCCTACGCGACGTACCCCCGTACCAGGCCAGTATGGGCGTAGGGGGCGGCGTGGGCGGCGGAGGAGGAGGAGGAGGAGGCGGAGGAGGAGGAGGAGGAGGAGGTGGGGTGGTTGTCGGAGGGGGGGACGGCTCGGGGGCCAGGAGCTGGGGAGGAAGCGAGGCGGTGAGGATCTTGGCGAGGCGCGTCACACCGGACGGGAAGGTGCAGTACCTTGTGGAGTGGGAGAACGTGAATTTGTGCTGACACGCAGAGACGCAATGACTGTTTTGCGGTTGCCAAGGGAACGCTGTGTGTGTGTGTAAAACGTGGCAGTGTTTAAAGTACAGACTAAACAAAAAGGGGGGGGGGGTGGTGATCTCTACGCGTTGCAAATCCAGGTTGCTCTCTTAGAATCGCCTCTATTCTGCATCGTTAGACGTCACTACTCGTTTTTCAATGTCCCTCTTTGCGAGTGTTCTCTGGTATTTGTACTGTTAACTTTGGAATATGCATTTGCATTTATCACGTTTAAAAGTGGTGGGGATGAAGGTACTCAAACCTCCTGATGATTTGTCAATTTGCTAATCAAGGAGCGCACGTGTTTATTTGTCCACTGTGGATTAGCAACAAGACATTTAGCAAAGACGGATTACTGCTTTTTCATTGCTTGGGTGATATCGGGGAAATTTCATAAATTTTTTACTTTAATTGTCCTTTAGACAACATGCTGCAAATTTAAAGGCACAGTCGGGAGTGTTTCAAATAACAGAGCAAAAGCTTTGAGAAATTCATTTAAATCAACAATTTGATGTGACTGTTCACACAAGCATATATGAATAAAACAGTTCGAAATTACCGACGTTGAACTGAAATCCTCCGGAGGTTTTTGTATTTTTTCCTCATATGTTAATAAGAGATTGCAAACATGTTGTTATGGGGTTTCTTATTTGTTAAGTTACATTTCATACATAATTTACATTTAAACTACTGTATTAGAAATAGAAGCCACGAGAAGGCTTTTGTTTTATAGATAGAATTATATATTCACAGTATATTGCTATGGTCAAATAACTTTTATTTTTTTTGGCGTGGTTGAATAGTGCCTATTTGGGTTGCGTACCTGCCGGTTGGTGTGCCGACCCGAGTCGACCGATCAGACGACGGAGAGATGAGCGAGGCCGTGTTGCCAGTAGACCAGAGGACGGCTCTCTATCCGTTCACAGATACACCCACGCGGGTCACGAGGACCAGCCGTCATGTTGAGTTGTTTTAATCACAACAGGACTGTGGCGTCGCTGTACATTCCAAACGAAAAAAGGGACAAACATGTTATTGAAATGTCTGTTTGAAGTCATCAGAATGGAAATTATTTTGAAAGAATGCAGGGTTTCTTTTTATTCTTCCTCTTTGTTTTTTGTTTTTTTTGATGGGTGTTAAATGTCATGAAGAACTAAAGGTCCAGTTCAGGTTCAGGTTCAGGTTCACGTTCAAAGGAACAGTACAGGTAAAGAAGACGCGGATAGGCCCGACTCCTCGCTCCATCCCCTAGTTTCTTCCAGGGCCTAACAGTCTTATTATTTAAAGAATACAACACGGCAGCATCATGCGGGAGTTCACACGCCGACTGAGGCGCTGGAGTTGGAATCCATCTTCGTGCAAACAGGTCACATAAATCTAGAAGACGGCGGTGCAAGTTTCAGAGTTTATATTTTATACAGAGGTTTATTTCAGCAACCTGTGCGATAAAACTCACACACTCCTCTACATTCGTCGGTTTTATCTTTCAGGAAAGGCCGCATCGCAGTTTGAGTTGACAAAAGCAAAGGACAAACACAGCGTTTACACTCTCACAGTCGAACCGATGCAATCCTCTCAGATCTAATTTCAAACCCGACATCTCTTTTGAATTATCTCCTGTGCACATTTCCGGTGGAATTCTGTTGATTGCGGTCGTCATCCTCCTCAGTGATTCTTGTAGCTTATTAGGGGAAGGGGCGTGTTGAACCTCTCTAGGCGAAGGTGATGAATGTATTTGTGTGTTTTCTATGGTATGTCTATACCCGTCAAGTGCTCGTGATAGGTCGTACTCGAGGTGGAACTCAACCCGATTCGTTCAAAAACAATAAAAAATAAATAAAAAGGAGGAAATGAAGACATCAACATTGAGGAACATTATTTATTTTGGGAGATGTAGTCTTAAGTAGTCGAGTCCAGGTTCAGTTTGATGTATTTTTTGGAGAAATTACGTTTGTACATGTGTACTCTGCGTTGACACCTAATATGTTACATGAATAATAAAAAGAAAATGTTTCCCCTCATGCAAAGCGTTTCTTATCTATTAGTACATGAAGGTACTCCTTGATATCTATCTCTCTGCAGATGTACAGATCCATCCAACTGAATTATTTGATAATTTACTCTGTTGTGTCTCATCCAGAACCATTTCACTCCTCCAAAAGGACAGTGACAGCTGCCGAAAACGCTGCTATACTGTTAAGAAAAAGTAAATGGAAAATAAAAGCACAATAGCAGAATGAAGCAAAACCTTCTCAGCAGCCAGGAATGAATTCATTGTGAAGTCTGTGTGGTCCCTCAGTCACCAAAGAGAGGAAGTCGCAGGAGAGGTGAGCGAGCTCGACGGGCTTCTCTTTGTATCCTCTTGTTATCACTTTACAAGATCCGCCGTATTTTATTCCGCAGGCGGTTTCACGGCCTCCGCAGGTGATTAAGGAGCCGATCACATGACCTGCCCTCACACATTACACAGTAGCCTAAAACTGTCCTGCTCAACAAAAGGCCCTAATGGGGCTAATAATGAGGGCTAACAATGCATATCTGAAGCACGTAATCATATGCATCACTTCTGGAAGAGAGCTTTTTACCTTTAAGAAAGTGGTAGACGGAGGCTGGCTGATTTTCCTCTGCCATCAATCACCTCCTCTGTAGGTGGTAATCAAACAATGATGGCGAGGATCCCGCCAAATTGGTCCGACGGGGGAGATGATGAATTACATCACAGCCTAATGTGTCTTGTTGGAAACATTTTCTACTTTTTTGGGGAAGAAAATGTACAAAGAGGGCCAACGTGAAAGGCCGGTGTAAATTTTGTGATTGTGCCAAACACACAATGAGATTACACAATGAATGGAATTTGTAAATACTGACTTCGGAGATGGTTACCGCATCTCTGCAAAAAGCCATGTGACATGTTTTGATTCTTGGAAGCAGACGTAATACCAATGTATTCTTCTTCGAGAACACCGTAGCCCACTTTGCATCTGTTCAGTCAAACGTATTTAAAGAATGGCCCTGTCACTGTTAGGAAATGGGTTAGGAAACTAGTTGACTCTTAGTAGACTAGGAAGTCCGGTGGAAAAGTGTCCATTTTATTATTCGATTTGATAGTGGAGCTTCCTACTGTCCTTTTACTCATGGCATGATGTCCCCAGGGAATTCTGAGCCTTTAGTACCCCCATAGGACAATGGTACATCTCAGAACGTCTCTTCATCTCTCTCACCTGCCACGTCACCTTGGTTTTCTCATTTAGAGTGCAGCATTTGGTTTAAGACAAAACACTGGGTTGAAATTAGTGTCTCGGCCACCTGCAGCTGCGGGTCTTGACCGCAAGGTGGCGGTCAAACCTCAACATTTAAACCGGTTGGCGCTGGCTCTGCACCGTGGTGCCTTCACTTGCCCCTCTGCAGCCACGGAGGTGTGGAGCGGAAATGCTTGCTGGTGACGGTTCCCGCACTATGTTTAGTTGTTACTTTTCCCACGTCACGTTAAGGCAGCATTCAACGGCTCTCGGCGCCATTTTGGCTCCGCGGCTTCTCACCCCAATGCAGTTCCTGTAGTTTAGTCACGTGTGCTGCCGTTAAACCAAAGGACCGTGTTAGTGGAGTTGTGGTCAACTCAAATGTAACTTTAAAGTCAAAATAAATCGACGGTTCCTGTCCAGATAAAAGAGCCCGAACAGAAGTTATTACGGATTTAATATCCTGAATACTTCATCGCGATGCCAGTCACCTGTTGTGGGCTAATTAAAACAACAGCGTTGCCACGGATACGCAAGGGCCCGTCGTTGCCTGGGCGTTATCTTGTATTTAAATTGTCAGCCTGCTGAAAGGGTTAAATTAAAATTGGCCACAAGTACTTTTCACCAGATTAAGCAAACTGTATGTGAAATAATGAGCAATAACCATCGCGGCATTGCGCGCGCTCGGTTTAATAGCCGTTATACTTTACACTCGCTATATATATATATATATATATATATATTTATTTTTGTTGAAAGAGGTGCTTATTCTAAAGACATTGAAAAACGTGCACACCCACGCACACACGTAGACGCGCGCACATGCGTTTGCTCCCTCTCCCCCCCCTCTCTCGCTCTCGCTCTCTCCCTCCCTCTCTCTCTCTCTCACACACACACACACACACTCACTCGTGTTCCACCCTCACACATCAACGGCATCGTGCAAATAAACATACACGCGCGCACACACGCGTACGCACGTTTCTGCAACCCTCTATTTTTGTGTGTGTGTGTGTGTGCACCGGGAACCGGGCGCCTCATAAACGGTCGTGGATTATGATGCCAGCGGACTATCGGCCTCTCCTTCGGCTCCAGCTGTGAAAATAGAACCGAAATCGCATGCTTGTCTCTCTCTCTCTCCTCCCTCTCTCCTCTCTCTCTCTCTCCAGTTTTATTTGTAATTTGGTTCCCGGTTACTTCTGAGCACCGATAGACCGCCGAGACGCAAAGAACACGTTCAATGCCGGTGGAACATGTCCTATGTTCCCTTTCAAGGTAAGACACCAGCAGGTATTTTATCATTTAATTTGTCATTCACTGCATCTTCCGTTTCTGCCCTCCTCTCCCGTTCCTCCCCATCCTCCCTCTCTCTCCCTCTCTCTCTCTCTCTCTCTCTCGCTCTCTCTCTCTCTTCTCCTGCTATCTCTCTGACAGTATCATGTGCGATAGGCATATCTAAAGGCACCACGGCAAACAGGTGCATTGAAATAGCCTGAAGTGCCTTCTCCTTAGATGCCCATAGACGCACGCACGCACGCATACGCACGCACACGGTTCCAGCGCAGCGTGCGTCCCCATGGACCTTTGCATGCGGCAGTCATAGTATTGGAATAAGGTATGCATGGGAAGGCTACTGGTGTCACGGTGTACTCTTGCAAGTGCACCCCTGGTTTGAGAGCTGCTGCACAGTGTGGATCGGGAGAAAATGCTACGATGTGAATATTCTTTTATATTCCATAATAATCATGTGCTGTTTTAATGTATGTGGTTCTCGTAAGGAGCTCATACCGCCCCCCATAATACTTGTTTTTTTTATTCTATTCTTAAGTCGTAAAATGATAACAATGTTGTGAGAGCCACGCTCATAGTACAAGGAGTCTAGAGTGCGGTTTTACTATCTCCTTTGAAAATATTGCTGTTGCCGGATTTCAATCTCATGCAATATATTCTGGGATTTTCATCCACAGCCTGAATGAACTGTATTCTTTCTCCCCCCCCCCCTAAACTTTGTCCCTCTAAGATTTGTAGAGGACCAGATTGAGAGGGCTTCTTGCTCCTCGCTTGGTCCTTTATTCCCCCACACTGGATGGTGAGTGGGTGAAAGGCGCCTCAGTGTACGGTAAAGGCACATTCCCCTCCGTATCGTTGCACTGCAACTGTGACTAATGCTATATGCGAGCAGGCGTGCTGCAGTGAGCTGCCTCCATCCAGTCGAAGCGTTCAATTTTGCAGCGTCTGTGTGTGATGAGAAGCTAATTTGAAGAAGAAGAAAAGAAAACAAACAGAATGATAATTAAAGCGAGAGTCGGACCGGAATGAGATGGAACGCCCGGTGCAAAGTTTGAAGGAGCCGTGAAGGATTTAGGGGCTTCGTGGTGTGTGTGAGTACCTGTTATCAAAGAGGTTTGAATGCCAAGAACTGCACCGGCTAGGGAGGAGAACCTGAGTGTGTGTGTGTGTGTGTGTGTAAAAAACGAGTGTGTGGGTTCAGGAGAGAGTGGAGGTGTGCTGCATGTGACGGTTGGGATGAGAGAGAGAGAGCGAGCTGCTTTATGTGTGGAGACGAGTGCACGCTTCCTTACCCCTAGTTGCAACACTATGGGGTGGAGGGGGGTTGGGGGGGGGGGGTCCAAAATGGAGACTTACAATCTCAACCTGAAAAACCTTGACTTTGGGTACTTTCCCTCCCCCCCCCGGGAGGGTCCTTCTTCTGAGAAGGGAGGAAAAGAGACACACAATTTAACCTGGTCTTTTTTATTCCCTCGGAGCAAAGCAGATAATGAAGGAAATGCCCTCTTGGTGCAAGTGCAGCTATATAAGTTGGTTGCATAATGTTGGTGAGATGTTCTCCCAGTGTTTGTGTGTGTGTGTGTGTGTGTGTGTGTGTGTGTGTGTGTGTGTTTGTGTGCGAGCCCACTCTGGGAGTCATTGCCAGGAAATTGTGAGCACAGTGCTGCACCTCCCAAACCTGTCAGCGACGCCACCGAGTTCTCTTTCCCTGCGATTTCACGGTTTTATTTTAGACATTGTTTTCTGAGCTGAGCCGGTGTTTGGTCTCATTCAATTTGGTTCGACCGCTGGGGGGTGGGGGGGGGGGGGGTTGAGCCGTTAGACGGATTGAGAGACACGATATGGGGATGCACCGATTGGGTGTCGGGTTTTATGGTGTTTACTTCAGAACTGCTTCAGTTGTGCCAAATGTTACGCCCTCAATTGAGCGATTACTGGTTTTCCCACATTTATCAATCAGTCATTGAACATCCTTTGTTTTTAGGACTGTTGATTGGACATCGGCCATCTGAAGACGATATTGCGAATCAGAATCGGCTTTATGTGCCATGTGTGCTAACCCATTGGTGGAATTTGACTTTGGTTACATCTACGTGTACATGTGCGTTCTTTTGCAATTTTATAGACTGTTAGACAATTTCTATGAGAAATAATCAGCTGTGGAAATGAGTAAGTAAGTCGTCGCGCCGGTCAGTATGTCGGCGGACACGCTCAACAGATATTCTGTCCGTCTCCCCCGTCCACCTGTACATTACGAACGCCATGGTTACTCAAGGCAATTATGTAACACGGTGTGATATTTATTGCCGCACGGTGACTCAACACCTACGGAAGAGATATGTGGTAAGAAGGGCCAGTGCGAGCTCGACACCCGACTTGGCGACGAGGTATTGATCCAGGCGGCGGGAGGCGGGGCCATCGGCGGCCTTGCAGATGTACATTTGAGGCCGCATCGACGAGAGTGTCCAGCCGACGTACCAGGCGAACCACTTGCTTCACGCCGAGTGCCGGCTCACACGAACAAGCAGTTTAGAGACGGGCCTTCCTATCTCGGCGAGATCTTTTTCCTCCCTCGTTCGCTCTCTTCTGAACTCGCACCTCCCTTCGGTCTATCTCTTTCTCCTTTGCTTCCCCCCCGTCTCTCTCTCTCTCTCTCTCCTGTGGTCGATCCCGCCCGGCCCCCCTTTTCTCACGCTGAACCACCCACACACATATACAAAGCACACACACATGCTCTGCTACCCCCCCTCGCTGTCTCCGCTCCCTCTTTCTCCTCCCTCCCCTCCACTGGCTGCATGCACGAGAGCAGATGGACGCTACGGAAGCAAGCAGCCAGCCACTGAGCCACCTCCGGCCTCGTCGATTTTACAGTAGTTTGATACAGCAGCTCCTGTCAAGCATGGCCCCAGTTAAAGAGACAGCACCCCCCCCCCCCCCCACCCGATGCACTGCAGCACTCCTCTGCTCCCGCCTTCTCCCTCCCGCTCTTTCTCCCATGTGACATAAGGGACTGTCTTACACCCCTCCACTACTCCGGCGGTGCCAAGAACCATCATCTGTTCGGCTATTACTGTGCGGCACGCGCGAGATCCGGCCGTCCCTCTGCACTCGGTGATCCGTCCAGGCCTTCTCAAGCGGGGGCGCCGAGCGGACCGGAGATGCGTTTTAGGGAAACTTTTGCAAGTGCTGTGCCGGGGGCGTGGGGGGGGGGTGGGGGGGACGACGACCAGTGATGAGCATTTGCTTTCAATCATTTATTCGGGTCGGAGTTCTCCAGCTGGAGAGCTTCTCGATGGCGTTGACATATATTTGGTCGTCAGATTCTCAACCCGTACTTCTAAATAGCAAACAAAATTTCAGGGCATAGACATGCAATGATGTAAATACATTGTAGAAGTATCACTCATGTCATCATTCTAGCCTGCAGACGGGAGTTCAATCAACGCTCAACAGGGCCGAAATTTGTATCGGCTCACATATTTTAGATTCTACGTATTCATCCGCACGTTCAGGCATGCAAAAACAAAAGCGCACAGGAAGCTTGTTGAAATGCATTTCATCCAGCAGACATTTCAAAGTCTCCTGTACCCAGGAGGTCAATCAATGGTTGACCTCGGTAGCATGAAATATGTGTGTGGTACACCAGGAGCTGTGACCATGCGAAGGCATTGACGATCTAACGGCTGGAAGCACTGATGCCCGAGGCAACATCTTAATACGATGTGACATTTCTCTGGACATTTATTCTTTATCGTCTTGAGGGCCTTTTGTATAGAGCACTATGTGTTTTCCGGGCCAGCCCGTGAGTTAGCAACACATTGGCTCCCTCAAAAAAAGACCAATGGGACTTTTTACCCATTTTTTATTTATAGATTTTGGCAGAAAATAAACCCTCTGGCCAGTTCCTGAGGCTTAAAGGTGTTGTTCGGCAAGATCGTCTTGACAAATGATAGCCACGTTTGTGATTTTTGAAGCATTAAAATGCACCACGCAGAAGGGTTAGCACCACAGTCTCATGACTTCACTTCACCTGCGCTAAGCAAACCGCTGTGTTCGGTGTGATGACGCTTCTGGCGTATGATTTGGCCTCTTGTTTCCAATCTCTGACGCTTTTGTTAACCACAACGTTATCCCATTCATAAGATGTATTTACTTAAAAAAAAAAAAAAAAAGTTCATCTAAAGTGCCAAAGGCTAACTTATTTCCTGGTTCTAGGACCAATCCGGGTTGCACTCTATTCTTGGCCAAATAGTAGAGTGAGTCATCTGCATACAGTGTGAGGTAAACCGCTTATAAGATTGCACAGATGTTTTTCTTTTCATGTCAATGCAAGTCTACGCACGGTTGATTTATGGCAACGAAAGGTCCAGATATGTCGTCACTCTGTGTCTTTTTGTTCCGTATTAATAGATTGAGTTCAGTCGTCAGCCGATCCTCTTTCCTCCTTTTTCTTATCTGTTGCCCAACACTAATCTAGCATTAGTGAAGCATACCCGGGCCCTTATCCTCGAAGAGCTTTCCTTGCTTCTGTGATACTGGGGGAATCTGCATGGGGGCTGCTGGAACTGAGTCGCTGGGAGGAGTGGCTTTTTAGATGCAGCTACACTTTGGGTGGGTGGGTAATTCAATTCGGCTGCAAAGCCTCAGTCGAATGACTCAATGGGGTTTTTGGCGGCGCGAGAGAGAGCAAGAGAGTGACAGAGAGAGAAAGAAAGCCTTGGCTTTTGATTGATCTTGTCAGGATTCACTCACAGCAAAAAGGTCACGAGCGGCCTCCTCTTTCCTGAGCCAATCAGTGAGCGGCCAATCCGGGATAATAATGTCCCTTTGGATACGGTTGGCTCATAAGGTTTGCGGGCATGATGTCATCCAATCCAGTGGTTGCCTGTGATTCAGAGTTGTGAGGTTTTAGCCAAATACCCTCGGCAGCATGAGAAGTGACAGTACATATGTCAGTATTATGATTCATGGACCGACCGATTGAT